ATAGACCGATCGAGCAGCGACGGCTCCTGCTGGACGAACCCGATGTTGCCCCGCAGGTAACCCACGTTGAGGTCCTTGAAGTTCTTGTCGCCAATCATGACATCGCCGGAATCAGGGTCGTAGAACCGCTCCAAAAGGGCAACCACCGTCGACTTTCCGCCGCCCGAGGGCCCGACAATAGCGGTGTGTTTCTTCGGCGGGATGACGCAACTCAGCCCCTTCAGGACGGGGGCGTCCGGACGCGCGGGGTACGTGAAGTGGACATCCCGGAGCGTAATCTCCTCTTCTCCGAAGATGGCCGATTTGTCTCCGTCGTCTGCGGTGCCGTCGATTTGAGACGGGCGCTCGATCACCTTGAGCAGTCGTTCCGAGGCACCGGCCGCCTGCGCGAACACGTGGATGAACGGAGCCACCTGACTCAGAATGAACGAGGCGTCGATGAGCACGAAGATCACGGTGTAGACGGCACCGACAGAGACACCGTTGTTGTCGTTGGCCACCGAGTCTGAAATCATCTGCGAGCCCTCCCAGAACGCCAAGGCGTTCGCCGAGTAGGCGACGAAGTAGAGGAAACCGAGCTGCGTGGAATGCGTGCAGGCTTTCTTAACGGCCGCTACACGGGATTCGGAGAGATACTGGGCGAAGCGGGCCTCGAGGCGGTCGTTGGCGTTGAAGGCCTGGACGAGCGACAGGTGCGACAAGCTGGACGTCGCAATGGAGGTCGCCGCGCCGATCTTGTCGGAAAGGATCCCTGCGTACTTTTTAATGTAGTGGCCTCCGACTAACGACATGATCATGAAACACGGCACCACCGACACCAGCATTCCCGCGATCTGAGGGACTTTGATGAACGCCACGACATAGGAGGCCACGAAGTATGAGATGGTCGTGATGACCAGGCCGACCTTCTCGGACGTTCCGGACTGGATCACCTCGACGTCGCTGACCAGACGGGAGTACACGTCGCCGGCGGGAAGCGATTCAATGAAATTGGCTTCCTGGCGGATAATGCTCTCGAAATACCGTCTGCGGTAGCGGCGCGCGAGCCGCTCGCTCACGGTACACCAGCACGACATGTGGATGTAGATGAAGCAGAAGTTGGCGATTGTGATGTAGATCACGTAAAGCACCTTGGTGCGCACGCTGGACTCGAGCTCAGCGGAATTGCCCCCGGAGCTCTGCGACGAGCAGGTCGTCGAATTCATGTCGTTGACGAGGTCGCCAAACACGATACCCAGTAACGGGAAGGGAATACCGCCGGCGATTGCGAAGACCACGCCCAGGATGATGAGGATGACGTCCTTCTTGGTGTAGTCCAGCGAGAAGAGGAGTCTGATATAGCCGAAGAAATTTCCAACGTCGGCTTTCGTCGGTTTGTAGCGCTGTAGCTTCTGCATCTACACTCGGGATGCGATTAGCTTCTTACCTAGATGTGTCTGCAGACATCTTCCGGGACCGGTACGAGGAACAACGTACAATTGAAGGCTTCTGGACATCACCGACAGCATTGGGACCCGGCTGCCCTTCGTCCGCCGCTTCTTTTTGTGACATGATGTCTATCGCGGCGCGACAGTATAGCTCCCGAAGGATACGGTCTCAACAGCGGGGTATATCGCCGCCCCCCCCAAATCATACAACCCCGCAACCCCGTCGAATGCTTGACGATGGTCTTCAACGGAAGGTACAATTTGTTGGCAACTCGTTTGCCGAGAGGACTCAGGAGCTTTCCTGGTCTTGTCCGAATAAGGTGAGAGAGGGGAGAGTATAACGTTGGGATCAATGGCAATTAACAATTGCACATGCAAGATCTCCCAGGGAGTTAGCAAGGTACAGTCGACGAGCGAAACAGCTCACTCAAACAGGCAACCTCCAGAAGCATGCCCGCTAGAAAAGACAACCTTGAATTGAATGGGTTATTGTGGGATGAGACTCGGCAAGTCGAGTGTAGAAAAAAATCAAAAATCAAGAATCAAAAGAAAGACAAAAGACCAGAAGACGGAGAGAAAGGGAGAAAGATCAGACCAGAAAAAGAGACGAAAAGGTACTGGGGATGTACAAAGGCCCATGACACATCGCTATATCCACCCACGCACTAAAGGGGAGAGAGAGGGGGAAGAAATTTGGAACCATCACAACGGCTCCGGTTACGGCCCAGGGCTAAGAAAGCTGCAGTGAACATCCATCCACACCATGGGGGGCTACCGGGGCATCAATGGCACGGGAATCCAGAGAGGGTCCCCTCGAGAGCAAAAAAAAAAGCGGAGAACGCCGAATGAAACCAAGCCAGAATGGAGAGTAGGAACATCCACTTGGCAGGGGAGCAAGAGGGGCGGCCGGATGGATTGTTAGTGTGGACATCTGATAATGCTCTCGGCGGATTCATCATATTAGACTTGTGAAGATAATCTCTTGGGCAGGCCATCTTTTCTCCCTCGTTCTTTCTTTTCTTTTTTTCTTTTTGGTGCTGGTCTTCATTTTGTTGGCGGTTGAATGCCCCACTCCCAAGCACTTATTCGTGGATGTGGACGAGCAGACCCAGTGGAACCCGTCGCTTTTGTGTCCAGTACCTGATAACCGAGGCCACGCTACTGCACTCTACTTCCTATCTGATCGTGCTGTTTTTTTTTTTTCCTCCGAGGGTTTTGATTTCTGAGATAAATGTCCGACGCCTTGCATGGTAAATGCAACTTGGTTGTTATGTATCAGAATAGGAATCAAGAGCAGTCTAGATCACAATTCTATGTCCCAAAGTAGGACGATGGGGTGAAAAGAAAAACAAGAAGAAAAGAAAAATCAGACTGCCAAGAACAATGACGACGAGTCTCGGCAAGATGGTCGGAGGTTCCTCATCTGATAACTCTGCCCGGAATCCCTCTCGGCCAATCACTCTTCCGTTCTCAGTCCACCACGGACTCGGAGTACCTGGGTACACAGAAGGAAAGAGAAGAAACAAACAATGAAACAAGGATATCAACAGGATAGAGAATAACAAGAAGAAAAAGAGGAAAACTAACAGGTTGAATGAGAGTTAATTGAAAAAAAAAAAAAAAAAATAATAATAATAAATAAATGATAAATAATAAATACAAAAAGGGAATGGGAAAACACGAAAGAAAAAATAAAAATAAAAAGCGGTTTAAGCCGGACCCAATGCTACCCGACTACGTACAATCTATACATAATAGAGGTAAGAGATTCCGGTCGATCCTGTAGGCCGTAAGTACTTGTTTCTGTCCATCTTGCTCTAAAGTTTGAGACATCCCCATAAAAACAATCAGATCTTTCGCAAAGCAGATGTCCACACCAACTACCATCATCATCATCATCGCATCATCGCATCATCCAGGGTGAAACCGAAACCTCGAGGGAATGGAGCCTATGGAACAAATGGAACATCCCAATTTTATCAGATGAGGGTCAACAAGTAGCCATTTCTTGGAACGTCGGAGACAAAACTCCACCATTATTAATCATTATTGTTTTTTTTTTTTTTTAGGATGTCGGCTTCTCAGCCCAAGATGTTTATTCGCACAAAGTGGAGGGAATAAGATAACATTTCCCATACATCTAATCTGATTGATTGATTGATAACATCTTCCCGTGACGCGAGCTAATGTGACACAGTATTTTGTTTCCCGCGGCTTTGTGTTACCACTATTTTCGTTATCTAATTGCAATACCAACATACTCTTTTGATACTGTTTGTTCGGAATAAAGGAATAAAAAGACAAACCATACAAAATAAGAGGCACAAACTACCTTAATAGAAGGTACCCGACATACAATTTTGGGCAACATCGATTAGAGCTGAACGATCAGTGGGGAGGCCCAGCCAAGGAGGACGGTACCCCCAACCCCAGCAATTGAATGAATCATAAATGCCTAGCGGGGGGGGGGGGGCATCAATGTCGAAGCCCAGGATGGCCATTCCCAGGAATATGACGACGATATACACAATTAGATTGAGGACGTACGGATACACTATTCCCGACTATCCTATTTCAATATAGTTCAATAGTTTGCCATTCTGGAACATCTTATTTATTCATTTATTGATTATTATTCAACTATTATCATATTATTATTATTGTTGTTTTCCACTTTCCCCCCTTCCTCTCCCCCCATCCTTTCCCCCCAATCTAACGAACTTCTGGAAAAGGAGGGCCACACCCCAAAATGCTGAATGCTAAAGCAAAGGCTGAAGGCGAATCTAATCAGATCAACATCATCTAATCAGATGGACTCCTGCATGCCGCCGCCGCTGCCCGATGATCGGCCCTTTGCTCCAAATCAAGTCAACAAGTCGCCGGTCGGTCGCATCAGCTTTCCGCTTTCTTTCATTCCTTCATAAATAGGTTATACATCTTGTATCTTTCTCAAAATACAAGACTTACTCAAAGCCTGTTATTAGATGTTCATAATCTGGATATCTAGAATAATTCCCCAAGCTACTTCATGAGCTCTCACCCTCCGACACCCAAACGGAGCTCTCTCATAATCCAATACGAGGAACCCCTCGTAGGTTCCATCCGCTACGAGTTTGACTCCCCTTCTCACAGTACCGCATCTCGACATATTTCCACAAGGCCTGCTATGGATTCTCCCATATAATGAACTCCATCTCGCCAGCACGCGCCACGGTCGACATGTCAACTTGGTCATGAACATGACGGAAGGATGATAGCCAAACCTGCAAAGTCATAAACCGAGGTATACTATCCTCTGACCGTGCCCATCCAATCCAGGAGCAGAATACAAGTCTGCCAATGACCATTTAGCGCATAGCTTAGATTGTTCTACCACAGGTGGAAGTAGTAATTAGGATATTGATAGGTATGATAAGAATGGCTCAAGGCTATTGATACAAGATATCCATGCTTCAAAACATAAGAATAACCCCAAGGTCCCGAACCCAAAGCCTCGGGTTCGGAGCCTTGGGGTGTAAAAGTAAACAACCATGGTATACTACCCCCCTCTCCCCCCCTCTTCCCCCCCGGCCCCCCTGGGGCACCCCGTCCCGAAATCTCCTAGTGTGTTACAACACTATCCCCTAGTGATGTAGTACACTAGGAGATTCCGGGACGACTCCATCGGGTGCCCCAATATCTCCCAAAACCGGGCGTCGTTGCCCACCATCGCATATAGCCTCTGACATAACAATGCTACCTGTCTTCTGATGTCGGCATTCGGCGCTGCGAGAAGTCTCGCAGAAAGTAACCCGATTTTGTCCACAAGTTCCTGACGAATGGTTGTCTTCCCTTGAAGAAGACGATCCATGATATTTGACAACGTCCAAACGCCCATGGTCACAGTCTCGTCTCGTTCCTCCCGTGAAACCAGCTCGACCACCGGTTCAACAACATCAGCATCGCACGCGGCAACGATGTCGTTGGCTGTGTCATAAAGACCAGCAACGATGTGTGAAGCTGCTGGGTAATGTTTTCGGGCGGATAGGATGGCAGTCAGGACACGGGGGAAATAACCTAATAGGTTACTGTGTACAAACATGCGGCGAATCGTAAGGAGGACCTGAGCCTTCAGGTCTACCGAGCGTTCGAAAGGCAAATCGGTGGCTTCGGGTGGCTTTTCCAGCTCATCAACAAGGGCACATAGCATCTCCTCCTGGTATCCCCCGGCCTCGGGGAAAATATCTCCTCGTTTCATGAGTCCTTGAAGCTTTCGATAGCCGAGGATATCCATCGTATTGTTTCGTATCCTTTCAATGGCCTTGATGGCGATTCCACTGGATTTGGTTTTGCTTCGGACACTCTTCTGCTGCACTTCAGTATCGCCGGCACGGTCATTCTGTACGTTCTTTTGCTGGGCTTCGAATCCGCCTGGTCCGTTACTGCCTGGGTCGCTCTGCTGGACTTCGGTATCGCCTGCACGATCATTCTGTACATTCTTCTGTTGGGCTTCGAATCCGCCTGGTCCGTTGCTGCCTGGGTCGCTCTGCTGGACTTCGGTATCGCCTGCACGATCGTTCTGTACGTTCTTCTGTTGGGCTTCGATTCCACCTGGTACGTTACTGAGTGTGTCGCTCTGCTGGACTTCGATTTCGCCTGATTCGTCACTGGGTGCGTCGCTTTGCTGGACTGCGGTTCCGCCTGGCTTGTTACTGCCCGCGTCACTCTGCTGGACTTCGATTCCGGCTGGTTCGTCACTGCTTGTGTCGCTCTGCTGGACTTCAATTTCGCCTGCTCCGTTACTGTGAGTTTCGGTCTGCTGGGCTTCGATTTCGCTTGAACTCTTACTGGGTGTGTCACCATTCCGGGATTCGATGTGAGCGTTGCTCTGTTGGATGTCGCCGGTATAGTTACGGTCCGCTATTTCCTTCTCTCGGACCTGGGTATTGCCTGTTTCGTCACTGTGCGCGCCATCCTGCCTGACTGCGACCTCGCCTATACCATCGTTATTTGCGGCCCACTTCTGCCAGACTTCGAGATCGCCCGATTCAACACTGCGCCTGCCCTTCTGCTGGTCTGCGATGCCGCCTATACGGTCATTGTCTGCGGCCCACTTCTGCCAGACCTCGAGGTCGCCTGTATCACCACTGTGACCGTTCCTCTGCTGGTCTGCGCTGTCGCCGGTATCGCTCTGGTGCACGTTCCTCTGCTGGGTTCCTGTGTCGACTGCACTGTCGCTGTCTGCAATTCTCTGCTCCGTTACTGCGACGTCGCCTGTAGCCTTACTATCTGCGATGGCTTTCTCCTGGGTTTCATTATCGCCGGCATCATCACGGTGCACATCGTTCTGCCGAAAATCGATATCGTTTATATCGTGACCGTCTGCAAAACCACTTCCTGGGATTGCGATGTCGCCTGTGCTCCTAAGGTCTGCCATGCCCTGTTCATGGGCCTCGATGTCGTCTATCCTGACCTTATGCGCGTTCCAGTGCTGGTTTTCGATGTCATCCAAGACATGGCCATGCCCGTTGTTATGACTCTCAACGACCTCCTTGAATGCCGGAACCGATTTTTTGGTGGAAATGGTTGGGCCTTTATTCAACGAAGGCGCCGAATTTTCATTGTGAGGATTCCTCTTCTGAGTACGAGTTGGTGGACGTATAGGAGCGGCAGAAAGGGTTGAGGCAGGTTTGGCCAGTGCCTTTTTCTGAGCGGCGATTGCTGCCCGTAAAGCAGTGCTGCCAGTCTGCTCAGCCTGCGAAGTCTTTCCGCTCTGCTCTAGAGCCGTGGTTTTCTTCGGCGAGCCGGCCTTCCGCGGCGGTGCCACTGGATCGTCCATTGCGGTAGTAGGTCTATCGGGGTGCTTGTCAAGTAAGGTTCGACTCTTTTTGTCCAACGTCGACGCAATCCTATCGATGGTTAGTTGGTCATATAGAAATGATATGAGATGGGAGATAAGACTTACTCGTCAGCTCTACTAGGCCAAATGGTAACGAAGAACCAATAGACCCCGCGCATGGCCTCTCTCACACCAGGGTTGGCGTCCGAGAGTCCCTTCTTGAGAGACATGATGATAAGAGTCAAGCCGCCGCCGTGTTCCAACGAACCCTTATAAGGGGCTTGTCTCGTGAGTAAACTTTTCAGCCAGCCGGCACCAAACAGGCGCAGCTGCACATTCTTGTCCTGGCATGCATTGGACACATGCTGGAGGAGACGTATGTGATAGGAGACGTTTTCAATGATCACAGACACTGTCGCATTGCCGTTCTGGGCGGTGATCTTCTTCATGTTCGAACAGACCTTCACCATATTCTGCATGATGATTTCGACCATAGAATCAATCTGGGATCCGCAGCATCGTGCCAGGTCCTGGATAAACAGACACCCATTTGTGGAGACCGTGGTTCGAAGAGAATTGACAGCCTTAAAGCTACTATCAAGGACCGCCTTTATTCCTCCAATAAAGGCCTCCGGGAACCTATGTGGGGCGCTTCCGAGTGTAAGGCGTCGGAGAGTGATAATGTTCTTCTCTCGCGGCAACCAGTTCTGCTCGGTTTCTCTCCCCTCGAAGAAAGGAAGCATGTCCCTCACCAGGTCGTCGATCTCGCGAGGACTGGCAACTGTCATCGGCTGCAGATCCCCCTCTTGGGAAGGTGAAGGTCGGGATGATGACGCCTGTGCGGGCGTACTGGCAGGTCGCGGGGGTTGGACGCGGGGGGCACTGGCATGCGAGGACTTTGTGGGAGAATCAAGTCGCGATGCGGGTCTCTTAGGTGAATCCATCCGGGAGGCCGGCCTTCTGGCGGTCTCTACCCGCGATGCCGGTCTCTTGAGCGGCTCCATTCGCGATGCAGGCCTTCTAGTAGTCTCCACGCGCGAAGCCGGGCGCGAGGAGGATGATATTTCAACCGGGTCAAGGCCGACAGTCTGCAAGAGATCATCGGCAATCGATCTTCTCACATTGTGTTCGGCCAATTGCTTTCGAAGATCCGTTTTGGCGCTCACGGAAGCACCCCTGGCACTTGTTAGCAGACGATAATCGTACGAGCGGGAAAGATAGCGTCCCCAGAAGAGACAGGTAACAGGCCGCCGATTTATACTCACTGAAAAAGACCAACAATCGCCGTTTTCGCCGCTTCTCGAACGCCACTATCAGCGTATTCAAGACAAGCAACCATGTTGGGGACATATGCGCGAAAGCGAATGTCATAGATCTGGGCCATCTACCAAGGGGGCCGGTCAGATAAATTGGCAATAGACGGATCGAAGTACTTACGTTCGCGAGCCAGGTCATGCTCATCGCCTTCGATTTGGGGTTTTTACCCTCAAGGGCCTTTTTCAGAACATTGTGTTCCACCTCGTCGCGAAGGGCTGGCCAGAGGCCGGTGAAGGCTTCCGCGGCTTTCGCACGGATGTCTTCCCTTTGGTCGCCGAGACGCTCGAGGAGAACGGGGCATAGGTCTCGGCCATGGGAAGCAATTTGATGATCCATTCTTTGAATGGTCAAGCGAGAGAGAAGGTGTTTCAAGGTCGAGAACCCTGCATTCTGCAGAGTCCAATTTTTAGAAGCAATGGCTGACCGAATTGATTCGAACATGTGAGGAAGGGCACCCGCTACTATGTTTCGCTGCTTGATATCCCACTTCAGAGACAGCAACTCCTCAAGCTGCGCGTCCGCGGGAGTGCTTCTCCCTCTCATCATGCTCGCGGACTTTCCTGCCTTAGCCTCCATTCTTCGGTGAAGGGCTCTCAATGTTTTTACAGAAACGAAGAGTGTCACAAAAAGCTCATCCTCACAATAGACAAGCAGGCTCGTGATGAGTTCCCAAATCGAAGTGATAAGGCTGTGGAGGCCCTGGATAATGGGACTGGGGTTTTGTTGCAACGCCTGGAGAAACCCGAGCAGTAATTTCACACGGGAGATGTAGATAGAGGCAACGAGATTCTCGATGTACCCAAGCAAGAGCGACTTGGCAGATGTCAGTAAATGATCGAGTCTGGCATAGGACAGCATTGTGTCCCAGAAGAGGGGAAAAGCATCAAAAATGCGAAGGGGCAAAGCCGCAATATACTCGAAGCAGAAAAAAACGTACAGGAACACGGAATTGTACAAGGAAAAGAAACAAGCCACAAAGGACGACGCACAGGCAATCATGGAGGAAACAAAAGCGAAACACGAAGAAATAAAAGACAACAAATCGTCCAAAAACGCCATGACTGATGCAAAAATGAAGTTTCAAAGGAAGTCAAGAGAGTAAACAGAGCCAGAAGCCAAGAAGAAGCCAAGAATAAACAACGCAGAATCAACAAGCAAGACTCAGCTCATAGAAAGCCGACTATTTTTTTGGTATTTTTCTTTTATTTTCTTTTCTTTGTACTGTGGGCGAGAAGCAGAAACAGGTTTGGAAGAAATCAAAAGCAGCTGATATCAAGTTTTGCAGAACGAAGATTAAGAGACCAAGAAGTGCAAAGATGAAGCGAAACGAGATGGGTACAGGTGAGGTGGAAAAGAAAGAGAAATTTGGGGGGGGGGGGGGGGGGGCGAAGAGGGCGAAGGCCCGTTGTTCATGGGGCGCAACAGCATGATGGCGAGAAGAGCTCTCTTACCTGTAACTTGAAGCAGTCGCGAAGCGGCTTTCAATATCAAGACCCAAGAGGGAAGGATGTCGGATGGAGACGTGAGTGGTCCGGATGACGGAAGACGAAGAAAACGGCTGCGGGGAGCGATGTGTGGTATCGACTCGGGGGCGATGAGGAAAGACCGCTGTTGCGTCTGAGTGGTGGTATTGGGAGGAAAAGAAAGTTGTTGCTGATTTGAGGAGGAGCGACAATGATGGGATGATGCAAAGAGGGACTTGACGTTCGTCCGATAAGCGATTAGACGCGGCGATAAGCGCTTCAAACTCCACACGTCGCAAGGAGTCAGGAGAGATCCGATGACTTTCAGGGATCGTTATTATGATTGACGCCGTTCGATATCGAGGGAGCGGATTGACTCGAAAGGTCAAAGAAAAGTATCCTGCGCTGTGGCGGTGGTTGATGGGGGGTTGAAGAAGAGAAAGGAGGGGAAAGAGCCGGCCAGCAACGGTGTTGTGTTGTTGTTATGATGACTCCTTGCAACCTTTTTTTTTTTTTGTTTCCCCTACATTAGCGTTGTTTACCCACAACTGTCACTAACGCCGCTTTGGGCAACCAGATGTGGAGCCTTAGGCTGCCGAACGGTTGATTCAGGCCCCGCCTTCCACCACTTTCGCTTTCTATCCTCTGAAACTGTCTTGTAGTGTCTCATTGAGACTCGGGGACTATCTTGAAATTATTATTCTATGTCCTAGACATCTGTTGTCTACAATAAACGACCATTGATCGATTCAGATCATTACCTAATTATTATTCACATTGCGACTACAGGATCCTACCAGTTCCTATGTCAGGTCCGTTTCGTAACCTCGGAGCATCTGCGGGCTTAATGGAGCCCAATCATCCTGTTGGCCTGATAAGCCTCGGCGGGGTGTCAGCCAGTGGGAGATCAACATACGTGTGATGTATTGAGCGGGAGTCTATAGATTATGCCTCACGGCAAATGCAATTGTACGCGTGCCGCTTGATTTAAAGGAAGAAAATTTGTAATGCCACCATTATTGTCAGCAATTTCAATTATACTCAATGTTTACTTGTTTACCTGTTTACCTTTGTTAATCCATCCGACCGGGAAGGCGGTTCATTCTTCTAGTACAGGAGGTGACTATATATAGTTTGGTGGAAATATCAGCCGTAACTACAACCACCATATCGAAGGGACTCATGATAGGTATAATAGAAGGACAATGAAGCCCAATCAAGATTTATAATACCTGAGAATAATAGAAAGAAAGTCTTATTTCAAATCAAATACAGTTGAATCGCTGCTGATCTAGTCCCTAAAGCTAACCTCCACATGATCGCCGGAGGGGTGGAGCGATAACAGCATAAGCTTAATCGAATATAGCAGGGGTACGAAGCCCGCGGACGGGTCATTTATTTTATTACAATGGATTCCTCAATACCTGATTTGATCAATTATCTACTGGAGATATCGCCATCCTACGGGAATGTCCCGACTCACTAGCGCCACTGATCATACCGGGAACTTTATAAGAACAACGTCTGACCCCGCTCGCCTTGTATGAATCCTTCCACGCTCACAACACCACCACTAGCACCAGCATTGAAAACATGTCAACAACTACACCATCCGCGGACCCCCCTCGTCCCTCCGCGGCGCCTCCAAGTTCAACCCAAGAAACCCCACCTGACAACAACAACAAGAACAATAACACCAACACCGACATCAACAACAATCTCGACAGCTCCCAAAAACGCCGCCCACAACCAGACCCCCCTCTCCCCACCCCCAAACTCCGCCTCCAAGTCAACGACCTCCGCCATCCCGGCACTCTCTCCTTCCAAACCCTAGTCCCAGACGTGGTATCCACCCTCGAAACAGCCCTCTCGACAATAATCCGCACGCTCTACACCGTCCCACCCCCACAACAAGATACCTCCTCCCCTCAGTCTGCCACACACCCCACCCCCATAACATTTACCCCATCTCTCCCACCCACCCGCTCAATCACCCTCATCCTCCGCGACATCCCCGGCGTAGCCTACACAACAGCCACCGAGCTCGACGACAGCCACAAAGAAATCACCATCTCCCTCCCCTACATACACACCAGCGCCAAGCGTCCCTCCGAAATACCAGGCGTGATCACCCACGAGCTCGTCCACTGCTACCAGCACACTGCCCCCCCTGCGGAGCCCGGAAAAACCAACAACAAAAGCACACCCCACCCACCCACCGGCCTCATCGAAGGCATTGCGGACTTCGTGCGTCTCAAAGCCGGCCTGGAGCCGCCACATTGGAAGAAGCCGAGTGCTGCGAAGGAGAGGGCGGAGAAGTGGGATCAGGGGTATCAGCATACGGCGTATTTTCTGGCCTGGTTGGAGGATGTGAGGGTGGGGAGGGGCGCGGTGGGGATGTTGAATGATCGGTTGTTGAGGGTGGGTTATTGTGAGGAGGGGGGGAAGGAGGGGGGAGGGGAGTTTTGGAGGGGGCTGTTTGGGGTTGGGGTTGAGAGGTTGTGGGTGGAGTATGGGGAGTATTTGGATGGGTGTGGTTGTGGCGCGGATTCGAAGACGGGAGAGGAGGGGGAGAGAGATCAGGAGAAGGTGGTTGTTTCTGCTGGGTAGTTGTGGTGGTTGACTGTTATATACCATGGCGATGAGAGGTTGGTCTCGGATATCCTGGGAAGCATCATTGCAAGTAAATGTCACGTTGATGCATTGGACTGGTGCCATCTATATACCGAGTCAAAAAGTGCAACCTTGCGTCAGTTTCAAGATCAATGCCGCACAAGTAAGCCCCAAACAAAAGCTTAAAAGAGACAGAGACATAAGAGAGAGAAAAGGAAAAAAAAAAAGATCATCTAATAAATCGAATAAATTTCCCATACTGTACAAAACCTGATATTCAAAAGAAAAAAGTAAAACAGATAGTATGTAATGCTGTTGTGCTGTCATGCCTTTCCCCGACAGCAGTACGATCGGAAAGTGTAGCGCCTTTTCATAATCTAACACGGCAATTCCAACTGCGTCCCGTCTTTCCACCATCTCATACAATCACCTCGCCCAGGTCCACGTGGACGGGCTTCCAGGGCGCGGCACCTTCCTCCTCGGTGGAGCTAGGCACACGCACATTCAGCGGGCTGTAGAGGTACCAGCCCTTGAGGGCAGCCACGGCAGCGCGGGACCGAGCCTCCAGCAGGCTGGCACCGGAGCCTTCTCCCAGCTTGTCCTTACCAGAGAAGATACCGACAATGAAGACGGGGTGTCTGCTCTTGCGACCAGTCTCGCTGATGATCTTGGCGACAGGCGGCTCGAAGTTCTCGCGCGCACAAAGTCGGGACAGGTCGCGGGCGGGTTGCGAGAAATTGAACAACTCGGAGATGTTCAGATGCCGGGAGAGGAAGTGCTGCTCGAAGAAGCGCTTGGCCGCCGGCCGGCCAGCGTGGAGGTAGATCGAGCCCATCAGTGCCCGCACGAAAGTTGCGTTGGCCCGCTCAAAGGAGACACCACCCTGGGCGCCTTGAGCATCAGCGGGGGATTGCGTAGTAGACTGCTCCCCGTATTCATTGTCGTAGACAATCCGGGAAGTGACCGACTTCCTCCACGACTTCTGGTGTGCGTTGGGCCTCATTGTAGCCCCCTCCGAATTCAGCTCGGTGCCAGGAAGGAGTCTCTGGAACTGAAGCAGCCCAGGGTCGACTTCACCTCCCGGCGCGGCGGCCCAATCCACGCCCCATTCTCTCGCCATTGCAGTCAACGTTTTCGGACCGACGTAAGCGTACATGGCCGCGAAGATGACGGTCAGAGGGAGTCGCGGGTAGGTGCAAAGGAGGTGTTCGGAGGTGTAGTAGGTTAGAAGGTCATGACCGAGCGTGGCCAGCGATTCATTGTTGAAGTTGGGATTCGGATCCGCAGAAGCGTCCACGAGGGACCGTGCTAGTGTCTCGAGCGGTAATCGGGAAGGGAGGTAAAGTCGTGCATGGAGGGCGGCAAGTTTTGCGGATTCGCGTGCGGCCTCAACCGGCGGTGATGGAAGAGCGTATTTCGACTGTTGGGCATTGGAAGAGAAATGAGGGGGGAATGACTGCTCATCAGCCAATTGATTGTTTTCAGACTGAGCAGCAGGCGACACAGTCGTTTGGGATCGTGCTCCGCGATAGATGTTTTGTTGCAGGCGGACACCAGCCCGCGCTCGCGCCGAGAGGGCCGAACTGCTCCATCGGAGGAGCTGCAGCCGCTTCATCTGGAAAATAGAAAGGAGAAGGAGATAAAATAGAAACCAGACAATAGCAAGGGCAATAAACAACTACTGCCCAATTCGTTGCGTGGAAGGATAGGGACGAGGGCTTCGAACGAATCTCGTATGAACTTTTGGCCGGACGAGAAAAGTCGAGCTTCGGCGGAAGTCACGGGGTCTGGGTGTTGCGAAGAACACTAAACCTAATTAGGAGATAATGTCACGGGACCCGGACCAGCGACGTCGACGGCCCTTTCGGCATCGACACTCCTCAGAACCCACGCCGTCTCAGCGAGCCATTGTCCACACCACACCTCTCCAATTTCTTACACACACCCGTAATCAATATGGGCGGAGGCGGCAAGATCCCGTATGTATTTGCCCGCATCATCCGGTTTGTTGCTGCAACCGAGGACTAACGGATCGGCCGTACAGGTATCCCAAGGAAGTCTGGTCTCCTGCCGGAGGCTGGTATTCTCGGCCTGCGAACTGGAGACTCAACACTGCCATCCTTGGCGCCGCCATGCTTGGAGTCGTCGCCGCGACTTGGAGTCTTAGCGCCGAGCGCGAGCACCGCGACAAGATGCCCGAGCCGGGCAGATTCTTCCCCAGTCGCTAGTAAGTCCATCGCCCGGTTGAGGCGGGGTTTGAATGGTGCTGATATGGGCTTGTCCGAATGTAGCTGGAGCCGACAGATCGTTGAGCATGAAAGACAACAAGCCGCTGCGAAGCAAGATTCATAAAGAGATTACGAAGTGGTGGATAGTTGCCTGGGATGATTCTACAAAACAGCAGGAATTTTTGTTTCATATTGTGGGCTGTACGACAATAGAAGGGCGTTAATCGATCGGTCAATTGATCTGCAAGTGCTTTTGGGGAGCCTCTTCAAGTGTCTGGTGCAAACGCCGAGTGTACAGACGGACCCGTTCCGTGAATTCAGTTTCGTTCCAAAATTCACTCCCACTGCTTGACGTAGACATATGTGGCACTCCGATCTGTTCTACCACGAACCCTGCTGCAACAGTGGCAAGGATAAGTGCGAGAGGGACATTGCTCTGTTCTCCCCACGTCTCCATTGCTTTCTTCCAGCCTGCGGAGTCTGCGAGAACCGACTGGATGACATCTGCAGGAGCTCTCCCCGCACTGACCAGTCCCTGTGCCATCGCACCCAAGAAAGAATTCCCCGCGCCCGTGGGATCAACGACGGCCGTAGACCCATCATCGCCGGGTTGATGATAAGCGGGAAGCCAGATACTGTGCGTTCTCGAGTATGCGTAGCTACCGTCTTTCCCAGCACGGATGACCAAAGTCCCTTTACCCTCAGGGCCAATCCCGGAGTCAAGGATCCTCTTCACTATATCCTTTCCGAACTGACTCTCCGTGCTCCACCCAGATTGCCCGAACATCATCCCCAGCTCTAGCTCATTGGGGCTCACCACATCCACTACCCTGTTCGCCGCGAAGAAGTTGTCTGCTTCCTCGGGCGTACACAGGTTTGGCACCGGCTCCCAGACAAAAAGAGGTCGCTGCGCAGCAAGGTCGGAAGAAGGCGCTTTACCATCTCGTAGAAGCTCTTCCCGCCGTCCAAGAATACCTTCCACGATGTCTATGCAGCGCGAAGACGAGCAGACCATGTGGAACGTCTTCGAGAACACCTGAGCGTCAGACAGACTCGAAGCGTCTAGCCGTAGCTTCGGCGTCAGGTATGCGAAATCTGCAATATCCTTTAACATCCTTTTCTCCACAAACCGTCACCGAAGCCTTCTAAAGAACTTGGTGCCTTGAATGAATGCATGAACAGACGGATAAAGCACGAACCTCTCTTCTCATCAGCCCCATACCCATTCCAAGCCCGCGTCGTCAACCTCGTACGGTCCTCCCGAACCACACATGCCGTCCCCCACGACTCAATCAACTCGAGAACTTCATTTGGAAAATCCGAGCCAACATCAACAGTCCAACTCACAGACCGCGCGTCTTCCTTCCCAGCGACCATCCTCGCCCCAACAACAGCGAACGACGCAGCCCCGCCAATCACGTTCTTCACGCTAGGTCTGGTCCCCCCGAAGTCAATGTCATCTGCAGCCAGGTAAAAGATCAGGGTGAGTATACCGTGCTATGCGGAGTGTTTAGGCGTTTGAGAGTGGATGATGCACTGGTAGCATACCGAGGATGAACATGCCCAGCGTGCAGAAATCGACACCATTTCCGAGAGCAGGGGTTTGGGCCATGTTTTTAAAATATTATATACTGGCGTGCTGGGGTTGAACTGTAATGTTGCAATAATCTTGCGGGCACTTTGTTGGAGAAACTGATTGTATGAGCGGGGTTGAAGGAAGTGTTCCTGTTCTATATGGGCGAAAAATACCCGAGCGTTACGGTCTGATACCGCTGCTATCATCCTCATTATTGCAGCCTACTACCGAATATACGTTTTGAATAGTAGGCATGCCTTGCTTACTGCCAGGTGCTTTCTATCGTGCATTACTACCTTACTTGACATGTATAGTTTATTGGTCGATAGAAAGTTTGAGTTTGCATACACTCTTGTACAGGACTTGAAATATCTACTAGTATCCGTGTACCGTGCTAAGTTCCTGGTATCTACCTGCCTTCGAGCTTGGAGTATTGTCAGGTAAGTAGTTGACTACACATTTTACCAGATACTTATATTTTGACCTAAAAGCGTAGAGGAAAAGACCTTGGCTATGGATTGCCCAATGCTACCCCGATAGACGCCAATCAAGGGTAGGAGGAAACGTCAGGACCGTTCGCCGGTACTCCAGAACACCAACAGAGATATCCTGAACGTGCAAAAACAGACCAGAAAGAAGGGTTTTTCATGTTCCTTGTGCATGTGAGCCTTTTGATTGATTTCCAATTATGAATAGAGCGTAATCTATACGGAGAAAGAAATGAATGGCACTCTGGCAAGTCCTGCGCAATTAGTCGGCTGTCTCAGAGCCCTGAACAGCTGCAATATTTGTGCAATTTTCAAAACAAGCCTGAAATTTCCACTTCTGATATGTATATCAATCCATAGTTTTTGGGTCGGGGTTTTGTACCTCCAGTGCCCTGAGTCTCTTGGCCAGGAGACTCTCCCGGGCTTTGGATCCGTTGAAAGAGCTAAACGGATAGCGAGAATAACCAGTATCCTCTGTATTAAGCTTACTATAATGACTGGTGCCAGGAGAGTATGCCTCCGTTGGCGTTGCATCATGTGCCGGTAGAGATTCTTCCCGCAAAGAAGGAATAGGTTGGAAGGGATGCGGGGGACGTTGATGCGGTTGAGTGTTCATATGATTGATTGCCCCTGGTGTCGCCTCCCTTGTAGCCGGCGCTCCTGGCGTGCGGGCAGAGGGATTCAGATGCGAAATCGCGGCGGAATCTCGACCAGCGGTAGACCTTTGAGAGCTCATCTTTGCGCCGCAGTGGCTATGGTTGGAGTCCCGAGACGGACGATAAGGTGTATAGCGAGGTTCTGGGTGCTGTATCTCGTTCCGCAAACTTTCCTTCCCATCGGGGACTCGGTTTGCGAACACGACACGAATGACAGAGTGAAGGTAGAAACGACCCCGGGAGGGACTGCAGATGTTGAGGTGGACCATGTATCTCAGTATAGGTTTGTCTTGGGGATCTTCCGAAGTATTCAGAGACGCTTCTGGACGATCGGTTCCATAATTCTTTCGAGCGTGCAAAGGCATATCGATGATGGGACCTGCCGAATAGCTCCTTTGCCGGAAGAATGTCTTCGAGCCTGGCTCCATATCGCTCAGGTCGTACGGGACAAGGAACAGCTTAACCGCCGTTTTATTTGGATTTTTGATCATGATCTGGAGCTGGCCTTGTTGCGGGATTCGATAACAACCGCCTGGAGGAGACTTAGGGGACTCGGCCCTTCGGTGCTTTTTCTCCCGCTTGCGTATAGCTCCCTGATCGTTGAGCGTAGAAGGTAGGGCGCTTTGACCGCTGTGTGTTGGGGTTTGGCTCTGATTATGCCTACGGCGTTGGCTGGCCCCTGACGTATCCTTCGAAAGGGTGTTTTCGAGGTCAATGAGGCCAACGTAAGGGCTGGGGTTGTCGTCTGATATCGATCGTCCGCACCCAGATGTTGGATAGCTATAGAAGACCGCCGGAAACGGTATTGTGACGTGTGGAGGACATCTAAGATTAGCTTTACAGTTCCCCTTGCCAAGCACGCCGATCTGGGCAGTGAAGTCCAGCGGCTTTGATGGGTTGGTCGACATCCTACCCCGTAGGATAGACTCTTCATAAGAACCCACCATCGGGGCGAGTGCTTTGGCAGGTCTTTCGGACACCAGGGATGGCCTTCTGGCACTTGGGCATGGTGTTTGAACGGATGATGCCAATTGAAGGCTATATGGCGACGTAAATGAGCGCTGAAAGGAGACTGGCTCATTCCAGTGGCCCGGGGAGACACCGAACTGCATCTCCGCTGCCCCGCGATGCGCCGGCGAAGGCGACTGAAGGTCCCGGAACGTTTCGGGGGGTAATGTACGACGACGGTTGGCCTTTCTCCATGACTCCGATTGTTCGATCGCGTCGCTCTTCGGAGAGAAATCCAAGTCTGTATTGTTTGCTTGATATACCAGGGGGCTTGTCGGGGTCTTCAAAACATAACTTGAAGAAAACGACCCCAACGATGGTGCCCTCGCACGGGCTGCTGGCGTATCCTTGTCACTGGGAAGATGAAACAATGTCGAGGGTCCACGGCCCGAAGGCGAGAAAAACGACGGGCTGAACCAAGGCGTGGTGGGAGAACTGCCCAGAGGGGGAGGTTGGTAATCGGCACAGGGACTCAATCCAGACGACTGTGGCAATTGCTGCCCATCCTGGCGCTGAGGGATGCCTTCTCGAAAGTCGCCCGAATGTAATGCTGACCGGGGGCGTTCAATATCGGCCGGAGACGCTAGCTGTTGGTCATGCAACGGGGGACCACTCGAGACAGTATTATTATTGGGTTCGGCTCTAACGTCCGGAGTTTCATTGCATGTTTGGGGGAGATGACAGTGACCAGCACTTGTCTCTCCTGCCTATGCGCGGGTAATCAGCACACGAACATGTTTGACCTCCATCTTCTCTTGAAAAAAGAAGGGAGAGGAATATTAAGGAATAGAGCATACCAAAGCGGGTCGGTTCCATTTAGAAGGATCGGTGCTTTTTATATACCGGATAAGCTCCTCTCGGTCATTCGTATGGACACCGGACGTATGGTATAATGCCGGACTATCAGATGGGAACACCGGGTTTGTCTGGTCCGGACTGGGCTGCCAACTGTGCCCATGATTATGAGACCAGGAGAGCGCTTTTCGTCGTTGATCCTCCTCATTTACCACAAGGTGGCGTTGGCGGCTATGGCTGCGGCGGTCGTCGGACCACAAGTTATAAAACCGTTGACGATCTGGATCTTGAAAGATAGGCATTTTCAGAGGTATATATAACGACAAGATAGAAAGAGAAAAGAGCCAACCATCTCAACCGCAGTATAGGGTCGCGGAAGAGATGGCGGTAGAAAGAGGACGGCGGAGATAATCACGGAGTACGGAGTATAACGGAGAGAGCAGTAGTAGTATGATTAAACAGGGGGGGGGTACTGGAGGGTAGCGCAAGAAAAAGAAACCAATGCTTCAGGTGATCAGAGGATCAACTTATATGAGGGGAGTTTGAAGCCATCGATACATCATGTCATGCGGACCACTAGAGTCAGAGGATCCACCAGGGTAGAGTTAGTTAAGTAAGGCAATCAGGAGACCTAGGTAGTTAACTATGGATCATGGGTGACTCAAAGAGAGATGGGATTGAATGGATGAAACGGCCGGATGGGATGAAATATTACCATCCTGCAAGCGGAGAGAGTGGTATTATAATACGCGATGATATCAATGCCAGCATAAAGTGGCAGGATCAACTTGCCCATTTTGCCTCTTCCGGCTGTTATTCTGTAATCGTATTACAGACTTCCATTTTACGTCACTACTGTGATATTTTCATGCTGAATTTTGGTTGCTTGGTTCGTATATTAACTCTTTGTCATGAGTTATAACCAGATAACCATGATATATATTAATACACTAATATCTGTATCCATGTTGTTTGCTGTTAGGACATGATGAACTGGTTGACACCTCATACTCAAACAGTCTGTGACTTGTGAATCTAATTAATTACGCCTCCTGCACGGTCACGTCACGTCTGACCTTTTTCTCTCTTTTTGCTAGAGACTACTCTGTACCATACCACTTCTAGCATAGTCTCAGACGGGCCCAGTAAATCTTTTCCAACTCCAATTATTGCCCGCACACCGCCTTACCCATATCGCATCTGGTTTTGCTCCAAGATACTATCAAGAAGAGCCAAAAAAAAAAATAACAACCAGACAAAAGTCCAAACCCCCAAATCTCTTCCAAACCCCCTATTAAATAAAACATGGCACCCAAACGCCCCCGAGACACTGACTCGAACCCGGCCGCCAAAAACCCCACAGAATCGCAGATCAAAAAGCGAAAAGGCTTCTCCGTCGGGCCTGAAAACCTGCCCGATGGAACCTATCGTCGCAAGGGTGAGTGTTGATTTGCTTGTCTTATTTTGCGGTGTATAATTCGCGCTTCATGTGCATGAATCTACCTACCTACCTACCTAACTCAGGTACACCTGTGTGATGATGGCCCGTTTCTAATTTTATCTCGGTTTGCAGCGCAAAAAATCAAAGCCGACCTGATCCAAAAAGCCAAAGTCAAAAAAGCCTACGCCAAGATCAAAGCCGCGCAGGAAGCGGACGCTCCGCGGAAGCCCGCCTACACAACTGAAGATGACCAGAACGGCGACGGGCAGAACAATGATGATGCAGAACCCGTGTCCCTCGATCCCCACCCGGAGCGCGTGGCGATGATGAACGAACCCGCGCGCCCCAAGCGAGCGCCTCTACCGGAGAATCCGATGCCGAACATGAACCCCCGAGATCGTCGGCAGCGGAAGCCGAAGAAGTCGGCGTTTGCGAAGGAGTTGGAGATTGCGGAGAAGAGGAAGCAGGAGGTTGAGAGGCGGCGGAAGGAGCGCGAGTTTAGGCAGAATGATCGGGAGGCGATGGCGAGGGCGAAACGGCCGGATCAGAATGGGAAGAGGAGGTTAGGGAGGGAGAGTAATGTTTTGCTGAGTCGGGTGCAGCATTTGGTTGGGGAGTCGTAGGAGATTTCAATTTTTTACTTTTTTTTTTTTTGTTGGAGATGGTGGTGGATATATGGGGAGAAAAAGTTTTGAATATGATACCCACTCAAGATAGATAAGAGAAGAGCATGGACTATTATTTCGTGGAATGCAGAATTATTTACATAGTTGCCAGTCAAGTTGATGTGCGTATAGAGAGAGTATATAAGGCTTGGATTGTATCACGATACCGAACCCTTCTGGCCCGTGCCGCTTCTCGGCTTCCGGAAGCACGCAAACTCTCCCTTTGTCTTCTCCCGTAACTTCTTGAGGATTCCTCTCATCTCGCCCAGTTCGGACTGGAGTCGAGCACGCGCTTCGTGGCTAGTCCGACGGTCGAGTTCGACGTAGATTTGGCTTTGTACCGCGGCGGCTTCTTCTGTCGAATATAGCGACATCGTCTGCGCGATGAATTCCGTGTCCAATGTGGCTTGCATCAGAGCGGCGAGCGTATACGAGGACCGGGAGCTAAACGCCGTGAGCAACGATGACGAGACTTTCGTTAACAAGTGGGTGAGGACTATAGATAGTAAGGGAGACGGAGAAGGCGGCTTCGAGCGGCTAGGTGGGGCTGCACTGGACGGGATGGTCGTTGATATCTCGGTGTGGACGAGCACGAGAGTCAACATCGTCGCGTACACATATGGGCGCACTTGGTCAGGCCGAGAAGTGGACGGCTCCCAGTCGGACGCAGTGGCGCCATTGTAGATAGTTGTATTCAGCGTATTGACTGTCGGTGCGGTGTATGCATGGAACAGACGGTTGTCGATTTGGTTGAGCACGTCCCGAATAGTCTTGGCCTCTTCGGTCAACTGGACGGAAAACGACGTCTCGAAGTTCGCAACGAGCTGTGGTACGAGATCCGCTTGAAGGCATTTGATATTCGACAGCGTGAGCAGGATGCGCGCGTTCTGTGAGTTGATTAGATATTGATCAATGTCCTACTGCAGGGAGACACCGCGAAACTTACCCTGTCCTTCGGATTGATCGTGTCGGCAACAGCAAGGGAAGAGGCACCAGGCCTATTGCGTGCCGCAGCTCTGGAGACAATCCACTCGTTGTCTTCTTCAGGGGTCGATGGATGTTCGGCGTTTTCGACCAGACCGCTCAGTGCCTTGTAAACGCTGGACACAAACTGAGCGCGCACCATCTGGAGCAGCTTTGTGGGGGGTTGAGTCACGACGTCGACGGCGCCAGACTTTGCCGTTGCTTCCGATATGTAGAGGATCTTTTGCATCCCGCTCAGGATGACGTTCTCGAAAGCCACAAACAAACCAGGCATCTTTGTCAAGTCCCTTCTCTCCGAGTCGCGCGTCCAATCCTCCAGCATCTTACAATATTCGGCGTCTTTGCCCCACGAAGAGCAAATGGCGCGGGCCGAGCGCTCACGAGCGACACTCACGAGCGACTTGAGAAGGTCAGGGGTCGTATTGTCTCTGGAAACCGGCCCCAAAGCGGCCATCTCACTCGCAGCTGCGCCAATGATGACAAGGAACTGGCTGAGATAGTGAACACCGCTGAGAGAATTCGAGAAAGGCGGCCAGAACGAGAAATCCTCCCAAGGCTCTCCGTGCTTGGGGGTCGGGAAGGGCATATTCTTCGGGTCCAGCTTGAAGCGGGACTCGGTGGGAGTCACGCCAACACTGACGGGGCTATTGGGAGTTGGAGGAGAGATGGGGGATGTGAGCACGGTCGCGTCGTCCACAGGCGAATTAGCAAATAATGTCAGTACGCTTTCACGGACCAAGTTGACCAGGTCGACGACCCCTTTTTGCAAGTGCATGACATTCTCAGGTGACAGTCTGTGGTGCTTACGGCTTTCCCCCTCGAAGCCAGCCGGGAGGAGCTTTTGCTTGCTCCCATCAATGAACGACTGCGTCACTTCCCAGAAATCGAAAACCTCACCCAACAGACCGCCTTGAGATAAGAGGAGTCGGTTCAAGTATGCATGAATGCAGTCCCAAAGCTCAATGATTTGATCGTTGTCCAGTAGTGTTTGTGCGTCGGCGGGAACGTCGTTTGATGCCAGACGGAGATACGACACTACGGCCTGGGCCGTTGGCTTCTCCAGACTGAGCAGTCGGCGCCTCAGTATCTCAATCTCCGCCTTGCAGCGTTCGCAGAATGCCGTGATCTTGTGCCTCAGGAAGTCGTAGCGGCTGAGCAGCCACACCCAGATCGGATTTTCCTCTACGCCCAGCTCCAACAACGCTCCAATTAATTCCATGTGCTCCTCGACGGCCCCCGACGCGGTCACCGTTGTTGAAGTGGTTGGGGCATCACTGAGACGTTTCCACAGATCGCGTTTGAACACTTGTATTTGCTGGTCCACATCCATCCACATTCGCCCCATGGCCAAGATGGTATGCGTTTCCTCGTCCGTCAGTGCTCGGTGTCTGCTTGTCGCAGCGTCTGCAATATTCTGCGCATCCTTTGCCAGTGTCCGGGCTTTGGTGTATTGCTCGAAAACCGAGTCGTAATCTCGCTGCTTAATGGACTTGGACAGCAGACCGCCTATTTCGTAAACGTCACGGTGTCGCTCCATGCTGCTGACCACCGACTTCAGCATTAGCTCTCTCTCCCGACCCCCCAACGCTGGGCCCCATACTTCCTCCGCCTTGACGGACGCTTCGACGAGAGGGTCCCGGATCCCCTTCATCCCGTATTCGCTCTCCTTCACCAAAGCATTCTTCTTCGGTCCAGGAGTGGGAGAAGCCAGAGGGGTGCTCTGCTTTCCGCTCGAGTAACTCCCAAATTGCCCCGATCTACGGGGCCGGACCGGTGGTTCTTCCTCCTTCCCCTGGTTTCTCATTTCGGTGTAAACGCTATCAATTGTCGCTTTCGCCCGGACGAACCGCTCGAAATTCGCTTCGACGAGGACCTTCAACGACGCGGACTTTTTGTCGATCGACCGCGATAAGAACTCGAGCCCATTGAGAAGGGATTGGATGGAGGCGTCGGAGTGGACTTGGGAGAGAAACAGGGCGGGCGAGAAGGAATTCGACGACAGCAAGAAACGGTTGCGTAAACGGCTCTCGTCCTCCACCGACAACCCTCTGCTCTTCAGTATCTTGAGGACACTCTCGCGTGTCCCCAAGGGGTCGGGTTCGTCATTCTTCACCAGATTCTCCCGGCCCGTGTTGGCCTTGAACGACCCCAGATTGATGGTCTTGCGCTCGCTGCCGCTGCGCTCGAGAGCGACGTACCGCGAACCCCGGCGCCTCAGGCCCTCATCTTCCGGATGATCCTCCTCCTCCTCTTCGAGCTCGGCCGGCCATTCTTCAGGGAACGCCGTGGGTAGATTATAATAACTGGCAATGTCCGCGTCGCTCATTGTGGCCGAAGGTGAGGCGGAAGGCCGTCGGATCGCAAAGGAAGGGTGGTGGGATGACCGATCAATCGCCGGAACGAGGAGTTAAGCAGGGCCTCATGCAGGGTGCCCGCAACGGTAAGGGTGGAGCAAGTCAGCAGCAAGCAGTCATGCCAAGCGGACAAATAGGTTAGTGTAGCACGACGGAACATTAACCAAACCAGGAGAGATGGATGTTCCTTGGGGTCCACGGAGGTGAGAGGGAGGCGATCCTTCAACCTAGAGCGATTTTGAATAGTAGATTCAAGGCTCAATCTTGATGAGCGCGTCCGTGTTATCTGATCTGGGAGTTACTGTTTTCCATAGATATACTCCGTAGCGGTACTAAGTACTAAGGTCGAGAGATGTTGCCACTATCGGACCGGGTGCGGCGCTGCCGAAGACCCAAGATTGGTCTGGCCTAATGGAATAATGGAACTTCTCTCTCTGTCTCTCTCTCTCTTCCCGCACACGCAAAGCCAGTCCGCCCGGCCCGTCTCTCTTCTCTCTCTCCCTCCTCCACTCTCTCACCCTCCTTTTTCCCTCCCTCCCTCTTCCACATCAATTGTTTGTGCTGGGGATATATCAATATGATCGCTGCTAGGAATTTTGCTGCCCCCGCCCGGCAATGCTTGCGGGCGTCTCGTGTCACCCCCCGAGTTGTCTCGCCCTTTTCGCAGGTAATGATTTTCTCACCACTAGCTTCACCTTATATGAGAACATTCCCCCGATCGCTAACTTGGATATTTAGCTGCGTGGTTTCGCCTCCGCTGATGAACGGGTCGCCAAGTTCAAGGGACAGAAGGGTTCTGATGTATGTTGGTTTTTGGGAATTATCCTTTCTTTTTTGGAGGGGTTTTTGCCCGTTTTCTTTTTTTTCTTTTTTTGGAAGTCCTGGACCTTTTTTCGCTGGTCTGGATCCGATGGCATCCGCCTCGATTTTTCGCCCGTCTTTGCACGCGGCATTGACTATGCTACACAATCGGAAAATGAAAACAAAGAATGATTCTGACATGATCGGGATTTAGGGAAAATACACGGTGACTTTGATTGAGGGTGACGGTATCGGCCCCGAGATCTCTCAGTCTATCAAGGACATCTTCGACGCCGCGAAGGTATGATCTCTCGTGTCTTTCGGTGTCGCCTGTCATACCCAGACAGAGCGCTAACCTCACACCACATATAGGCCCCCGTCAAGTGGGAGCCCGTCGATGTTACGCCGATCCTGAAAGATGGAAAGACCGCTATCCCCGACGATGCGATCGCGAGCGTGAAGAAGAACTACGTTGCCCTGAAGGGTCCCCTTGCTGTATGTCTATAACAGCCAATGCCCGGGATGGGCTTCGCTAAGCATGATCGCAGACCCCCGTTGGCAAGGGCCACGTCTCCCTCAACCTGACTCTGCGTCGTACCTTCAACCTGTTCGCCAACGTCCGTCCCTGCCGCTCCGTTGCGGGCTACAAGACCCCCTACGACAACGTGGACACCGTCCTGATCCGTGAGAACACCGAGGGTGAATACTCCGGCATCGAGCACGTCGTCGTCGACGGCGTTGTCCAGAGCATCAAGCTCATCACCCGCGAGGCTTCCGAGCGTGTGCTGCGTTTCGCCTTCCAGTACGCTCGTTCGATCAACAAGAAGAAGGTCCGCGTCGTGCACAAGGCCACCATCATGAAGATGTCCGACGGTCTCTTCCTGAACATCGCCCGTGAAATCTCCAAGGAGTTCCCCGACATTGAGTTCGACGCTGAGCTGCTCGACAACTCTTGCCTGAAGATTGTCACCGACCCCACCCCTTACAACGACAAGGTCCTTGTCATGCCCAACCTGTACGGTGACATTCTGTCCGACATGTGCGCCGGCCTGATCGGCGGTCTCGGTCTCACCCCCTCCGGCAACATCGGTGACGAGTGCTCCATCTTCGAGGCCGTCCACGGTTCGGCCCCCGACATTGCTGGCAAGGCTCTCGCCAACCCCACTGCTATGCTGCTGAGCAGCATCATGATGCTTCAGCACATGGGTCTCCACGACCACGCCAACCGCATCCAGAAGGCTACTTTCGATACCCTGCAAGAAGGCAAGGTAAGCTATAAACCAGTCATCCATCCTATTCTATTCCAAAGGATGCTAACATTCTTACAGTACCTGACCGGTGATCTTGGCGGCAAGGCCAAGACCCACGAATACGCCGGGGCCATCATGAACCGCCTATAAGGGAGTGTTCACTGTACTATTTTTGTCTATCATCTCTTTTTTTATTTAGCCTGTGAATGGTTAGACCCAATGTACTGATCAGTCCTACGTATTTCTATATGTAATTATTCCAAAAGCCGTTTTGATAATCTGGGCTTTCCTTGTTTGGATAAGATTTATTGGTTTCTGTCAAGTGGATGCTTGTTTTACATCATTGATAGGCGTTGAGACTGCCAATCAAACATAACCCAACCGTAGAGCACATGGACACAACGACAGAAATAAAGACAGGGATCAACCACGCAGAGTCAAGCAACAGCCAAAAACGCCAGCGCCGGAGACTGAAGGTATCAATGCAATACAACACAAGAAAGAGGCATCCCGAATCAGCGCCGCCGTCCACCTCGCCTAGTCCCCGTCGCACCTCCTCTCTTCTGCTTAGTTCGAGATGTTTGAGCGCGTGTGCTTCGCGTCGTTGGAGATCCCCCTGTATCCCCATCACCGTCTTCATCGCCCTCGCTCTCGTATTTTCCACCGTCTGTATTGTCCTCGTCTTCCTCGTCGTTTCCTTCCGAGTCGTCATCCTCTTCTCCTGTCCCGGAGCTCTTCCTATGTCGTTCGACTTCGACGTGGAGTCGTGAGGAACGTGTGCCCCGGGCTGCTTGGCGACCGCCCCGACCGGGTTTCCTTCCTCTCGACGACGGCGCGGGCGACGACCGTGGTTCTGTAAACATCCTTGCGTTAGTAGTGCTATAGAATATAGAACACGGAAAAACGAACCATCTGTATCAGCCACCGTACTGGGTCTTCTCGAGTCCCCTTGGACACTCTGCTCGGGCGATGCCGAACCCTCCATCGCCAGCCTTCTTTCAAACATCATCTCGCCGTATTCATCCTCAGGAAGCTCGAACGGACAATAGAGTTCCCGCGACCCATCCCCATCATCCGCGACATCCATAATCAGCGAATCTTCCTAGAGACGCAAAACACCAGTTAACCAATGACAGACCCCAACACAACCATCCACCACCACCACCAACATACCCGTTCATTAAGCGCAGGAAGGTTATACAAGGTCCCCAGCTTCTTCCAAATCCCAGGTATGCGCGTATGCTCCGCATGCGACGGCGCATATCCCTGGCTCTTCATATACTCCGCGATAGCGACCATGCGAAAGTGCTTGTGTATCCCTAAGAGAACGAAGCTTTATCAGCATGCGCTGTCTCCTCTTTTACCGTGATCGCTTTTGGCAAGGTGAAGGGCAGACGAACCAACTGGCTTCCATTTTATGATCCCCTTCAGCAGCGCAGTCTCCTGCTCGTCGGTCCACGGGTCCGTTACAGCGTCGTAGTCTGTGTTCGGCTGCGCTGGGGTGTCGCCGGAGGGGGTATTCGTTGACGATGGCGTGGGCTCGGCTTGCGCTGTGAGCTTGGGTTTCTTCCTAGGTGGCATGTTTATGTGTGTAGATTTGTCAATTGATGGGGTATGGCGGGGATGAATTGATTGTAGAATGCGCTCCAAGAGAGGTCGCGATGACGCTGGGCGGTAATGGCTGGCAGCAACGGCGCCCGCGGCGAATTTCGGTTTCCCGAACTAGAGGTGGCCTGAGCGCCTGAGGAGACAAGCGCTAGCTCGCGTCACAACGCGCCCGTCAACTGATAAGAAATCATCCGCATTCCCCAGGAGGTTCTCAATGTCGTGTGTCTGTGATCATGGAGCTAGATGATCATGCGACGGAACCTTTCTCTAGTGATGGGCTCTGGAGGATCTCTAAATTCACTTTGCAGTCCATCCAGCCTCTAGAGCCGCTACCATGGGACGAGAAACTTCCTGGTTCGTCTTGTTATCGTTGAACCTTCCGTTTGGGTTTGGAGTGCTGATTTGCGCATTTTCTTTAGATCTTTCTGGGGGCTTTTTTAAGAGTCCTTTGAATTTGCTCGAAGACCGTCATCATGGACTACATCAGCTTGACGTACATGGACTCGAATTGTTCAACCCCGATCCTCCGCCGGAGTTGACGACGGACACTTCCAGCGATACGCACCTAAACTTGGATCTCGATCAGAACGATGATGAGGAGGAATTGGATCATATCTGGGCGCTTGAAAACTTGAAACACGAGCCCGACACCAAAGCACGACTCAAATCATGGGAAACCTACCAAGACCGAACGCACCCCGAGCCCATTTCAGCATACTTCAGCGAGTCCGGGCCGCGAGGTTTCGATGCGGCATTGGCACAACCGACTACAAGTGGCGATAAACGTGAGACTAAGCGCGTGGTACGCAATGATGTTTTCCTACAAGCCCTGCTTAGACTCGGGCTAGGCTGGAGCTCTATTTTCTTCCGGTACAACGACCAAGATAAGAGGTTCGAGCAGGTGCTGCATGGTATCCGGGTATCCGGAGTCAGCGCCGCTGCATTGAATGGTGTGACGGATGAAGTGCTACAGTGTGGAACAAACATGCAGAAGGTGCGACGATTCGCCGAGAAGATACCTATGAGGTCGAACGAGCCCTCCGTGATGTGCTCCTTTTCAAGCGCCATGGCTGTGATTATCTATACGCTAGAAAACCAACTTGCGAGATGCTCTGCCGGAGCTAGGTCACTTCTTCAGATCAGAGCGTTATTCGAACGGCGTGGGGAATTGGTTGGTGCACTAGCGAATATGGTGGAGGCTGTCGAGGGAGCTGCCTCGGACGCCCAGATCATCTCAATTGTCCTTGAGAGAACTGCCCATTTCTCTCAGACGTATAGTCACTTGGAACAGCTCTTCCGGGAGATTGTCTATCGAATCAGCGAGCCTTTTCTGCGCCATGTCGAGAGCTGGGTGGGGTTCCGCTCGGAGACGTCGGCGTTGAATGAACTAGCGACTACTGGGAGGAGCTTTGTGGCTTTGGAGCGCCATGAACACAGACCTAGATCAGGAGCGTCGAAAAGGAACGAGGTTGAGTACAGCTATCGTTCATATCAAATGCCGTCTTTCATCCCCGCGGACCAAGCGAGGTTGATCTTCGAAAGTGGGCGAAGCCTGCGCTTGCTCAAACGATCTCATCCCCAGCATCCAGTTGCGAGCGAGGATCTTTGCGATACTTCTCCCAAGTTCGAGTGTGCGAGGACTTGGAAAGATATCGAGAGAATCCAGGGCAAGGCTCACGACTATGAAAGGAGGCTGCGTTCTGAGATACGCAAGTACAATCGGGGAGTAGTCTCATCCCATAACGAAATCAAGGGCTCTGAGCATAGCGACCCCCAGGAACAGGAGGCGGCGATAGTGGCTGGTACTTTTGAGTTGTTCGACATCGATGATAGTGGAAACACGACCGGACTTTTGGAACATCACTCGGAGAAGGATAAGATAGGGCAACTACTCGATAACAACACAAACAATGACACCAGGGAACTCGAACAAGAAGGGTCCTTTGGTCCGGACCTCGTTTCCTCTCTTTATCTGTCAATTGCGCCGCTGCTTTCATCCCAGGCCCTATTGATCGACTTTTCCTGTCTTCACCTCCTGTTCAAAGAACACGGCCTCAGAGACCACTTAAATCTCCAATGGCGTTTCCAGCTTCTCGGCGATGGTTTCTTCACGTCACGTCTCTCCCACTCCCTCTTTGACCCAGAAATGGCCAGCGGCGAGCGCAAATCCGGCAAAGTACGGAACAGTGTTCACACCGGCCTGCGCCTAGGCAGCAGGGATACATGGCCCCCAGCCAGTTCCGAACTACGATTAGTGCTCATGGGGATCCTCAACGAATGCTACGACGGAGGCGATCACACCAGCGAAACGGAATCCCGCAAAGAACGAGAAATCCCCGGCGGATTGAACTTCTCCATCCGCGAGCTGACCGACGAGGAGATCATCAAATGCAGAGACCCGAACGCGATCGAAGCGTTAGATTTCTTACGCTTGCACTACACACCATCAGCAGTCCTCGAGACAATAATCACCAAGCGGTCTCTCTCCAAATACGACACCCTCTTCAGACACGTCCTCCGCCTCCTCCGCATGGTCTCAGTAGTCAAAGGCCTAATCCGCGACTCCACAGCCAGGGACTCCCTCTCAGGCGACACGCGCAACGTGTTCCAGAAATTCCGCATCGACTGCCAGCACTTCGTCCTCGCCGTGAGCGACTACTCCTTCCACGTCGGCATCGGCTCAACGTGGCAGCGCTTCCAGGAGACGCTCGCCCGGATAGACACCTGTCTCAGCCGAGGCGACATCGAAGGCACGATCGACGCCGCCCACTCCGTCCCCAGTCTCAGGGACTACCACGAGGATATCCTCGACCAGATGCTGTTCTCGCTGTTCCTCAGCCCGCGCCATGCGGACGCCGCGAGATTGCTCGAGGGCATCTTCGGCACGATCCTCGTGTTCGCGCCTCTTTCGAGGCTGGATGGATTGCGGGGCGTTCGGCATGAGAGCGAGGCGACTGTTTATCGGCTGTATGCTACGTTCCGGAAGCAGACGTCTGCCTTTGTGGGCTATCTGCGCGGCTTGGATAGTGCCAAGGAGTCGTCGAAATCGGGGGGTCGATTTGGGAAGATGTTTGCCTCGAGGGAGGCGCCTACTGGTGTTTTTGAGCAGCTGTTGGCTCGGTTGGATATGAAAAGGTATTACTAATTATAGCTCTTGGGAGCATTCATGGGTTAGAGGGTAATATGCTTCAGCACTGAATTCAATTTCCACAGAGCCGTGGATCCGTCTGCTCTGGCGTCTGCGATGGTCTTTCATATACCCCAAGATAGCAAAAATATCATCATCTGCGCCGCCACATATAGTACCTAGCAAATACCATCCCCAAAGACCGCCCAATAACGCCATCTGTCCAATCCCCGCCCCAAACCCTTAAAAGAAATGGAGATTCGACTCCGACCAGCCCTGCGCAAGGAGAATCCGGCGAGCAGACTTCTCCATAGCCTCCGGGCCACAAACAAGCACCATGCTTTCCTCATCAGGCGGAGCGTACTGCGCCAAGAGTGTCTCAGATATACGGCCGCGCAGGCCAGTCCAGCAACCTGGCGGGTTTGTCAAAGTGTGTATCACCTTGCACCTCTTACTGTCCTCCGCCACGAACGCGTCCAGTTCTGCCCGACACAGGATATCTTCCTCCCGCCTGTTTCCGTCGATGACAGTGCATGTAGTCGGATCACGGAGGTCCTGGATCACAGCGCGCAGGACTTGGAAGATGGGCGTGATCCCCGTGCCGCCGCAGATCATCATGAAAGAGCGCACGCGGCGTTCTTTGCCGCTGATGGTGACTCGTCCTTGTCCGAGGTATTCGAATCTTCCTGTCGGGCCTTTGAACTCAGCTGTAGATCCTATTGGGAGCTTGTCGAGGGCCAGGGTCATTTTCCCGCCTGGTGCGGTGGGGGTCGCGAAGTATACTTTGATGAGGAGGTCTATTGTTCCTTTTTTGGCTGGGTCGGAGATGGGGGTGTAGGATCGGATGATTGGGGAGTTGGTTGTGGGGTCTGGTGTTTTGAGCATTAGGTGTTGGCCGATTGGGAGGCCGAGGGTTTGGGTGTCGTGCTCGAGGCGGAATGTTAGTATGAACGTGTCGGATGAGATGGCTCTTTTTTGTGTGAGGGTTGCTGTTGTCCATGATCTTTGCTGGAGGAAGGTCTCTCGTGGCTCGGCAGGTTCGGATGCGGTGTCGTTGTTGAGCGCTTCAAGAGACGCCTTGTCCATGGTTCCGATGTGGTATTCGGGCATCATTGCCTTGGCCGTTTCGCTATCTTTAGTATTGTCAGCGACTGGCATTTTATTGAGGTTGCGGGTGGGTTTGTATCTTACGGATGGCGAGAAAGTCCCCAGAGACATCAAGGCCCGCAGAGGAGATAATACTCTGTGCTCCCCCCGGGTGGCCTTCGAGGAACCCCTTGCCATCGTATACCTCGCCGTTGACAACGAACCACGGGCTCTCTTCACTAGATGCACTCTTGAACTCCTGCAGATCAATCACCCGAGCGATGCCCTCCTTTTTCATACTGATCTCCTTCACCGGCTCGGGGGCTCTCGGCTTTTCACCCACGTGTCTCTGGCCCCAGTTCCCGTTTGTGAGATCACCTCCTTCTTGCTTGACGCGTTCCATCCAGCCGCCGGGCTTGCTCGGATGGGTCGGATGCTCGAACTTCAGGACCCCGTTTACCTTCGTGATCGTCACGCGGAACCACGGGTTGTTCATCATTCCGAGAACAGACCAGTACATGTCGCGTGGCTGGATGCTCAGCGCCTCGTCCATGGCTCTTACTAGGATGGCTTCGCTGCTCTCGAGGTCCAGCAAAGGAATGTCGAGCGACCAGAAGCACCAGCAGAAACAGGTTTCTCGCCAGTGCATGTCGACTTTTCCGCCGAATAAGTTGCCTTCAAAATCGCGGTACTTGTCTTCGGCGTAGTGGATGTCGGCCAGCCGCCAGGCTAGAAGTCTCGTTAGCAGGGCGTTGCGGATACGTCTGGGATGATCTATGTATACAGTTGCCTTTGTCCACGGAGATCTCAACCCTGGTGATTCGTCGACCGCCTCCAGCATAGGCATACCCTTTGGCCGTGTAGGACGGTCCGGCGGATGCGATCTCCAAGGTCTCTTCGTGTTGTGGGTAGACGACGGAAGAGTTGACGTTCAGGTCATAAATGGCGTATCGATCGTCACGCCACCAGTTAGGGTCACTGGATGCCATTTCCGGTGAGACCGTCGTCCTGCAAAAGAAGACAAATCAGCATCTAGCGACGATAGGTGGGATACCGAGCAAACCCACGGTAAAACACGATTATCATTGATATGATACCAGTTATCACTGGGTGCATCGGTCAGAATCAATCGCTTTAACCACTTGACACTCCGACCTCCGATCTGGCCCGGAACGACTGCCCTAAGGGGGCGTCCATGGTCCGGACGAAGCGATTCCCCATTCATCTTGTGGGCGAGCATAATCCCCCGGTTGGGATCCATCGCCCAGTTCAACTTGACCGACGTGCCGTAGTGGCCGTTTGGCTGCGGCGTGGTCAGCGGGCGATTGCCATGCCTGCGGAGAAGAGAAAGGCACGTACCAGTTTGTCGGCGCCTTCCATGCAGACGTATTTCGCATTGCGCAGGGGTTTCGCCTTGCGTAGGATGTCAGCCATCATTGGCCCTGTGAACAGGGCCGTCGACAGGCCAGCCGAGCCCCATGAGAAGCCTTTCGATTTGCGCACGATGTTCTGCTCTTTGCGGCGGTTTCCTGCGCATACTAGCGTGATGGGGGATGTGATTTGGTCGAATTGCTGCAGGATCTGGCGGAAGCTCAGGACGATCGGGTTCTGTACCAGTCTGTCACGTTGGTCAGATACATCATAGATCTCTAGTGCTGAAGGGGATGGGAGACAAACCCTTCAATGCTAATCTCCCAATTGGGAATCTCCTCGTCTTGGACGTGCGGCACTGGGCCATGGTTTCTGACGTAAAACAGCTCCGGGGACGTCAAGAAGCCTGGCAGGAAAAGAAATGTGAGGAACGGTCACTCCACCATTGCAGGAAAACGGTGGACTAGGATTCTACCTTCGTTGTACAGCGCGGTCAAGGGTGGCTCTACGTTGAAAGGGTGCACGCCCGTCAACCGGATAAGGCGGGCATCTCGTGGCACATGGTTATCGGGGGTGCCCTTATCAACGGCCAGGATGTCCGTGGGCGGTTTTGATGGCGGCGGTAGTGGAAGATCCGGCAGATCAATCGGTTCGTCTTTTTCTTTTTCTTCAATTCTGATCTGGTCTGATTTGAAGGGGACCTCCGTCCAAGCCAACGTCCTTGTTTGGACTGCCGTGAGAGTGATCATGATTGAGGGAGGGCGACAGTAGGCGACAATGGGCGTCTCATCCAAATCCCAGTAAAATTCCAAGCGGAACTTCGATGGTCATCGAGCGAGGATAAAAGGAGCGTACACCGATAGCACCCGGGCTAAAACGGGATCTGCGACGGGGCAACGGATCTCCAGATCGCTAGGAGTACTTGCAGAGATCCATCCACAGAACAAGCCACTCCTTCGATCTAGAATCACCCGCGGAGAAAGGAAGCAATTGGTTACTAGAACTAGGGCATCTCCGCGGGATCTGGTAGTCGGGGTTCGGGCTGGGAAGTCATTCTGTCCATCGGGGTGGCGTCTCATCTTGTGGAGGATGCAAGGACAGAAACACTGACACCATCCGGGAACCAAATATGCCTCATACTCAGAGCGTGAGAAGCCACCATAAACGCCTCGTTCTTGTGCTCCTTGAGTCAGAAAGATTTCACTCGATTCTCCCTGGACTTGATCGTAAATCTCTCATTCTGTGGAATGTGTGCCCTTTCCCGTTCCCCTGTCATCTGGACCCCCTACATGTGGATGGCAACCTAACGGGAAGAATGGGTCCGTCTAGACTTGTGGGTCTGTCTCTGGATCAGGGAATTCCTGTGTTGACTGGAGTCAGTATAATCCCTTCAAGCGACGACTGACGAGCTCTTACGTTTGAGGTGAAATCAATGAATGTAAACCACTATCAACGTGATCATTATCGTCAGATATGGATTCGATGAATGTACATAGAAGGACCCGAGTGGGTGTGGGCAATGATTGGTTCAGCGTTGCACGACCGATGCTTATCTCTTGCACTAGCGATTTAGGTTAGACCAGATGTTTGTCATCTCCGCGGAGTTCATTATTCTCTATCAGTTCGAGTTCCACTCCAACTATGGGTTAGTGAGGTCGTTAGTACCTCTGCTAACGGGTGACCCTGAGGGTGTCCAGTTTGTGGCCTGGTCTGCCTTATCTCCTACCATCCCACTGATAAGCAGAGGACCCAGTAGTTAGTAGTAATAGTAGTCGTAGTAGTAGTAGTAAACAACAGCCCATGAAATGGATCCATGATCAATCGGTTCATTTCCTATTATTCCCGCGTCTGGTGATTCAATCATCCTAGTACCCAGTAACGGATCCTGGTTCTGAATTACCATCACTGATTTGTAAAACCTTGATGTCTTGTGTTGGCCATGGATTACAGGCATTAGATGGTAGATAATGGAGCTCGAGCGCTTCATTTTCCATACGCCCAATGTCAATTTTTATCTCTTCTTAACTATTTCCTACTGAGACAATTGAGGTGAACAGTCCCCAGTACGAAGGTACTATGCCTCTGCTTGACGGCGCGAGAAACAGGGACGGTGCCAATGGCGTTGTTCATCTTGAAGGATCATCATCTCATGCGGACGACACCGGTTTGGATGTGAGGAGCAATGGGGGAGGACGTCAGAGGATTGTGGTGGTTGGGTTGGGCATGGTGGCCATCTCTTTTATGTAGGTGGATGATGACCCCGACGGAGAAGAGCCACTAATCAATGCTGACTATGTCGACAGCGAAAAGATCATCAAACAAGACACCGAGAGGCGGAAATACGACATCGTGGTCATTGGAGAGGAACCCCACGTAGCCTACAACCGTGTCGGTCTCTCGTCGTTCTTCGAACACCGCAAGATCGAAGACTTGTATCTCAATCCGACGGAATGGGTGAGTCCCTCGCTTTTTGAATCCGGGCCAAGCTGTCAACTAATTTTCGTCTAGTATGGCTCAGTCAAAGACCGCTCCTTCGACTACCATCTCAACACCCGAGTCACCAACATCTACCCCGAGCGCAAGACCGTCCGGACATCCACCGACGACCTCATCTCCTACGATATCCTAGTCCTCGCCACGGGCTCCGACGCCGTCCTCCCCACACAAACTCCCGGGTACGATGCGAAGGGAGTCTTCGTGTACCGAACAATCTCCGACTTGGAGCGTCTCATCGAGTATGCCGCGCACCACAAGGGTGGCACGGCGGCCACCGTCGGAGGCGGTCTCCTGGGCCTCGAAGCGGCCAAGGCCATGACCGATCTTCAGGACTTTGGCAACGTCAAGCTCATCGATCGCAACAATTGGGTGCTGGCGAGACAGTTGGACGGCGATGCAGGCACTTTGGTGACTCGCAAGATCAGAGAACTGGGTCTGGATGTCATGCATGAAAAGCGTGTAGCCAGGGTCAAGACTGATGATGATAATAACGTTGCTGGGATTGTCTTTGAGGATGGCGAGGAGATCGACTGCTGCTGTATCTGCTTTGCGGTATGTTTGGTCTGAGTCTTAGCTTGTACCATGGCTAATGTCAATTGCAGATTGGAGTGCGCTCCCGAGACGAGCTCGGTGTATCGGCAGGCATTCAATGTGCTCGCAGAGGGGGCTTCGTGATCAGTGGAAGGTATGTCTAACCACTGGATTTATGCACGTGTGCGTTCCATCTAACAGATTCAGCCTCCAAACCTCTATTCCTGGTATCTACGCCATCGGAGAGTGTGCAAGCTGGGATAATCAGACCTTCGGCATTATCGCCCCTGGGATTGAGATGGCCGAGGTCCTCTCGTTCAACTTGACCAACCCAGACAAGGAGCCCAAAAGTTTCACGCGTCCCGACCTCAGCACCAAGCTGAAACTCCTAGGCGTGGACGTCGCCAGCTTCGGGGACTTCTTCGCCGATAGAGATGGGCCGAAATTCCTCCCCGGTCAGCGACCATCGGTGGCGGCTGATGGACACCCCGCTGGAAACGATCGAGAGGAGCCGCCCGTCAAGGCACTGACGTATAAGGACCCGTTTGGCGGTGTCTACAAGAAGTACCTGTTCACGCTCGATGGGAAGTACCTGCTTGGCGGCATGATGATCGGTGACACGAAAGACTATCTTAAATTGAATCAGATGGTCAAGTCGCAGAAGCCGCTCGATCTACCTCCAAGCCAGTTTATCCTTGGAGCGCAGAAAGATGGAGAGGAGAATGCGGACGATCTGTATGGCTATCGCTGGGAGCTCCTTCATTGAACAAGAAGGCTGACTTGTAACAGGGATGACGACACTCAGATCTGCTCATGTCACAATGTCACCAAAGGAGACGTGGTGGCTAATGTCAAGGATGGAACTTGCAAGTCTATTGGAGAAGTCAAGTCGTGCACAAAGGCAGGAACCGGATGCGGTGGCTGTATGCCGCTGGTCCAGTCAATCTTCAACAAAACCATGCTGGACATGGGCCAGGAGGTTTCCAACAACTGTATGCTCTACGTCTCTTGAGTATGGCTATCTCTAATCCACGAACAGTGTGCGTTCACATCCCATACTCGCGCGCCGACCTCTACAATGTCATTGCAATCAAGAGACTGCGGACCTTCGACGACGTGATGCAATCCGTCGGAAGGAACCCTGAATCGCTAGGCTGCGAACTGTGCAAGCCCGTCATCGCCTCAGTCCTCGCCAGTCTTTTCAACCAGAATGTCATGGATAAAGGCCTCCACGAACTTCAAGAAACGAATGATCGATTCCTCGCCAACATTCAACGGAACGGAACGTTCTCCGTCGTCCCTCGAGTGCCTGGCGGTGAGATCACCGCGGACAAGCTCATTGCGATCGGCCAGGTAGCGAAGAAGCACAACCTCTACTGCAAGATTACGGGGGCTCAACGGATCGACATGTTTGGGGCTCAAAAGCAAGATTTGCTAGATATCTGGACATCACTGGTAGATGCCGGCATGGAGAGCGGCCATGCATATGCCAAGTCCTTACGAACCATCAAAGTGAGCATCCTTATCTGCCCCCCTACCGAGCAATACTGATCAATCCGGCAGAGTTGCGTCGGATCTTCATGGTGTCGGTTCGGCATTGGAGACAGCGTCGGCCTAGCGATCCGCCTCGAGAACCGCTACAAGAGCATTCGTGCGCCGCACAAACTCAAGGGGGCTGTCTCCGGCTGCGTCAGAGAATGTGCCGAGGCCCAAAACAAAGAGTAAGCTTTATGCCGTCTCATCCTCCTTGCAGATCTAACAACCAGCAGTTTCGGATTGATCTCCACCGAGAAAGGGTACAACATCTACGTCGGAGGCAACGGGGGCGCCAAACCCCGACACTCGGACTTGCTCGCGAAGGATGTACCCCCCGAGAAGGTCGTTGCCGTCATCGACCGGTACCTGATCTTCTACATCCGAACGGCAGACAAGCTGCAGCGCACCGCCCGATGGATCGAGAACCTACCCGGAGGCATAAACTACCTACGGGAAGTCGTCCTCGACGACAAACTAGGCATCGGCGCCGACATGGAACAGCAGATGGAGGAGCTAGTAGGCAGTTACTTCTGCGAATGGACCGAGACAGTCCGGGACCCCAAGCGTCGAAAATTCTTCCAGCAATTCGCCAACACAGACGAGACGGTCGAGACGGTCGAGGCCGTCAAGGAACGGGACCAAGAGCGCCCCACCTACTGGCCGAAGGAGGGCGCCACGGAAGACTTCAAGAACCACCAGTGGTCGCACCTCTCGTGGCAGCCGATGATCAAAGCCGAGTACTTCAGCGACGGGCCGCCGGCGATCTCGTCCGCGAACGTCAAGCGCGGCGACACCCAGCTGGCTGTCTTCAAGGTGAAGGGCAAGTACTACGCGACGCAGCAGATGTGTCCGCACAAGCGGGCGTTTGTGCTATCGGACGGGTTGATTGGCGATGACGATGCCGGGAAGTACTGGGTTTCGTGTCCGTACCACAAGCGCAACTTTGAGTTGAATGGCGAGCAAGCGGGGCGGTGCTCCAATGATGAAAGCATGAATATTGCTACTTTTCCGGTTGAGGAGAGGGAGGATGGCTGGATCTACGTGAAGTTGCCTCCGGTGGAGGAGCTGGACTCTGTGCTGGGGACGGAGCGGTGGAAGGTGAGGAAGGGGGAGGCGCCGGATCCATTTGAGAAATATGACAAGAAGTATAAGGGTATCCGGGGGAAGAAGATCGGGGATAAGGTCCATCAGGGGGAGAATGCCTTGTCACCGCAGCCTAAGTCGATCGACTGGTGATGTTCATTACGGATGATGGTTCCAATGTCTGATATCATATATTGCATGTATTATGTCGTTTTGATAGTATATACCAATTCATTTTCATACCAAAATAAACAAAACAAATCTAAAACTTCCTACATTTATTAATCCAGAAATCTCATTGACAGTTGTGATACCCCAAAATCATAAACGACAGAGACAAAGAAGTGGACCAAACTAGGGCCGTGATCAGACGGAACTTAGCTTAGGGTTCCCTCCCGACAGCCTATGAGCCTTATCTGAGACCGACCCTGATAGAGGTGGATCTTCCTGCCTTCGTTATCTCTCTCTAGATCGATCCTCCACTTTCTTCTCTTTTTTAAATAAAAACTGCTTCTTCTTTCTCCGCGGAGGATCAAAGTGGATCTGTGATCTGACGCCCTGTCCCTGTCGTTCATCCTCTTGTTTCGGACCTAGATACACCGTGGGAAGGAAGTACAGTAACAGAGTACACCCTACTGTACCGAGTACCTTACCAGCCGACTTGACGTCGATCCCGGTGGCGCTTCTTCTGTTGACACAAGGCCCAATGAGAAAGGACTTGCTTATCTGCTTTTCGTCTGCCTGCTACCATGGGTTGATGTCGATCACTGGGCATTTTCCTGTCTGTTATGCCTGGAGACAGACAATGGCTCCATCTTCCTCGCCTCTTGCCTCTATACCCAGGACCCAAGAATCTGGCCCCGCGGAGTTGTCCCAAACCAAACCGGTCTTATCATCTTGGTAGCTTATCTTGAGCACAGACCATGAATCCTAGCCCCAGGACAAGACGCAGGTGGCAGCCTAAATCCCTCGTCTAGTCGATTTACCTCCCGTCTCCACGCGTTAAACAAACGGACCTGGGAAGAACCGGAGTCTCACTCCGGGTGGATTTTCCGCAAAACCTTATTGGTATCGTGAGCTTTATATCTCGGTCTGGGTTTTTGTTACCAAATGGGTTGCTGGGTCCTGGGTCCTGGGTCCTGGGTTGATTGGATTTGTGCTATCAAGGGAGATTTTTCGGATTTATTTCTAGGTGTACCTACTACCTAGTAAGTGGTCTTCAGGCATTCCTCGTAGGAGATAGATAGGTAGATAGAGGCGGTTCTCTATCTACGTGCCAGCCGTGAAGTGAGTGATATGATGTGTGACTGTGTTGATTTGCTAGGGTTTGTTGCGTCTTTTCTGTCTGTACAGATATAGATATATTCGTTGCCCTCATGTTCGGTGTTGAGATTTTTTTGTAAACTCCATACCTTTTTCTCGGTTTATGTGCAAGGCCTCTATATCCGGATCTATACCCAGAGGCATACTGTACCATCTTGACGCTCTTCATAACCATTTCCATATATTCTTGAGAAAGTGTAGAGTATCCAGCTCTCTACCCAAGATTAGACCGACAAGCCCACAATGAGCTTCGTCAAATCATTGTTTGCCTCTCCAGAGGTCAATCCGAGTAATCGAAAAGCCACGTCAATACCCATCCTCAATCCTTTCGACCGATATGGACGGGTATTCTTCTTCTCGTGGATGGGATTCATGGTCGCGTTCCTCTCGTGGTATGCGTTTCCACCTCTGGTGAGTGTTCTCCATGGTGACAATTACAATCACTCCATCGAAATCCCTCATCCACAACTAACAAACACACAGCTAAGCGCAACAATCAAAAAAGACCTCAACATGACATCCGCACAAGTGGCAAACTCAAACATCGTTGCCCTCCTCGCAACGTAAGCTTTTCCCCACTCCCCGGGTGTGTACAACAAGAATATATCACTCACCTCTCCCAGACTCCTCGTAAGGTTCGTGGCCGGCCCACTGTGTGACCGATTCGGACCCCGTCTGGTCTTCGTCGGACTGCTGCTCTGTGGATCCCTACCAACAGCCATGGCGGGCCTCGTCACTACTCCCCAAGGCTTAATCGCGCTGCGGTTCTTCGTCGGCATCCTGGGCGGAACGTTCGTTCCCTGCCAGGTGTGGTGTACGGGGTTCTTTGACAAGAAGATTGTGGGAACGGCTAATTCCCTCGCTGGTGGATGGGGTAATGCCGGTGGTGGAATCACATAGTAAGTATGCCCTAACCCCGTTACATGTCACTCCGAAGTTACGAACTCACATTATTTCGTCCAACAGCTTCCTCATGCCCGCTGTCTTCGACTCCTTGGTTCAATCCCGAGGCTTGTCCCCCCATCAAGCATGGCGCGTAGCCTACATTGTCCCCTTCATCATTATCGTGGTTGTCGCCCTGGGCATGCTCCTCACCTGCGACGACACCCCAACAGGCAAATGGTCAGAGCGCCACATCTGGAACAGAGAGCACGACCACCCCAAGGACAACAGCATCAACAACGACATCGTCGACATCGTCCCCTCCAGCGATCCATCCAGCCCCCCCTCCCTAAACAAAAACACCCCCACCACCGACATCGAGAAAAAAGCCGGTACAGGCACAGACTCCCCCAACTCATCACTTGCCCCAGAGAACGGGATAGTCACCAACCTCGACGCCCTCCGCACAGCCGACACCGTCATCCCTCTCTCCCGCAAAGACGCCTCCAAAGTCCTCCTCAGCCTGTCCACCGCAGCAGTAGCAATCCCCTACGCGTGCTCCTTCGGCTCCGAGCTAGCAATCAACTCCATCCTCGGCGACTACTACGCTGCGAACTTCCCGCACCTCGGCCAGACGCAGTCCGGACGGTGGGCCGCCATGTTCGGCCTCCTCAATGTCGTCTTTCGTCCTGCGGGCGGCTTCATCGGGGACATTCTCTACCAATACACGGGGTCCGTGTGGTCCAAGAAACTCTTCCTCTCCTTCCTGGGCGTCGTCATGGGCGCCTTCCAACTAGCAATGGGGCTCTCGGACCCCAAGAGCCAGAGCACCATGTTTGGTCTCACTGCCGGACTAGCCTTCTTCTTGGAAGCTAGTAACGGAGCGAACTTCGCCGTCGTGCCGCATGTGCATCCCTTTGCGAATGGTGAGTCTATCTACCCCCCCCCCCCCCCCCCCCCCTACCCAAAAGAAGTGAAACAAGAAGATGTGGGAAAGGGAATTACTAACGCAGATGGCAGGCCTCGTCTCAGGCGCAGTAGGCGGAATGGGAAACCTCGGAGGCATAATCTTCGCTATCATATTCCGATACAATGATTCGGACTATGCCCGCGCGCTCTGGATTATCGGTGTGATTTCCATAGCGGCGAATGTGGCTGTTGCTTGGATTCGACCTGTGCCGAAGGGCCAGGCGCTGCGGTAGCTGGATTTCTTTGTTTCTTGTCTTGTCTTGTTTTTCTTAGAGATTATGTCAACTCTTGTGTTATGGGTTTTGCGTTGGGTTATGTGTATCTTAGTTAATGATGGTAATGATCCGGCGCTGTTGGGTTTGGTTGATTTATTTTCTCATGACATTTTTTGGTCTGTGTTTGAGGTAGAGATAGATGAGTGTGACTATCTAGGCAATAGGTAGGAATAGGAATAGGAAAACCGTTTCCTGTCTTGGGTTAGAGTGGCTCTGTCAACGGTCACTAGGTCTTCTTCAAATGTTCGGTGTATAATTCATTAGTGGAAAAGAAAAGCTCCACGCGATTTTGAGGATAGTGTGCAGGCGGACCCTAGAGCGAGAGAGGTAGGCATAATAGATGCAATGCGGATTTTCTTCCTTCAATGACTTATTCCTCGCCTTCCAGGTTGAAAATAAATTGCAGTCTACAGATTTAATTGTTAATGTTGAAAGTCCCATTCCGGTGCCATTGGGAGAAGGTCCGGTGGTGGAAGGTGAGTATCTCATACTTGAATCGTACATTTATTAAACGAGGAAATCATGAGCTTACGGTAGAGAAACCTGGTACTAATGTACTATTAAATGACTGTAACCAAGACAGCTAAATGACCGCCGTATCCAGATAAGCCCCAAGATTTACAGCTGATGACCGGCATTTCCGAATATCCTGAGGGTCGGAATCCAGACTCCTCGAGAGTCCACTAACGGCCAAAGCCCTGGAACCTCCAAATGTGAGAAAGAAAGAAAGTAAATGAAAATGGGTATCTTCGCCAGGAAAATCGGCACCCGGTAAAAGTCGCCGTGGTAAAAACGCCAGACCCATGCAGAGGAAAGTAATTATCAACAGAGATCATTGTCATAGCTCATGTTGCTGCGCACCGCGGCCCAATGCGTTCGCTTAGTCGAGTCCACCGGGCACGTTCTTCAAGAGTTCCCAGCCGTATTCTTCCTCGGGCTTCTCGGGTTCCATGCCGAGCGCGTGGCGGTACGCACGCACTTCGTTCTGGAGGCCGGCGACGATACGGAGAGGCACCTCTTCTTCCTCGCAGCGGAGACGGTAGGCGGTTCGGATCATCTCGGCGCACTTCATGGTCTGCGCGTGCCAATGGTCGCGGTCCAAACGGCTTTCCAGGTGAGAATCGCGTTCTGCCTGGAGAAGGCTGTTGTAGTGACGTTTCTGGGCGAGGTATTGCATGTTGTTGTTTTGACAGTAGTTCCGGATCTGTTCAACCATAGTTCCCACGGCCGCCTCGTATTCGCCAATCAACTTGGTATTCTCCACTTGTTCGTTCTTGAGGACTTCCACGAGACGCTTTTCCTTCGCGAGCGCACGCTCGAGGTCGGCAATGCGGGCGGCTACCACGTTTATTAGAACACTCTCAGGGATGCGAACAAGGCTGACGCGAAGCTTACCTGTAATTTCACCGTTCACCTGCTGCATGCTAGGACTGGCACCATCTGAAGAAGAGCGTCTCTACACGACTGTCAGCAGGTGTCATTTCACATCAGACACAAAAAAAATCCAAGTCATACCATGATCTCCTCCGCGCTCGTGACAATGTTTTTGGTCATCTCACGATTGTTCTTCAGCACATCGCTCAGTTCAAGCACCATATCATATAGATGATGGAGATCCATCTGGTGTCCCGCATTCATGGGAATCCCGGCGCTCATCCCAGGCATTCCACCACCGTTGACCTGGCCAGGAGTATGAGGCATCGCGGGAGACATTGACTGGCGAGGAACGTTGGGTATATTGGGTGGACCCGCGTTGTTTTCGACATAGCTGGAAAACATGCTCGACCCAGGACTATTGCTGGTCATGCCACCGCTGCTGTTCAAGGACATGTTCGCGGACTCGAAAGCACGGTTCAGATCTTCGAACTCAGGGTCGACGGAGGGGTTGACCCGTCGGCGAATGTTACCCTCCTCCTCGAGTCGGATACCCGTGGGCGGTTCGATGCCCAGAACGTCCTTTCTGAATTGGTCAAGGTCGCGACGACTAACGTGGGTGGAGCGACGCCGGTGCCCACGCACAAAGGGTGCCCTGGAAGCAGGCGAAGGAGTGGAGGAATCGATGATGTCGGGTGCGCTGGCAAGCTCGTCTTTAGTCGGGCTCTCGGGAGGCGTCACAGGGCCAAGAGTTGTCGCAGAGACTAACTCTGGAAAAGAATCAGGCGTAGACTGGACGAGCTGGACATGAGATGATGGGGAGGGAGTAGTAGCAGCTTGAACTGGGGGAGCTGGTGGAGGAGAGCGGTCTTCACCAAAACAGTCTAGTGTCGGTGCCTCGGAACCAGGGCTCCGACGGTCACCCTCACAGCCTTCCTTGATTGGTGCGCCTGAGGACTCCTCCATCACGTGCTGCTGGGTGGTTGTGAGGAGTATCATTTCTGACATGGCTTGCACTGGGAGCTCAACTGGGATGGAATTTTCTCATTATTAGTGATTGACAACAGTAGGAGGTTGGTCTTGTTATTTTTTGACCTTGTCACTGGCAACCGCTGCTGTGAATTGTGCGCCGCAGGTGCAGTCAATGCACCCACAGTACCTTCCCCCTTGCACGTCTCAAGAAAAGTTACCTAGGAGAATGGTTTTTATAATTAGAAGTGGAAACTAGTTAATTCTGTAACCTTCCATATTGTGATGGGATGGAAGAGAAAGAAAGGAATTCCTTTAGGCATGATAATTTATTATTTCCATTGCGTCGGTGGACGTAGATACAGCCTTGTTTGTAAACACCACCAATTGGTATCATAGGTCGATATCTCCCTCCTGTTGCCTGCTCACCTCATAGGTACTTTTGCCCCTTCCTGGTGATTTGCCCTTTCTTATTAATCCCCCTCCCAAGTCATATCCATCAAAGCTGCAAGCTTTTGATCAGAATCCACCAAGGGCCCATCCTGGCTTCCTTGGTTGAAACTCATCGCCTTGTTTCGTTCGATACGGCCTCCGACCCGCGCAGCCAGCATTCTCATTTTCTCCAATTCTTGGACCAGTTCACCATCGCGCTTGACCAGGTTGGGTTGGATGTTCTCCTGGGGGTTGCCGAAGGGTTCCAGAAGCTCCTGCAGCCGTCGCAATTGGTCCAGGCGTTGCCGTCGTTGTTGTCGCTGGTCGTCTAGGCTCACAAGTCGTTCTCGAAGTTGCTGATACCTGTATCACTCATCAGTCGGATGAAACTGCAATCCGCCAGTACAGTGTCCGAACCTGATGCGGTCCTCCTCGCTTGCAAGTTGATCTTCGAGCTCAGTCGGTAATTGGGTAATGTTCCTGGTTTACAACCGGACGAATAAGCAAATTACTGCGCAACAACAAGGTGACTCGGGGGAGACAGCTCTCACATGTGGCTGGACAGGTCCACCGATTTCTCGACTCCCCATCTCAGTGAGTTTCGACTGCGCGCGTCTTGGTTCACGGAAGACCAGTAGAGACTGGAGATTTGCTGCGCGACATGTTGGACCGCCTGGGATGGGTAAACGATGCGGTTATGCTGTTTCAAGACTGTGTTAACTATATCCAAGTCAGTAGGTCCGTAGGCATGGCAATTCACACCATCATATGTGGTAGATCGCTTGAGGGATAACGAAGGGCCAAACGGTACATTTCTGTATAACATCCTCCACCACCTTATCTCTCAGCTCGTCCTCTTCGTTTCCAGTCGCATAACTCCTCCAATCCTCCGGGGGCTCAATCCTCTCAGAGAGAATCCGGATCTGAGCCCTGGTGAAGGAGGACTTCAATTCAGTGATGGTACGAGTCGACTCCATGGCCCCATCGCGACACCGACATCTCGTCTTGAAAGCGGGATGGATCAGGACGCGCGCGACCGCTTATCGATAACCGGTCACGTGGGCTGAGTTTCGTGTCTTTGAGATAAGAGGTCGGCTCCACCGCAATGATTAGTCTACTCCGTACTGGCAGTTCCATGCTGCTGAAGGGCCCTCCTCAAATTGGAGGAACTTCTGAGTCGCAGTGTATACTCTGCGTAGTATGGCAATCAATTATTACCTTGCAGGCTGAGTATTACTGAGCATAACAGGGGAATAAAGCGTGGCATTAGAGCCAACTAATTGGTCTTCCTCGGTCTTGGGCAAATACTATCTAACCTCGGCAATCTGTCTCATCGATCCCTCTACATTTGTACTCCGCAGATGTGCAAGAAACATCCCATAGCTCTCTAAGGCTAACGAGCTGGCGATTTACGACTTCTCGTCTTTGAACTATAACGCCCTTCCTCAAAACTCTCCAACCCACCCAGCCCTTCAGGTAAAATACTACGGCATTGCCATGGCTGACGGTAAACGGCCCTTGGGCCTTCTCTTCGACATTGGTGGAGTCTGCGTAAGATCTGCGCCTCGACGTGTCTCTATGAATAGTCTATTGACAATGAACAGGTTGTATCGCCAATGCAAGCCATTTTAGACTACGAGCTCGCCAACAACATCCCCCCAGGATGGGTGAACTTCAGCATCTCTCGGACCAAGCCTCACGGGAGTTGGCACAAACTGGAACGGGGCGATATCAAAATGGACGCCGATTTCTTTGCCGGCTTCAACAGCGATTTGCGGATTCCCGAGCTGTGGCAACAGTTTCACGAGCGACTCCAGAAGAAACAGGCACCGGGTGCTGTAACCTCCACCCCCGCGCTGCCGCAAGTGGATGCGGAATGGCTCTTCTGGGAGATGATGCGGGTATCGCGGACCCCGGACGCTTATATGGCTCCGGCGTTGAAAAAACTGAGAGCGTCGGGGCAATTTGTTCTTGGAGCGTTGTCAAACACGGTTATCTTCCCTGAGGGACATCCGTTCAACTCGGACTCGAACGGAGTCAAGTCGCAATTCGACTTCTTCATCTCGTCGGCACATACTGGCCTGAGGAAACCGGAGCCGAAGATCTACGAGGTCGCCATAAAAGAGATGGATACGTTGGCGAAGAAGAAAGGGTGGAAGGGCATCGCCCCGTCCGACATCGTCTTCCTCGATGATATTGGAGAAAACCTCAAAGGTGCCAAGAAGGCTGGAATGAGAACGATCAAGGTGAATCTTGGACGAACGCAAGATGCAGTCAAAGAATTAGAGGCGATCACTGGCCTGTCTTTGCTGGAGGATCCAGGCAAGGCCAGGCTGTAACGGCTGTAATGGGGACAACTGCAGCGCAAATACTATGGTTATAGACAATCCTGTTCAAATAGATATTTCCTGACATATACTGGGCAATGCTGTTTGAATAGTGATAAACAACAAACATGAATCTCTCAGTTCAATCCCATCTCGTGTTCCAAATTGTTGTTCAATGTAAGTATTGGTGGAATTGGCTGGGTCCGCACTTTTGGTGTTCCGATCCGCCGCTCGTCGCCGACCCCAGTTTTGCAGCGGGATGCAGCCACAGGCTAAGCGAAAGGCTTCCACAAAGTCGGCCCACGAAATTTCCCACTTCTTTCTCTCCAGCCAACGTCGACAACTCAGTCATCAACCTACGGCAACCGTCAAGATGGTGAGTCTCACTGGAATTCCAGCTGGATGACAGCCAGCTTTGTTATGATTATTATCATCTCTGTTATATCTTCTCCCACGTTCCCTTATGGTTCTACGGGAATTTTCCCTAGAGCGGGAAACGGGTCCTTGCAAGATGCTTCGGATGAAAAATTCTGAAGCGCAAATTGCTGACTCGAGTGTTTGTTACTACAGGCCTTCCACAAGCTTGTCAAGAGCAGCGCTTACTACAGGTAAGAATTTTTCAGAAAAAAAAGACAATTTTTTGATTGCGACACGTACTAACTTCACTATAGCCGCTACCAGACCAAGTACCGCCGTCGCCGTGAGGGAAAGACTGATTACTACGCCCGTAAGCGTCTGATCACCCAGGCCAAGAACAAGTACAACACCCCCAAGTACCGCCTGGTGGTCCGCTTCACCAACCGCGACATCATCACCCAGGTCGTCTACTCTGAGATCTCCGGTGACAAGGTCCTCGCCGCCGCCTACTCCCACGAGCTCAAGGCCTATGGCATCAAGAACGGTCTGACCAACTGGGCTGCCGCCTACGCCACCGGCCTGCTCCTTGCCCGCCGTACCCTGAAGAAGCTCGGCCTTGACGAGCAGTTCGCCGGTGTTGAGGAGGCTGATGGCGAGTACACCGTCACCGAGGCCGCCGAGACCGACGATGGCACCCGCCGTCCCTTCAAGGTTTTCCTTGATGTCGGTCTTGCCCGTACCTCCACCGGTGCCCGTGTCTTCGCCGCCATGAAGGGTGCCTCCGACGGTGGTGTCTTCGTGCCCCACTCCGAGAGCCGCTTCCCCGGTTACGACCAGGAGGCTGAGGAGCTCGACGTCGATACCCTCCGCCAGTACATCTACGGTGGCCACATCGCCGAGTACATGGAGGGCCTTGCCGACGATGATGAGGAGCGCTACAACAGCCAGTTCGGCAAGTACGTCGAGAACGGCGTTGAGGCTGGCGAGATCGAGGAGCTCTACACCAACGCTCACGCCGCCATCCGTGAGGACCCCTTCAAGAAGGTTGAGGGTGCCGGTCCCAAGAAGACCAAGGAGGAGTGGAAGGCCGAGAGCAAGAAGAACCGTGCCTACAAGCTGTCCCACGCCGAGCGCAAGGCTCGCGTTGAGAACAAGATCCGTGAGCTTGCTGCTTAAATTGGCGTCTTGTCGTTCTTGTTGCATAATTGAGTGCGATAGTCAACCAAAAAAAGTTCACCTTCTCACAAACCAAGTTTACATATACCAGGGGCAATTCTATGGTGCCAAAATGGCGTTTTTCTTCGGAGGGATATTTTGTAGCCTCGTTCATGATCGATTATGACCACGTTTTTATTCAATTCTATCAGGGAGCAATTCAATAGTAAACCAAAGCTTTCACATAGATGATTCTCAATTGCTCCAGAAAACCCAACACTAGAATTGTCATGTCAGTCTAATCTGTAGTGATGATCAGTAGTGGTCTTTTGCCCCCATAATTTCCGAATCCAAAAATCCGCCGTATTGTGCGGCCAGCCCCACCGAATTTTCGGGAGTACCATGTCCATTATCCACCACGACATCATGTCGTTTCCAATCAGCGCCGATCTTTCTTCCTTACGAGGATCTTTTTTACCCTCGTTCTCACTGGTTTGTCCATGACGGGCAAACAGTAAGATCAGAGTTCGCACTACTGAACGTAAGGTCAAAGATGGCGGTCCGGGCGGCAATTTCTGTTGTTCAATGGAAAAGGTTTACTACCCTAAAAGCCCGTCCCTGGTCAGTGCCAGTCTTTGGCCGTTTTGTCTGGGCCACCGCTGCTCCCTGCGTCACTGGTGTATCCTCCCTAATTTGGTACACGGGGTTGGCTGCGCCTTACATGATGCTTGACTCGACCTTTCAAGTACATTGGGGCTTAGGTTTGCGAGTGTTGTACTTTTGTCGTGGCTGTACTCTGCACAGGTCAATGCTACACCAGGACCTATCAAGGATCGGTGGCTACTGGCTAGGTATAGAAGCAGTTGGAAAAGGATCTGGACGGCTGCACCGTGCTTCAGCAGCGGTGTACAGACTACAGTGTGGTTCCGTCCTCTCTTACCGATGATCATGATCCTTATGGGGCGATTGGGACAGCACTTCGTCCCATCTGACTGGAACCATGGAGACAAACCATTATGTCTTATGTAGCTTTAATATTCCTAGAATCGTCATATCCAGCATTCGCCGAAGGACTACATGATAGTGGGTATCATTCGGCCAGGAATGGACATTAAAATGACGGATAGGGGAGGATCGATGACTGAATGTATACTAGTAGATGTTGCCTCAAAATTGTTCTGTCGTATATCACGCCGGTTTACCGACACCATACAATTCGCACTTGTTTAGATCTTCAAGCCAGAGTGCACAATCAAGAGAACATTTTGTCATATCTGGACTGGCAGAGAAGTCGACTAGAAAAAGCCACTATTACCCAAAAAGGATCATCGAGGGTCTCATATGTGGACCGACACGATCAGTTCGGATAGGACAGAGAGCGGTGGCAAAGAGATGGTTATGGGCCGCCGTGATCTCTGCAGAGTGCAGATAGTCCCATATTGGGGGAGGTACTACTGGTATTTAGCAGTGCCTAGTGGCCAACTAAAACATGGCACAGAGGACTCTGTGTGTGGGGAAAAGGATCGCCTCTCAGACTAGCCCCTAGAACAGCCTAGTTCCCCCCCTCTTTAGGTATCATGCTAATGGGCCTCACGCCCTCACCTGCCTTCTCGTTCTGGATAGTCCCTCGTCGATGACCGTAATTTTTCCACGGGGGTGGTGGGGTTAGTGTGTGGTCTTGGCATTGTGTCGTGTGAGAGACTGACTCCTTTTGGCGGAACCAATAGTGCGGAATATAAGGACCATTGGTGGCAACTGACAAGCAATCTGACGATGACGTCCGAAAGGCTGACTAGTGGCTCACTGGCTCGACTCGAGGAGGATTTTATGGGACAAGTTGTGTAGTTATGTGGTGCTTGCTGTCAGACCGAGAGTGCACTGGTAAAGGATCATGGAACGGTCCTCGGGATCGATACACGGTACATGGCAAGGACAGACCTAGGTCCACAGTGACCTGCTACTCTTACCACTCCTATTGATCATTCCGTGAATGGTTTTTGAACGGATGGAGACCGTAGTCAGCTGCACAACGCTTCCCTTGCGCCCCGCCGTCCAATTTCTGGCTGTCTCTGACCTTCTCTTCCCTTGCTAGCCGGCGACTCCGCAGGGATTCCCGCTAAAGTGGGCGTTCTGCAACTTACCAATCGCCTCATTACCCTTTTTCCCCACGGCCTTTTTCCTTTCCTTTATCCCGCCCCTTTCTGTCTAAGCCGTTGATCTCTTCTGGGATTTCATCTGTGCGATAACTCACCTATTGTCATTGTCTTCTCCTCTCCCCACCCAACCTGACCAACATCTTCTCTTCGCTCTCCATCATGCCCGCCATGCTCCGCCGCCTTGTCCTGATGCAACGTACTTACTCCTGCTGTTTCTAAGATATTCCCGTCGAAGTCCAGATCGCATTCTCCTAGCCGCCATAAGGAATTCTCCAGCAGTCCCGCGACGACCACATTTTGTCGCACCAAAACCTCCGTGTGACCTTGGGCAAAGCTATCAAGGCGCACGCAACGCCAGGACACTGAGGCCTCGAGCGCGAAAGCTTTCTAGTCGCCCATTCCAAAAAAATTCCAGATATCTTCTTGCCCTTCAGCCAACCGTCACAATAATTCGAATTTCAACATGGAGGGGGTGGAAACGGTAGATGTTAGCTGGCTGCACCATACGCAGAGAGGTCTGTTCGCGCCCAGTTGGTTCCTGCGCCGGGATCGCATCCCAGTCTCTCTTCTAACACGATTACACAATTATAGCGGATTTGTCTCGCTGCAGGTCGGCCTCGTCGATGACCAGTGATAAATCTAGTAATGAGACTGAGGCTCCGCCGACCTCGCAACCCAGAACCGATCGGACGGTGCCCGTCACTTCGAATTCTCCGCCACCCGCAACCCAATCGCCTACCTCCGTGACCCAACCGAAACCAATACCCTCGAGCGCTGGCGCTGGAGTGGAAAATGGAGGAAGTAAAGAGGAGGGCGCGGAGGACGCAAGGCTGTCCGCTTCGACGCTGGCGCCCCATAAAAGTTCACCTCGACAGATAGGTCGAAGGAACTCCTGGATCTCTAGTTTGAGCTCCAAGTTTTCCTCCGGCTCCACGCCGCCGTCGTCATCCAGCATGAGGGCGCCAGCCACCCCCAAAGCAAGCGCTCCCCTTACCAAGCTGGATACCCATAATCCTTTTGGGGCGGCATATTCGCCCAGGGATCAGGAGGAAGAAAAGAACCATGAACCGCTCGTCTCTACGTCGCCCAAGTCGCCGTCCTTCTTGACAAATGCGTTCCGCAAACTGTCTTCGTCGGCATCGAGTGGCTCTGGCAGGACCGTACCTAATGGAGTCATTTGTCAGCGTCGCGTGATGAATATCGACCAGGGCCGGGATAGGTGCAAGATACCCACCCTGGATCAGGGGAAATTGCGGCGTGTCGCGTTCTGTGTCGATGTTGAGATTGCGGGGACATCCCGTCGCGAGTCCGACGAAGGAAGCCCCCCTGCAAGCTCCAAACGACGTCTGGTTTCAGACATTACCACCCCCAAGCTTAAAAGAAGCAACTCGAAATCCAAGGACAAAGACGAAGCGGCTGCATCCAATCATCCACAAGCCGCGGTACCCGACCAGGAGAAACCAGGCCAGGGGGCCGCTAGCTCTGGAAGCCCTGTGGCATCGCCCGAACCTCCATCCTGCGAGGTCAAAATCACCAGCGAGGGCAGAGAACCTACCAGGAAACAGGAAAAGAAAAAGCGATCGGAGGAGGAACGACGGGAACGGCGAGATAAGAGGCGCCGGCAAGCTGAAGCCAACGGCTCGGTACCCCTGCAACTGAACGGTGATGACCCGGACGATGATGCTCGTGCGGCCGAGGCCGGAGCCGCTCGGCCCAAAGCGCAAAGCCACCCAACAACGGACCCTGTTCGCATCTATAGACGCTGTTGTCAGCTGCGGGAAACGCCTGTGCTCAAACGGGTAGTCGACGAGATTTCCTCCCCGTCTTCGGTCCTAGCCGAATCTCCTGGCACTGTCGGTGTGCTGGATCTTAGCAATTTCCCCATGGCTCCTCCAGATGTGGTTACTTTCTGTGACTGGCTGGCTGTCGTTCCGGTTCGAAAACTCATCCTTGAAAAATGTGCTTTGACAGATATCTCGGTCCGGTCTATATTGGCCGCGTTGCTTTCGACCAAGACTACGGAACAGATGAGGCAAAGGCGCAAAAGAACTAAACAGTCGGGATTTGACGTTCCGGGGGCGCAAGAGAGAAATAGCGTTGTGGAAAAGCTGTCCTTGAAAGATAATTCCAAGATCGGCAGGGAGGGCTGGCGCTACATTTGTCTATTCATTCATCTTTCAAAGTCCTTGAAGGCTATTGATCTCTCGGGCATCCCGTTCCCCAAACCACCTGTCGTGGCTAATGGACCTAGTGAGAACACGAATAGTTCTCCAGGATCTACCATTGATATCGCTTCCATATTTGCAAGTTCCCTGGCCGAGCGTTTTGGCGGCGACCACCTCGAAGAATTACTACTCAGTGAATGCAAGCCTGCAACGGAAGACGTGAAGAGGATCTGCGAAGCCGCCGCAACGGCTGGTTTGAGGAGGCTGGGCTTCGCTAACAACAATTTAACGAGGGAGGGTCTAGAGCATGTTGTTCGCTATTGTGAGTCCAGCAAATGCGAGGGCCTTGATCTCGGCGGAAATCCTATCCGCGATCACTTGGACTTGCTCGTCTCCGTTATCGGGAGAGACCATCCACTATATGCTCTGAGCCTTGCAGACTGTGCCCTTACGCCCTCCACCATCCACCCGGTTCTTCAAGCCTTGACGCGTCTACCGAACCTCCGTTTCATTGATTTCTCTCACAACCCAGGGCTCTTTTCCGGACAGCCGGATGCGTTGGCGTTGTTCCGGCGATTCCTTCCCAAGATGCATTCACTGAAGCGCATTCATTTAGCGGACGTGAATCTTTCTGCCGACCACGTCATTGCTCTTGCCGAGATCATTCCGGAGAGTCCCAGCCTATGCCACCTTAACATCCTTGAGAACCCCTCCATCAGTGTGCTTGCGTCTGCGACAGATCCTCGCATCCAAGAGGAGGCCTGTGCGGTATATGCCTCTCTGATGGCGGCGGTGCGTGTGTCGGGGACAATCATCGCGGTGGATATCCAGGTCCCCAGTGCCGAAAACAACGAGGTTGTCAAGGCCCTTGCATCGCAGATCGTCGCCTACTGTCTCCAGAATCTTGAACGAGGGGCTATTGGGGCTCTAGAGGCAGAGATTTCCGACCCGGTCGACTCCTCTGCACGCGCCACCGTCCACGTCCCTGAGATTCTGCAACATTTTGTCGGTGTGGACGAACCGTTTGAGGAGGAGATGGTCGAGAACGAGCCGGCCGCCGATGAAGACTACGTCATCGGAGGCACTGGTGTGGTGAAAGCTCTTGGAGTTTGTCTGGGCAATCTGGACCAGCATATGCCGGGAGATCAGTCTGGGCCGCCTAGTGGCACGACAACGCCCAGACATAGGGCATCCCGGTCTCTTGTCCAGAAACGGCCGCGTGATATGTCCAAGAATCTGTTGGCTTCGGCGCGCAACATCCGGACTAGGATCCAGTCCGCTCTGGTTCGGGAAGACAGAGCCGGGAATGACGACAACTACCGTACGTCCCGTCTCAATTCCCCTTATCATTTCATCTTCTGGGCTTACTGACCATGTTTACTACAGGACGCCTTCAATTCCTTGATATCACCCTGGCTAGGATGATCAAAAGATTCGAAGATGAATACCCCGAGACACGGATTTCACCGCAGTTTGGTCTGCCGACAACCCAGGAGACGGATTCGCAGAATTCCGGCGAAGATTTGGACGCCGCCCTCCTTGGTAGCTCGTTACCGACCGCCGGGCTGGGTGATGAGAATGCGATCGACGATGAAGATACCGACCAATACGCCATCCGACTCTCGCGCGCCAGTTCCATCACCTCGCTTCATTCCCGTGCCATGATTTCAGAAGAGGGCCATGTCCACCGTTTGGGACAAAACCTCCGACGTGATTTCCTTGACCCCTCTTACGACCAGTCAGAAGACGAACAGGCCATGGATGACGCCCAACTTACTACCGCCTTGCGCGAGAAGCTCGACCGTCTTCACGACCAGCAGACACGCCACAGTTTCGAGACCGTCGGCACGGACAAAGCATTTGAGGAGCTTGGTTCGACTGTCAAAGAATTGTGGACCATTCAGCGGCAGGATACTGAAGCTTTCCAGAAGTTTAGGCAAAGTCAAATCGCGGCGCAGATCAATAGCGGGAGACCGAGTTCGCGGAGCCAATCTGGCCTGGAAACTTCCAAAGAGCAGACATCTTTGTAGGCTTGAAGTCTGACACAGCGACTATTGTCTCGCTGGAATTTTTTCAATTTTTTTTTTTTTTTTTATGATCTTTTCTCGTTTATCCTGTTTGTCTGTATCCATTCTAGCATGTTGCCTTTCAAGTTCACTGTACTCTAGCATGGGTTGTTATTAGCCGGAAGATCGTGATGAAATTGTATATACGTGTCCATCCACGGACTCTAACTATAGTATATAACCTGATTTAAATCTATAAGTATCTGGAAAAAAAAGAGTATGTGGTGTTGAGATCGGCGGTTAGTCAAGTTCCTCGGCATTCCCCAGACGGAAGGGAAGAAACGACCCGGGGTTCACATGTCAACCACTGATTCGGTTGTCTTCCGATTCCCCATCTGAACCTCTCGTCACTTGACGTACCCTCTCCCTCCTTCTTTCTCCGACCCCTCAACCACACTCTCCAACACATACCCTCTCACAAATCATCTCAACGGTCATGTTCTCCCTCGTCGACTCTGGCTAACCCATATCGTGCCCCCCCCCACCTTCCCCCATCCCGCGCGGCCATCCCCTCCCCGCAACATGGCAGCCCAGTCGAAAATCCTCCCCCCCGAACGATCTGTTCGCCAGATCTTTTCGAGTCTAACATCTTCCTACCTTCGTCACCGGACGAAGATCTCCCGAGCTGTCTATCTGACCCTCTTCGCCGCCCTCGCCAAACGAATCCATAATGCTATCTCCGAGCAGAAGGCTGCCTCCCAGCAGCAGGTCGAGCTGCGGCGCAGACCAGGGACGAGCAGCTTGGACGAAGAAGCCGATCGCCCGCGGAAGAAAGTCGAAGTCAATCGCGAGTTTTTCCGGAATTTGCTCCGTCTGCTGAAGATCGTGATTCCTAGTTGGCGGAGTAAGGAGATGCGGTTGCTGGTGGGACATAGTGTCTTTCTTGTCCTGAGGACTTTGCTCAGCTTGTATGTTGCTGAGTTGGATGGACGGCTTGTTAGTAGCCTGGTTCGTGGCAAGGGAAAAGATTTCTTGCTGGGGCTGGTGTGGTGGATGATCGTTGCTGTGCCGGCCACGTTTACAAATTCCATGGTAGGTGGTTTGTGGATGTCGTCGGTCGGTTGCCTACTTTCGATGGACCAGGCAATCGACCAGACTTACGATGGACAGACGGCTGATTATACTTGCCTCACAGCTCTCGTATCACCAATGCAAACTCGCGCTCGGCTACCGCAAGCGTCTCACCGATTACATCCATGATAAATACCTTTCCAACATGACCTTCTACGCCATCTCCGCGCTGGACGACCGGGTCAAGAACCCCGACCAGCTGATCACGGTGGACGTCTCCCGATTTTCGGACAGCTTAGCGGAGCTGTATTCGAACCTGGCGAAACCGATCCTCGATATGTGCATATACAACTACTCGCTCTCGAAGAGCGTGGGCGGCGAAGGGCTGTTCATCATGAGCCTTTTAGTGCAGCTGTCTGCGAACGTCATGCGTGCGCTGACGCCGCCGTTCGGGAAATATGTGGCCGACGAGGCCCGACTCGAAGGGGAATTCCGCTTCCTTCATTCGAGACTGATCGATTATAGCGAGGAGATTGCCCTGTACCAGGGCCACGACGCCGAGAAAGATACCCTAGACAAGGGCTATTTCACGCTGATCAAGCATGTTAACCGGATTCTGCGGAGGCGCCTGTACCACGGCTTCATGGAAGACTTTGTTATCAAATACTTCTGGGGTGCCCTGGGCCTGATTCTCTGCAGCATTCCTGTCTTCTTCAGGATCCCTGGCCAGATCAGCCAGACCATGGGTGATCGCACAGAAAGTAAGTGCTAGCCCATCTAGCTTGGCGTGGATGATCTCTAACTGCAACTCAAAACAGGCTTCGTCACCAACCGCCGGATGCTACTGTCCTCCTCGGACGCCTTCGGCCGACTGATGTTCTCCTACAAGGAGATCTCCGAGCTGGCGGGCCACACCGCGCGCGTGTCATCCCTCCTAGAAGTCATGGACGACCTGCTCGCCGGACGGTTCGAAAAGAAACTAGTATCATCCGCCTCGATCGAAGAAAACGCAGAAATCCTCTCCGGCCGCGGCGCAATCGAAGAGAGCGAATCCATCGAATTCACCGACGTGCCCATCGTCTCCCCCAACGGCGACGTCCTCGTCCAGAAGCTCTCCTTCACCGTCCACCCAGGCGACCACCTCCTCATCGTCGGGCCCAACGGCTGCGGCAAATCATCCCTCTTCCGCATCCTCGGCGGCCTCTGGCCCGTCTACGGCGGCAAGGTCAAAAAGCCCCGCTTCGACGAAATCTTCTACATCCCCCAACGCCCTTACCTCTCCCGCGGCACCCTTCGCCAACAGGTTATCTACCCAGACGGAGTCCGCGAGATGCGCGCCAAGGGCATCACCGACACAGACCTCTACGAGATCCTCTCCATCGTAGAGATCGCCTCCGTCGTGGACCGCCCGGGCGGCTGGGACGCCGAGGAAGAGTGGCGCGACGTGCTCTCCGGCGGTCTCCAGCAGCGCATCGCCATGGCGCGCCTCTTCTACCACCGTCCCAAGTTCGCCATCCTTGACGAGTGCACCTCCTCCGTGACGCTCGATATCGAGCGCGTCATGTACGAGACTGCCAAGAAACTCGGCACGACGCTTATGACCGTCTCGCACCGCCGCAGTCTCTGGAAGTACCATAAGATGATCCTCCAGTTTGACGGCGAGGGAAGTTATATCTTTACGGGCTTGGATTGGGAGAGACGGTTGAAGTTGGAAGAGTATGTCTGCCCCTTTTTCCCCACCCATGTCCTGCTCAAAACAACCAAAACCATACATTGAACGGACTGACAATCAACAGTGAAAAAGACGAACTCGACCTCCACCTCCGCGCCGTCCCTGAACTTCGAAGACGCGTTGAAGAACTCAGCTCTTAGCTGACAAGAAGAAATACCCCAATCCTCGAATTACTTCCAGTCGAAAATCAATCGACGATCGATATATATCCCCCTCACTCACACACTACCCCTTTACCACGCCATCCATCTATATACCTACATGCCTAGTTATCTACCATCTACTCTCATAGAACATACCCATGATCTACGGGCGAGATTTTTTTCTCCACCTTTCATATCTCTTATTTCCTATGTTGGAGATCTAATATAAATATATACCTCTTGTGATTGCTTATGTCAACTTCATCGGCTGGTAAACTAAGAACTTCGGTAGTTTTGAAGTATACCTATGTATGCATGTGCCATTCAGTAGAATCATAAAGACAAATGAACAAGAATAAAACAAAACAAGGCTCAAACAAGCATGCATACAAAGTAAAAGTTCATAAAATAACAACCAATTAAAGTAAACATGCAAAATGGTCATAAAATATGCATAGCAAAGCCATCAACAGCACACTCAACCGTGTACAGGTACTGTATACCAATTGTATCCTCAGCAGAACCAATATGTCTCACTTCTCCACATCCAAAGGCTCCACGTTCCAAATACTATCCGCATACTCATTGATCACGCGATCAGTAGAGAAGAAGCCCATGCGCGCGACGCAGGTGATGGACTTGGTGAGCCACTCGTCCTGGTTGCGGAATGCCTCGTCGACCATTGCCTGGGTCTCGATGTAGGAGTCGAAGTCGTCCGAGACGAGGTAGTAGTCGCCGTGTTCGACGATCGATCCGATGAGGGCGGAGAATTGGCCTGGGTCGCCGAAGGTACCGGCTTGGATTGCGTCGAAGACTTTGGATAGGTTGCGGTCGAGAGTGAAGTCGCCGTAGAAGTGCCGGTGGCGGAGGTCTTCGACGTCTTCGGCGAGGTTGCCGAAGAGGAAAATGTTTTGTTCGCCGACTTCGCGGGTGATTTCGATCTGGGGGGGTGTGGGTCAGTGGATCTGTCATGTTGAGGGGGATGTTGTTGATACGTACATTGGCGCCGTCGCATGTGCCGATGATCAGGCCGCCGTTGAGAACAAACTTCATGTTGCTGGTTCCGCTACCTTCGGTGCCGGCGGTGGAGATATGCTCGCTGATATCCGAAGCAGGACAGATGATCTCGGCCTTGCTGACATTGTAGTCCTGGATGAAGATCACCTTCAAGAGATCGCCGACATCCGGGTCCTTATTGACAACGGCTGCAACGGTGTTGACCAGATGGATGATCGATTTGGCCATCCAGTACCCCGGGGCCGCCTTGCCCCCGATTATGGACACTCGCGGCAAGACTTTCTTTCTCTCTTCAGGGGACATGGCCTTGATCGTTAGATATCGGTGGATCACACCGAAGATGTTCAATTGCTGGCGCTTATATTCGTGGATACGCTTCACCTGGATGTCGAAGAGAGCGGTCGGATTCACACTGTACCCGGTACTCTCTTTGATGTGTTTGGCCAGGCGGAGTTTGTTGGCTGTTTTGATCTCCGACCATTCTCTCTTGAAATCCTTGTCGTCCACAAATGCTTCCAGCTGTTCCAGGAGAGTCAACTCGGTCAAGAACTTGTAGCCGCCCAGCTTAGATGCAATCAGCTCCGACAGTCTCGGGTTAGCCTGATGGAGCCAACGACGCGGTGTGATCCCGTTCGTGACGTTAGTGAATTTATCAGGACCGTAGATCTTCACGAAATCTTTGAACAGCGTCGTCTTCAGTAAATCGGAATGAAGCTCCGCGACACCGTTGACCTTGTGCGATCCGATGATTGCGATGTAAGCCATTCTCACCATCTTGGGATGCGACTCTTCAATGATCGACACGCGGGACAGCATTTCTCTGTCCTTCGGGAACCTCTTCTCCACCGACTGAAGGAAGAACAGGTTGATATCAAATATGATCTGCAAGTGTCGTGGCAACAAGTTCTGCATCAGAGGGACGGACCACTTCTCCGAGGCCTCGGGCAAGACGGTATGGTTGGTGTACCCAAAAGTCTGAGTGACAATGTTCCACGCCTCATCCCATTCAAGGTTCTCTATGTCGATCAAGATACGCTGCAGCTCAACGATAGCCAGCGTGGGGTGCGTGTCGTTGAGCTGGATGGCGACCTGATCGGGGAACTCGCTCCACGGTCGATTCGTCTTCTTGAACCTGCGGACGATATCGTGCAGCGAGGCCGCGCACCAGAAGTACTGTTGCTTCAGTCGGAGCTCTTTTCCTCTCTCCAGGTTGTCATTCGGATACAGTACAGCGGAAATAGTCTCCGCACGCTGCTGATCCGCCACGGCGCTCTCGTAGTCACCGGCGTTGAATTTCTGGAAGTCAAACTCTCCGCTGCTCGCCTTGCTCGACCACAGCCGCAGGTTGTTCGTCGTGCGGGTTCCATAGCCAGGGATGGGCACGTCATATGCCACCGCTTGGACTATTTCACCGTCAACCCACACGACGGTTGGCTTGTTGTTTTCGTCATGGTGCTTGGTCACTCGACCGTAGAACTGGATATCAACGGTAATCTCATGTCGAGGGAATTCCCAAGGATTGAAATCCAGCCAGTAATCTGGGACTTCAACCTGGTAGCCGTCGACGATCTCCTGTTTGAAAATACCATATCTATATCGCAGCCCGTAGCCCCATGCTGGGTAGTTCAGAGTTGCCATGCTATCGAGGAAACAAGCCGCCAGACGTCCCAGGCCACCATTTCCAAGGGCAGCATCGTGCTCTTGACCGATAACATCCTCGATACGGAAACCGAGTTCCTGTAGACCATCTTTGGACCATCAGTATCGGGACATGACTAGGATCAACATCACCTACCTCTAGCAGCATCCTTCATCCCAACATTCAGCATGGCATTGTCGAGTGCGCGGCCCATAAGAAACTCGAGAGAAAGATCTACAGTGGTCAGCAAATGTCAATGGGCCCAGAAGAGTATTCCACATACAATAGACTCGCTTTTGATCCGCCAAGGACTGCCGCTGCTGCGTCTTGTTCCACTCCACGATCAACCGGTCCCGAAAGGCAAGGGCAGTTCCCGAATATGCAGCCCTTGTTCATGTCAGTACTCAGCAAACATTTTCATCAACTGACACGCAAAACATACGCTTCATCGCAATTGTAGAGAGATCTCGCCAAAGTCGTCTCAACATGACGAACCAGCTCATTCTACTCATCATTAGCTTACGGACAACAAAAGCCCTCAAACCAAACAGCGACCTACCTCAAACTCATCCTTATTGGTAAACCCAGTCACAGACTATATTTACATCAGGGTTATCCGTTAGCGGCAAGGCTCTATACCCCAATCGGACATAGACATGAAAGGTCTCACATGTTTTCTCCACCTGTAGAAGTAAAAGTCGCCACCAGCTATCAGCTAACCGTCGGGAGAAATTTCCACAGAACAAGGACAAGAATCAATGGGGTGATTTATGGTACGCACGCCTCTCTCAATGGTTCCGGGATGCTGGCCTCAACGCTCTTGATCTCTGCAGGTCCGAACCCCGTGAAGGTTCGCTTGTGCTTTGGACGGCTGAATCCAGGGCCGACTGGGCCTTGGAGCTCGGAGATGGGGGCTCCGATGGATGGGCGTCGCTCGCGGCGTTCTTCGTCGGCCATGTTGACGATCGGAGGTGACTGACGATCGGTGGGGGGGTGTGGCAATGGAGAGGGGGCGGCAATTCGGACGACACCAGTCTTGTAAAGAGACCACAAGCTAAAGGACGAAAGAGTCCCTGAGTCAGTATCACAAGCAAGATGTAAACACGAAAGAGAAACAAGTCCTCCAGAGAAGAGAAAACATGGGAATAGATATGTACCTTCCCAGAGGGGCTCGAGGACGAGAAGAGGGGAAGAACTGAGACCTCGTGACAAGCTGACCAGGATCAGATCAAAATCAAGCCATTGAGTAAGTTACATAACAGGAAGAGCAGCAGCAACAGGTGGCGGGGTAGGAGAATAATGTTGGAAGTAGTCGGGAGTACAGTAAGGTGGTGTACCTGGGAGCACCGTGTGGGCAGGTACTACACCCTCATACGATGATGGGTGTATGTATACAATTCCCTCGAGATTTCCAATCATCCTACAGGAGAGGCCCACTTGGACAGTATTGATTCAATGACTGGACTGAGTAATTATTGCTTTGGGTGGTACATAGAGAAGGGGACTGGTTGGCTACAGTAGACGTGGATTACTGCAGTAGGAGAATATTAAACCGTACAATGGTGATGTCTACTATTAGACACAGTCACTCCTCAACACTTCCTCCAGCTCTCACTCTCAAGAGTCAAAACACTTGAATTAGAAAGACCAGGTGAATCATGAATCAAAAGAATCTGTTCCGAACCCTCCAGGCCTCCACTAACAAAGTTCAATCATGACGCATGCTTCCCACCAACTAAGGTAAAGCTCGGGTGGGGAAAAAGGCCTGGAACATGCCTATTGAACCCCCCCCAACAACAACAACAATCAATGGTTATTTATGGAATGCACTCTCAACTGGAACTGAAACCTCCTTTGTGCATCTATCCATGTTTGCATATACAAGTCCTTTATTTCTCTCCCCCTCAACATCCGTGCATTCTCCCAACCAACCAATTTCGAGCTCTGGTGACCCTACTTGGGCCTGTGCTCTGCTCCCCACACCTGCTCTCTTCTGAGGGGTATAGTATATCTTACAAGAACCACTGTCAGCCTGTTGCGTCTACGTACTGCTGTAGATCTCACCCAGGACCATGAGATGGCCTCCTCTTTTCTTCCGGTCGTAAATCGAACTAGAGAGCTAGTCCCTAGACTATAGACAGCACAGACGAGGGGAATTTTATAGATAATCGATTGCATGCAAAACGCTATAGAGGTGTATGGTATGGTATAAGGGAATTGCAGCTCACTTGTCACAAAGAAAATGATATCCAGCGCAAATGGTTCGCCACAGGTCCATCGGAGGTAAGCGTGGGGTATGTAATGGGCGGGGGGCGCGGTTGTTGGAAATTCCCAAGACCATCGGAAACAAATGTCTTTCCAAAGGGCGGGGGAGTTATTAAAACCTTTCGCACAAATCATATATGCAAGTCGTGCGCGCTGGGGCGAGTAACTTTTAATCCAAAATATTCGGATAATATGCTCATTGAATCGAATCCCGGGCCGGAGAATAGGGGCAAAGCAGTTGATACTTCACCATGCGAATGGAACAGTTCCCGACAGTAAGAAGGGTAAATATGGGAAAGATGGGAAATGGAAAGAAAAGGGATGGGAACAAACACAAGAAACAATAGTCAAAAACAAATAAGATTAAAATCAAGAGATCATGCCATAAGATTCCAACAGTAATATCCCAACCCAGCGCCTAACAAATGGACTAAGAGGCAGTATTATAGCACCACAACGCCAGTTCCCGATCCATTAAACACGAGAGAGTATCAATAAAGAGAAAAAGCAAACGGTATTAGAGTAAAAGGAGGGCACAAAGGGAAAAAGGAACGTCAACACCGTGAGGAGTCAGTGTAAGGTTGAGTCAGTCCTGCGAACCAATGCCATGCTAAAGTAGCGACTCTGATCGGCATGACAGCCATGTGGCTAGAGATGGGCCGGGAGAAACCTAGAGAATGCCCGAGTCTTTCAAGGCGTTCTGCAAAATTGTCTCCTTGACAGCAGCAAATACCAGGCGGATATTCGTCGTGTCGGTCGCTTGGGTTAGACTGAGAGATTGGCAGACGAGTTAGCCCTCCAATTTTGGGAACTGGTCTCGGGGAAGAACTCACTGGGGATAAAGGTTCAAATGGGCCCGGTTGACCTGGTTGAACCGCCACAGAAGATATTTGGCAGCGCGATTGACGTCGTTGCCGCCCAGATAATCGGGGAAGTAATCGCTCAACGGCGACCGAGGGAGTTTCTGGCGGAACAGATCGACCTTGTTCAAGAAGAGGATGATACTGGTCCGCATAAACCACCGGGAATTAACGACAGAATCGAACAGCACCAGACTCTCCATCATTCGGTTCTGCAAAAGCACATTAGCATCAGGGTCTCATCGCGCGACACGGATTGGAGCTTACTTGGTTGCTTTCTTCGAGGAGTACCTGATCATACTCACTCAATGCCACACAGAAAATGATCGAAGTGACATTCTCGAAACAATGGATCCACTTCTTCCGCTCGCTTCGTTGGCCGCCAACGTCAAACATGCTATATACCTGTAAGCGACCGCGCCAAAGGATGATCGGGACAGCAAGCCATACTGTATGCTCAATTGGCCCATCGTGAACCGTGTTTCGTAGATACCGGTGGTCTTTGTTCTCGCGCGAAGCACATCGTTGACATTCGGGGTGTACCCTTGCGACGAGATCCGTTTCGCTTCCTCGAAGAAACTAGGGGCATATTAATATGGACATGTGATATCACAAACGCCAGCAGGGGTTCTTACTATGGCGCAGAGTCCATCAGGTAGAACTCATTCTGATGCTCCAATACTGTCGACGTGCACGGGTCATTCCAGAGATATGTGATCGCGTCCCCTACTTCCGGATCGAGGAATTTGGTCGGATCGGGGTCGATATTGTAGTTGTCGAGGTATTTAATATAGTCGCGAACTTTCTGGCTCGACGGCTCCAGACTAAACTGCCGGTAGGCTCCAGTGATGGACTTGGCGCAATCCAGGAGATTCTTATAGACCGTGATGCGATATAAGAGCAATTCTTCTGTTGAGTAGCCATTCTGGTGAATGATCTTCATCTGTTTGACAATCGTTGACTTTCCGCTTTCACCGGATCCTAAAGTAAAGGAAAGACAAGCGATGATTAGCCAGACGGAGAGGAATCAATCGGGAAATCATTCAAACCTACCCAGTAGTAGGATCTTGCATTCCTTCCGTAAACGCCGCGAATCCTCCTCTAACCTGCGATCGATCGCCTGGCTGTGTTTCTTCTGTTCCGCATCTCCTGTCGACTCCGAGCTCAAACATGAACCCATATTCTCGTTCGATGTCCCAGACAGCGAAGGCTCTCAACCATTAGCTGCCTGCGGAGGTGAACAGCATCGACCTATCAGGACACCTGGACCCGACGAACACCGCAGGTACCTATTGTCACAACGCCAGAAAGAAAATCACAGAGCGAAAAAAATTACTGGCGCGATCGAGTTTCGGGGGTGAGCTGACAGAGGGGAAAGAAAGAGCCAAAGGAAATGAAAAGAAAGGGAGCAGAAGGAGCGGGCAAGTTTGCGATCGACGAACGAGCTCGGCCCAAGAATCGAGGCTGCACAGTGGCCAAAAGCAGGCACCACAATAATAATTCCGGTCTGGGACTGAAGGTCTGAGCGACAAATGCAAGCTCCCGGGGAAGAGGCGGGGGGGAGGGGGCTGTGGTTTGAGGGAAGGCGATGGCTCGTGATGCAGATGAAACTAGGGAGACAGTGGACGGGGGTGAAGGTTGGAAAGGGAGTCCAAGCGTTGTTGTGATGTATTGTCCTCCTTATTAGGCTGGCAATGATGAGGGGTGACAGGAATCAAACTGCGGAGCAAGAAGGCGAGAGAGAATGACAAGCCGACGCTAAAAAGGATCACAGAGGTCGATCGGGGGGGGGGATGATGTGGGAGTGTGGATTGAGAGCGCGGGTCTCAAGTGAGATAATGTAAGCAGTGAGGATCAGAGTGTGGGATTCTCCAGGACGCAATGTGTCATGCATGTAATAATGGATAGAAAATAATAGTAAGAATAGTAAAGAAGATGATAAGAATAAGAAGAAGAATGATCTGGAGAAACACGAGACAGGTGCGGGTGAGCGGATGAAAGTGTAAAAGACAATCAATGGAACGAATGGAATTAGGATTTATTAGATATTACTGTCCGGTCAGTAGCGGTGAGTTGTATAAAGAGCAAATAAAAGGCGGTGGTATTTGTGTGTGGGTAGTAAAAGTAGTAGTAGTAGTAAGAGTAGTAGTAAGAGTAGTCGGGAGGAGAAGGAAAGGGAAGATATTGCCTCAGAACCCCCAGAGAGTGGATGGTTCCCAATCGTCATATATTTGGACTTTGGACCGATTGGGGGTGGAGATGATTACATACACAACCCCAGTCAACTCAGATCGCAGCGTGTGGGTATTGTTCGCAAAAAAAAACGTGGACCAGGCGAAGCTTACCAGATGGGCCGTGGTTAACATTATAAGTACGGAATACTCCGTAATAAATCAAGTTATTGGAGAAATTATAGCTTGCTCGGTGTTACTCTATCTAACTTCCGGTGGCTATGAGGAGGAACTCCTTGTGACAGGACCTGGTCCTTTTAGATTGAGTCGGAAGTAGGGTCGAGAAGTGTTTTAATTTCAATCCTTTGTGTCCGAGTCGGATGACCGAAGGTTAAAAAAGGGCGCTATTTGCATCCATGATCATCCACATATTGGGGGAGTGTGATGAGAGAGATCAGGTAATGGGAATTACCCTTGATTTAATTTAATACACCATATTACGCGGTCGTGTCTACCGTGGAACTAGTATCTCTTGGTATGTACTCCCGTATCCTCGTATTATTGTCCACCTAGTAGAGATCGGATAAGACGGTTACTGTAGGTAACCCAGCTTATGATCAAGGGGATTGATTTAGATGTTTCTTCCAAGGATTCCTGTTCATTAAACTTACTGCCTACTCTCCTACCTTCTCTTCTCTCGAGTCCGATCTATCCAATTTACGAGAACCTCACGAACTGTTCAAGGCGGAGATTACAGAAAAAGCAAGATAAACCAAACGTCATCCCAATCCGGAGGTGATCAAGACAATAGATCCATTTCTATACGATGTGACCCCTGCACAGATAGTCTGAGACTGACCATCAGAAATATCCAACCTAAAACCTATCAACACATCCTCTAGAGTGATCGGTTGTGCCGTCACTTTCACTCCCATGGCTCGCAGATAGGGTACCATTAGAATTGTTACATCCATACATCTCCTGTTTACTCCGTACATAGCCCCCCCCACGGAAGCGCCCCGTCCAAGCGCGCGATGCTGGTTTGGGAATGTCAAGGCTGAGTGGGCTATGCCCTTGCAGGATCCTGGTTGGAGGACGAAATTCTCGAGGGTTTATCCTAGCATCACTACTATCCTAAACAGAGTTCGTAGAGACTGCCTCATCTCTTGTTGAAATGTACAGGTACAGTGATCAAGTTAGTCATATATTATATGGCCCTAGGGAAATTTATTGAATCTATTAATCTCTGGAGTAGGCGATCCTAACAGACACTTATTTACTCCGTATTTGGTCGTAAAATTGACATGATATGGGGTTGCCACGTGCACCGTATGGGTGGGTTGGAGCTAGTGCCCTCGGAATACTACATGAGGCGATCGATTCCTTTGAGGTCGGTGAAACAGTCAAGAGAATATCTAGAACATCTGGGCTCGTGGAGGAAGTATGCCGACATTACATAGCTATAACCAAAGGCATTGTGGTCGGGAGTAAGCAGGCAGCTGTGAATGTCCATTGTCAAAGTCAGTGTCTAGGCTGTAGTGAAATCTTTGGGGCGATAAGCTACGTGGCCAAACCCTTTTTTGAAATCTTTTTTTCATTTTTTTTTTCCGGGACAATCACCATCAAAAGTTACAGAGGGTCTATATTGTGTGGGTCAGACATGCATTCCACCCTTCTATCCCTCTTAGATAAGGAATGCAGTTCTTCATGTCCGTCTTTCGATTCGGCACAATACGTGTCTCCTCTTGAAACGCCATGGTCGTTTTTTAGTCACAAACAGGAGGATTTTGCTTGGCAGATTGATACTTCGGGCATTTCCAAGAGACTAACTCGCATATCCATATCTAACTACAGAGTAGCATTCCTACCTAAGACTTTCAAACTCCGGTTCACCAACAGAATCATGTCTCTTTTCATGGGACACAATCTAACTACTGTTGAGAGTCCCTGTTCCTTTTGTACTGTTGGCTCTGATACGAAGCCTCCATCGAATGGATTGGAGCCAGCCCATTCCAGCCCCACAGCCTGGGAAACGGGGACTATGATGGAATTGCAGCCTTGGAATAGGACTGTCTAGCCTTGTCGGGATAGATGTTGAGGAAGACAGACTGGTCTAACCCTAATAAGTCCATTGCCATTGCCCCGTGCAGGTGAGGTGCTCATCCCAGTAAATTAATGTTAACCCTAAGACAGCCTTGTCTACGGCCTATACTGTATGAATCGTACTAGATCTCCTCGTTCTGTTCCATGACTATTTGCTGACAGGTGATGCCGAGTACATCGACAAGACACACATTGGGTAGGGTGTAGAAAAGAATGAACGAAAGAATCAAGAAAGAAAAGCAAGACCAAAAGAAGTGATATAACCCATAGAAATAGCAATCTTCATCAGTTCTCTTGTTTTAATCATAAATATCCTGATGTTTAGAATGATGAGAGGGTATCGGGGAAATATAACCCCATCTCACACGACACGACGGTGTGCGATGGTTACAACTTCCAACCGAGTATTCATAAAGCATTTGAATCAAATCTTCTTATCCTCCTCTCTCGTCATCTCAAGAGGTACACAATCTATTATATAGAAGATTGGAAAGATGGGAAAGCTTGAAGCCTCCCGTGCGCTGAGCTAAAAACCATCCAGTCAAACGTTAGATAAGCGTAGGCAATCTTGCTTGAATTTGGAACCATAATCCGACCAATAACGAATGCCCAAGACGATCTCATTATACCTTAGGGGCCGCGTGGGGGAAATATCAGTTATTCATCTTCCCAGTGCTGCTTCAGCCCGTGCTTCCCAGATCCTGCTTCTCTGGTCGCGGACGTCATCGCTCCTTTTGGTCTTTGGCAAAGGCTCCAACTAAGCGGGCTAAAGTCCAGTTTCCCCACATGCCTACGACCCTGCTACCCAGGTTTGCCGCCACCACCTAGTCGGTCACTCTAACTGACGGCTTTTGCTTCCTCTTTGCTTTCTGATTTACCCCCCCCCCATTATTATTATTCGCCCCTCAGCTGTCCCTCCGATTTTCAATATCATCCAACTATCGACTCTCGGCTTCATCTTTCCCAATCTCCATCCATTCCTTATCCACAAACCCCCCCCTCTCCTTCCACCTCCACTTCCCCCTTCTTTTTCCCCTCGTTTTCTCCCCTTCTTCTTGAAAAAAGGAAAAAGGATAGAAAAGGATAAAAAAAATTTTGAATACAGGAGGGAGAAATCAGCAACAACGTTGAAGGATTCGTCTCGAATATTGTCGTTCATCCTTGATCCAATATGGCGGAATTCGTGCGTGCCCAGATCTTTGGAACCACCTTCGAGATCACCAGCAGGTACAGATTTTTTCCACCGTCGTCCTTCAACTTGATACAATGATGGATTATTAAACGTTTGGCAGGTATACAGATCTGCAGCCGGTGGGAATGGGTGCCTTTGGTCTCGTATGGTATGCTTGAACTCAACCCCTCTTTTTCGACTTTTCCTGCAACACCCCGCGTCCCGCGTCATCGAACATGCGCTGACACGTTCCCCGATAATGCATCAGCTCCGCAAGAGACCAATTGACCGGTCAGCCCGTCGCCGTGAAGAAGATCATGAAACCGTTCAGCACCCCGGTCCTATCCAAGAGAACCTACCGCGAACTGAAACTGCTGAAACACCTGCGACATGAAAACGTTAGTCAACCCGACCGATCGTGAAGACTTCCCGCTGGGTTCGTCTGTTGACCATCTGCAGATCATCAGCTTGAGCGATATCTTTATTTCTCCCCTGGAAGACATGTACGCGGTTTATCTTGGCTTGGATGGTCGACAGAGCTTGGGCTGACTGGACGCTGCAGATACTTTGTCACAGAACTTTTGGGAACCGACCTCCATAGACTCCTTACCTCCCGACCGTTGGAAAAGCAGTTCATCCAGTACTTCCTATACCAGATCCTTGTGCGTGGCCACGATCCCTCTCCCCCCGGTTTGGTGAAGGTTGGTCGCTAACCTTCCGTCAGCGTGGCCTGAAATACGTCCACTCGGCAGGTGTCGTCCATCGAGACCTGAAGCCCAGCAACATCCTTATCAATGAAAACTGTGACCTTAAGATCTGCGATTTTGGTCTCGCCCGTATCCAAGATCCCCAGATGACCGGCTACGTTTCGACACGATACTACCGCGCCCCGGAGATCATGCTTACATGGCAGAAGTACGACGTGGAAGTGGACATCTGGAGCGCAGCCTGCATTTTCGCGGAGATGGTTGAGGGAAAGCCCCTCTTCCCCGGCAAGGACCATGTCAATCAGTTTTCGATCATTACAGAGCTCCTCGGAACTCCGCCGGACGATGTGATCCAGACCATTTGCAGCGAGAATGTCGGTGTTTTCCTCCTTGCTGTGGTTCATTTTGATGCGACATACTAACCTCGTCTTCACAACAGACTTTGCGATTCGTCAAATCGTTACCCAAGCGGGAACGTCAACCTCTGGCGAACAAGTTTAAGAATGCTGATCCCGACGGTAAGCCTAGTTTGACGGTAATTGGATGGGGATGATTCGGTCGCTGACGTTCACAGCCGTGGACCTCCTCGAGAAAATGCTCGTCTTCGATCCCAAGAAGAGAATCTCCGCTACCGAGGCGCTCGCACACGAATACCTTGCCCCCTACCACGACCCCACCGATGAACCGGAGGCTGAAGAGAAGTTCGACTGGTCTTTCAACGACGCCGATTTGCCCGTGGATACCTGGAAGATCATGATGTATGCGTTTTCAAATCAAGCTCTCACGGTGAACGCTCTGCTGACATGACGTGCGCAGGTACTCGGAAATCCTGGATTTCCACAATATTGACCAAGGCCCCGATGCCGGTCAAGTCTTTGGACCCGTCGGAGACGGACAGCAGGGGTTTGCATGAGAGGTTTCGATTATTGATCCCATGATGAGGAAGTTTTCAACCTTTCCTTTTACTCCCCATATGACAAATGATCCAGCAGGCACGGGTGGTCTGCTTATTGTCATTCCACCTGTCCAGGCCTGCCCCGGTTTATCACCATGCTTCTGTGATAATTTTGTCGGTCACCATTTTTTTCAGGGCGGAAGAAAGTAATGTGTAAGTGGAGGTTTTAACCATTCATGCTATTGTTACTTAGTTAGAGTTGGATGACCTGGGAGTTGAACGCGTCTGTAACACGATCAAACCACCTTGACATCTTCTGTTGATCATCTATATTATATACAAGCACATGTGATATCTGCCGTATGGATCATGGATTCGTTGCGTAATGGCATCAGCCTGCTGGGGGAAAGTACCTCAACACCTTTCAATACCTGGGTCAGCATGATCATCATCTGGTGGTCAGGCGCGGTCACAAGTTAAAAATGGAAACACTCCACCAGGACCACCCGGGCTGAAGATTCATGCCGACCGTAATGAAAATGACTGCATACTTGGCCACTGGGCCGGCAGGGCTACAGTACTACTCCGTACTACTACGTAATAGGCCCTTAGACGGCGGGGCTTACGGAGGAAGGGAGATTCATTAACTATTAGTAGTAAGTCAAAATAGTTGACGATCCCCAGCTTTTCTTCCAGTCACCGCCCGAGGAAGAGCAAACCATTCTGCAACCCTTCGATTTCCCCTGGTTCCAAACAAGTAAATATCCCCCCCCTCCCCCCGGACCAACTCTTTCTACCGTTGGTTTTGTTGTATCTTTCTTACGGATCAATCATCATTCTTGGGTCAACACGTGAGGGGGGTTCGATCGACCGTCGTTATCTCTCGCCTTTTCTGGAAGGGCTGCCTTCACCCTTCGACAGGAAGGAAATTGGCTTAGAACGTGTCATTTTCGGTGCCTGTTTTTGTTATTTCTTTTTTTTTAATAAGTCACACCCCACATAAAACCCTCCGCTATGGCTAGTACCTCGAGTCAACAGGTGCCCATTGTGATGGTCATTGATTTCCACCATGCAAGGTGAGTAGCTCGAATGAGGGGGGGAGAGAGGTGTCGAAGCGGGAAACAGTCGAGGTGTCGTTGTATACCGCGCGACATTCTTTGGCTTGAAGTCCACACGAGTCGCATCCCACCACCACCCAACTGCGACACAGGGCGCGACGAGGATCTCATGCGGGGCGAACATATCAGTTAACCTACATCTTGTTCTTTCTCCACAGGGGCCCCGAGATCGAGCACTGTATAGGAAACGAGGGGACCGACCCCGCGGTGGAAAATGACTGGTCTTTATTACCATTCATGGCGCTATCGGACGGCGCGCATATGTACGAACCGATGCTCCCCTTTCTCCTTTCTCCCACTCCTCCCATACCGTCTTCGAAACCCTCCCCTCCGCAGAAAAGCGTCTAGTCCTTCATTGACATGGTGCCCGCGCTGCAATTAGGTCGACCGAGGAATTCTCGTATTTCACCCTGCACCAGAAAGAGACCGCCACGGAGCCGGCGACTTCGCTTTTCGGTATCGCTTGCGCCAGGCAGATCGACGCGAGCATTCTCAAGTACAAGCCGCCGGAGGTTACGCGGTCTACGGTGCAGAAGGCTGTCGTGGTGGTGACGGATAGTCCCCAATATCTGGGCCAATTGAGGGAGAAATTGTCGGTGGTGACGACGGCTTGGTTTGCGCAACGGTATGTTGGCGGTCGCATCCGATCTGGAGGTGGCGGCGCTCGCGCCGTCAAGTGATCATTTGGTGGCACAATGCGATGTGGAATGTGGCTGATTCGTCTGGTCGAAAAATAGGGACTTTTCGGACTTTGATATCCTCAAGGTGTGTTTCGGCGCTGCGGCTTGACAATCTGGAGATATGCTGATATACGTGTTTAGAAATTCCGGGAAGGGCTGGTGATCAGCCTAGAGAAGAATGAGGGCTTCAAAGACCAAAACTTGGGTAAGACTGCTGCATTGGGTACTACATGACATGTCTGATCGGCCTAGGACTTTCTCTGCGGGAGATGATCCACGAGTTCAAGTATCAGACGCTTGTATTGTTCAAGGCTTTGCTTCTACAGCCAAAGGTACGGATAGTTCGCGCAAACGATCGAACCTTGTTACTGACCATCGGCAGATGCTGTTCTTCGGCTCGAGATGCGAACGCCTGTGCATGATCCAGTTCTCGCTCGTCTCTCTCATACCGGGCCTTATGAACAGTCTGGGGGACTGTGCCGATCCCTCATTCGATAATTATGCACGAACCGTCCAGAAACCGACCTCCCTCAAAACTAGCGACAGAAGCTCTTGTATGGGACCAGCCTTTTGCTTTGCAACGACGATAGGCTAATGCTAATTATTCCAGTACTATCTTATATGGGTCTGCCATTGCAAATTTTTGGAAAGGTTTGCACATCTTCAACAAGCGTTGTGGGTAGTTCTAACGTCTTTCCAGGGCAGCATGTTCGGGCCGTACACACCATTACAGCAGCTGGATCTGCTCGCAGATGACGGAACCAAGTCATACGTTGTCGGGTCGACAAATTCGTTGCTCTTGCAGCAGAAGGACCGCTATAGTGATATTTTAATCAACGTAAGTAGCTGCACTCTCGGTAGCCCTTGCGTTTCTAACTTGATTGCTCTAGCTTGACGAAGACACCATCAACATCTCATCCCTGACTTTACGAAATGCATTGGCGCTGTCGACTGCGGATAGACGTTGGATCGACCTCCTTACCCAAATCATCAACGAAACGTGGGATGAAAGCCACCCGGAACGCCCCAAAACGCACGGCTATATGGGATCCGAGGAGTTCATCAGACTTCAATTCGAGGAATACTTACTCGCACTACTCGCCTGCATGAAGTACCACGAAGAACTTGACTCGTTCAACGCCGGTGATCCTGGTCGGAGGACCCAGGAGCAGATAGATGGACTTAACATTGAAGGCGATCCGGCGTTGGAATTCAACGGAGAGTTCCTGGCAATGTGGCAAAACACCTCCAACTACGCTCTCTTCTCGCGTCTCACATCCGATGCCCTGCCTTTCTCGATCGTCGAACCCCGTCATCCTTGCGCTGGAGGCCTCACAATCGACGACGTCCAACGGCGCATCTCGCAACAGGTCGCAGATCTCCATCTCGACGACCGCGTCCGCGAAGGCCGCGAAGCGCTCAACCGGCATCTAAGCACCGGCCAGAAGAAAATGAGCGCCGCCTTCAACAGCTTCTGGTCCGACATCGAATCGATGCGCGAGGCCCAGAAAAAGCGCAACGAAGAGAAGGCAATGCAGTCGCAGCGACAGTCCCTAGACGGAGGATCTCCACCGCAACCACCACCTCTCCCACGTTCAAACTCGGCAGCCGCCTCGACAACAGCAGGCTCCGCTTGGATGGGCCGCAAAGCACCCCCGCTCGACATCAACCAAGCGCAAGCCTCAGTCAACTCCGTGGGCCAAAAGGCAGGCGCGTATCTCAGCTCATGGAGCTCATGGGCCTCTGACAAACGCAAGGAGTGGCAGGAGAAGAAATCTTCTTCCCCCTCCTCCCCCTCCTCAGTCACCTCCCCGTCGACTCCCATCCTCGCCACCGTCGCCGAGACAACTGACGCCGAAAGGGGCAGACGGAAGTCTCTTCAAGCGCGTCGCAGCGAGGACTCGAACGCGAGCCTTTCAAGCGTCAGCCTTTCTCTCTCCCGCAGCGGAAGCCGCAGAAAGAGATGGAGCAATATCCTCTTGAGGCGCGAAAGCGGCGAATTCGGTCCCCTCCACCGAAAGGGTGATAGCAGCGGTGAGAGCAGCGATTACGAGCCTGTTTATCCGAGATCGCCCTTGTCTCGGGAAGCTCCTGTGCTCGGGGAGGACATAAAAGAGCCGGATGTTACGGCCACGGATCATCCAGAACAAGCGAGTGCCGATACCGAAGCCCCGAAGGAACCGAAAGCCTCACCACCACCCCCGGTGACCGACAAGGAAAGCCATACTCGGACGTCTCAATCTCAAGACAATGCCAAAGAGGAAGAACACGGTGATCGCCCCCAACAGCCAACAAATGAAGAGAAACCCCCCTTACCCTCCGAGACCGCCAGTCTTTCCACCAAATAATCCGTTTTTGTCCCTTTTTTGTTTCTTTTTTTTTTCTTTTCAATATCCAGTTTGGACCTTCTACCAGTCTTGGTCTTGGTCTTTCTTGGACATGATGATCTACACGGCACTGACTTACGGGGTGGCTTTCTCTCTCTTTCATCTTAATCTTTTCAGCGACGTCTATAACACATTATATCACACACATCTCAAACCAAACCGGGGAGCCATTGGTGGCTCCCAAGCAAATGTCCAATCTACACCTGTTGAAACTTCGATACCCAAATGCAGGGCTTACTTTTGTGTTAGTACTATCTGCTTTTTTTTTCCCACCCCTTTATTCGCTTGTTTCAATCTGTCATCTATGGGTATGATTAAAGCCAAAGATAATCGTGTAATATATATACATACTTGAACTCATTCACTGTTACTTCTTTTCTTGGTGTCTTTCCTCTGTGTGCTGTGTACTGCGTGTCTACTGTAGTTCACCAGGTGCCGCTACTGTACCCATTTCAATAGGTATAGAAAGGAAATAGAAACAGAGGTAAACAGCCCTACCATACAAATCATCCACTTCCATCTCATGAATTACTCCAGTCAGATGCTATGCAAGGATTGATTTATTCATTTCAGACGTGATAGAACTGATATAAGAAGAGAAAGAAGACTAGCGCTAACGTAGGAGAGAATAATAGAGATAGATAACCGAGCCAGGGAGAGTAGTAGTGTATAGCAGCAATCGATCAATGAATCGATCAATCATGCAATGTAGGCAATTTCGTCACCGTCCAAACGCTCTATATAGTCTTTCTCCATGAGAGCCTCGATGTTCTTCTTAATGTCCGGTACCTTGGGCGGGAAGCGGGATTTGACTTGGTGGATGACTTCCTGGACGAGCTGGACGTGCTTCATCTTCTTGCGGGACTTCATGATGCGGACGATGGCGGACTGGGGGGAGTGGTGGGTTAGTATGCTTTCTGACGTTGAAGGATTTGGGATACTGGGTTGGGTGACATACCTGGAGTAGCAGCTTACGGTCCTCCTCTATCGTCTTGTGGGTGTCGTCTGACTCGACCTTCTGCTCGGATTTGATTTGAATGTTCAGGTTCACCTTGACCTTCTTGTGCTTGAAGTTGTAGTTCAGGGAGAAAGACGCCCCAGGCCCGGGCTTGGTGCCCTCTGGGCTGATATGTAGCACCTTGGCTTTGAGGAAGATACCTAGGTTGGGGTCGAGAATCTCGGGGGCAAGTGAGGTGGCCTTCTGGATGTCCTCATAGGTCAAGGTGTCATTCTCGTTGAACAGCAGAAGGATCCCCATCTGGAAGGTGGACACCTGGAATGTGTATGGGACCTTGGTGTTTTTGATGTAGTTGGTCTTCATCTCACCCTTGCACAGCTGCCAGAGCCAGGTGAGCTTTCGCCCATTGTGTTTGTCGAAATAGAAGCTCTGGAACCGCTCAGCGGTCTTGACAATCTCCGGTGGTGCAAGGAAGTCGGTGGATGGCGCCTGGAGCGGCCAGAACCCAGTTCCCAGGATCTGGAAATGCGAGTCCACCAGCTTCTTCCGGTCGTCATCGTCGAGGACCTTCTCCTGCCAATCTCTGTAGCTACCGTTAAGATCCTTCGAGATCTGGATATCCTGGAACATGCGCTGCAGTTTGTTGGTGTATTCGAACCCGCAAGCTTCCTTGAGCTTGCTGATCATACTCGTCTCCGCGTCATCTGACACCGAGCTCACATGCACCAGTCGCTTCGCAAGCATCTTCGAGTAGAACTTCTGGAAAACATCCTTGTCCTCGATGTACTTGAAGACAGTCATGATCTGGACTAGCATTTCTTCTAGTTCCGACTCTTCGGCGGCCTTGGGGCCCTTCTTGAGCAACGAGTCTGTGTATTTAGCCAGGAGCTCGGGCGATTTGGTCGAGCTCGATGCGCAGATCTTGTTGCGGTTGACGAACTCGCGGCAAGCATTGTCCAACGATCGAACAAATTCAGACTCGCCGTTGAAGGCCTCGTTGACCAAGCTTTGGTAGCGAGTATGTACCTGTAATAGCGCATCGACATACATCCTGGGTTCGAAAGTCTCGCCCCCGGTAGCGACCTTCTCAACGGCAGCAAGACCGGCTTTCCGGACATGGGTCTCAAACTTGGTTCGCAGGGGATCCAAGCCATCTTTGATGCGCGACAACAGCCGATACATCCGAGCGAGATCATCTTGCCGCTCGTTATCTAACAGAACCTGGAACTCGTCCCGGAGAAGCTCCGAGTGGGCCGTGACGAGCACGTCAAGGCAGGTATCGGTGAGATGCTTGGAGATATCAGGGTGCAGGTACAATCCAACACGTGCTTTCTCCTCGTCGAAACGAGACTCGGCCTTCTTCATGTATTCGACGACACTGTTTTCGGCAACAAACTGGCGGGATTCGTTTTCGTAGTAGACCCGGGTGGCGGCAATGAACGGCTTTTCAAAGTAAATTCGATAGACTTCGAGCGTGGACTTGGTACTATCGCTCTCGTCCAGACCCAGGGAAACAAAGGAGTCGACGATGCTCTTAATCTGCGATTGTTCGATGGTCTCCCCATTTCGTTGCTTTTCAACGAGGTTCAATACAGCGTCCATGACCTTCTTGTGGACCTTCATGAAAAAGTCGTCCTTCCATTTGACCAGGTGCAACGTGTAAACATCGTACACGTTCTTTTTGCCTTCATCGATCTCCCGCTTCACCCAGTGTCGGTTAAGATACCGGAATAAATGGTTGATGTACTTGGCGGCCGTTGTGTAGCGGAGCCATTCGCGAATGTAAAATCCTAGGAGGGCCTCCTCGGCGTGACTCTCAGACTCTGTATACACCGCTTGGAGATGACGCGATAGGTATTCGCCCAGTAACTTGTATAGCTCTTCGCCCAACAAATGTGCTATCCAAACATGTCAGCCTACACCGACTACCCAAAGTTTGAGGCGGAAACGAACCACCCCTGTGCGACTGCAAGCCTTGCCCGTTGGCAACTGCTTTCTGAGACGTGCAAAAGTTATGAACAGCCCTGTCCTAGTATTAGAGGTTGTTTGATTCGTTGCGGCATGGGAAGGGACGACGTACGTATACAGGGCCATGTACTATAGAGCGCAGGCACAGCGTTAGAATGCGTTAAAGAACGACTATGTCGGAGGGTCCCGGGAAATGAGGGAGGCCATACATGCTTCATATCCACGCCTTCCTCCAGCTTCAGCATCACGCTATCGATGCCCTTCTCTAAGAATGTCCATCTATGTGCGAAATCAGTCCGGTATTAGTGGCGACCACCCAAGGATGGGACTGGAGTTTGAACCAACGTTTCATCCAGATCCTCCTTCTGAGGCGTCTGTGGGATGAGTGGAGGCATGTTTCGACTGAAGATACTTGGAACGAAAGTGAGACTGTGGCTGGGGGCGATATATTAGCTGCGGTGGTCGTTCAGGGAAGTTGTAAGCCAACCACGGGGCAGGTGGGCGAGGCAGCATGGAGTTAGGCCAGTATAGGGCACGGATGTGACTCACTTGAGCTTTCCCAGAAGACAACACCTTTCGTCTGCTCCTGAGCAGTAGGCGTACTATCCAGGTAGGCGGCTTAGGCTGCGGTGGTGAGTCCGACTAGTACCGCCTGACCACCAGCGAGGCACGAGGAAAGCCGCGCACTCGAAAGAGGGCAATAAGGAGAGCAGAGGCAGAGAAGGGCTGCCCAGTATCAAAATAACGCAGAACCGTGAGACACCAACAAAGATAGCGCACTTGATGCCAGGAAAGGTAGCAGGGAAGAAGAGGAGGCAAAAACAATCGAAAGAGGGAGAGGGAAAAGGCGTGGCGTTGGGCGGTCGTGAGAGAAGGCCGTGGGGGGGTTTTATGGCTGGTTCGGGTAGGCGGTCAAAGAGCTGTACAGCCTCATTGTTGACTGTTCTCCGTTCTAGATCTTCTTCTCAACTTGACTCATCATTGAAAGAAGAAGCTGCACTTGGCTATCTTCCTATATTTGGGGTGCCTACACAACGGCTCAGGCATTAGCACTCTTTTGAACAGCCATAAACGCGACCGGAAGCTGCCTTGTACCTCCCTCCATCCTGGCCCACCTTGAGCGGTTCCAGCGCCATAACTAGGTACTCCGTCTGTACCCACTCTTTGACGTGAACACCAACCACAATAACCTGATATTGGCACTCCGGGAAAATGTCGTTATGCGGCTGACCTAGCATGGTGGTCCAGTACACTAACCAGCGTAGCTTGGTCTGCCTAGACTCGTATACTAATCTTGCTCTCAGCATCAAAAACAGGCCTGGTCTGGGCTGAACGGGGCCTAGGTGTGACGTCATCGACAGCTCACCCCAGTGCCCTCATTCGTATATCAGTTCAAGTCAGTAGTCGTGGATTTCCTATCCTCATTACGAGAGACTCATTGTCGATGTGATGCAGACGCGCCTATCGCACGGAGACCTGAGCGAAGCAATAAAACACTAAATCCTAGGAAAATGACAATCGCACCCCTGTCGAATATCCAAGTCACCTCTCGCCAGATTCCACGATGGCAGCACATACCAAACACCTCGATTCAATCCAAGCCCCTCATGATCTACCACAGAGCCTTCACTGCGACTCCTGACCAACTCGCGTCCCATCTCAGCAAAGTTGGAGAGGTCATGCCACAGTGGGTTTACGGGATGTATAGCCAGACACACTTCCACAGCACTACGCATGAAGTCTTGGGGGTTGTGTCCGGTCGTGCGCGTCTTTGCTTCGGTGGCGAGCACAACCCGAATCGGTTCGAACCCACCGTTGAGAGGGGTGACTTGATCATTGTCCCTGCCGGTGTGGGCCATCGCCTACTGGGGGACCTTGACAGCCAGGAGGGTTTCAAGATGGTTGGTGCCTATCCAGGGGATAAATCGTGGGACATGTGCTATGGCAAGCCAGAGGATGAGGAACAGATTGAGAATATTAGGAACGTGGAATGGTTTCACGGAGACCCGTTGTTTGGACCTGATGGGCCAGCTCTACATGTGTAGGTAGGAGTTCAAATTCAGTGCAAGATGTTCTATATGGTCATCTATTGGACTCGCATGAACCGGCGGGTTTGGTAATGCTTACGAACTGAGTAGAGGCAGTAAATCAAGGCAAAAAGAAAGCCCCACTAAGGTCTAATGGCCGCATCGTGGTTGGCATGAGCAAAAAGAAGAAAAAGATATGGGACCAACCGGGATCGAACCGGTGACCTTTAGATTACACTACTTCTTAGAAGTAGGAGGCTGAAGTTGATTCTTCAGTCTAACGCGCTCCCAGCTGCGCCATAGTCCCAGGTGTTGAAAGTTTGAAACTCATTTAGCAACAGTACTCTACATTACATATATCTACATTACATATATAACTCCCGAGCATCGTGATCATCGTTGTCTTGATGTTACCCATCGCTCAATCAACTAAGGAACAACTAGTTTCATGGAAAAATTATAGTGTTATTAGCTGAAATGCTATTGTCTCCATCTTACTATTCTCTCCACTATGCTGATCAGTTAATTTAGTTGAAGGTCTAAGTTCTCCTGGTGATGTGGTCTACACTACTCCATACTATTTTCAAGCTTTAGATATATATTTATGCCTATGTGCGTCGGTGTTTCCGACTTTAACTATAATATGATAAGAACGCAACCACACCAGGTTATTTTATTTGAGACAATGTTTATGAATCATCATTATATAACTATGGATGGTTTATAGTCATCTATAGTTATACCACAACCAGCAGCAACCATTATACAACCGTTGATAACCCCTGCAACCTTGACATCGTCCTACGATATTCACATTGAATTCCTCATCTCTGCTTGACGCTCTTGCTCATACTTTGGTTTGACCCTACTCAGAGACTCGGGTATAAAACTTATAGGGCATGATCTATGGTTGAGTCATATTGAGGTACTATATATATTTTGCGATAGTCACACAGCAAGCCAGGTAATACAAGGTCCACTCTCTATAATGATTGTAGCTCGTAATTGATACTTCCAAGCATCACACAATCTCCCAGCCATCTATTCTGATAAAAAATCCAACCTCGGCTTTTCCACCTTCGAAGTTCCATCACAGTCATGCTATCAAACTAAATCATACGACGTCGACAACACAGCCTCTCCCAGCCACATAAATTTACCAGACAGGCGCCTAGTGTCCTAGTCCGAGTCAAGAGTAGCCCGGTCCCACCATCACCATCACCACCACCGGCCCACCTCAATCAAACCACAAAAAAAGATTTTTTTTTTCCCGCAGTCCCAAACAACCGGAAAAAAGAGGAAAAAAGATATGGGACCAACCGGGATCGAACCGGTGACCTTTAGATTACACTACTTTGGTGAAAGTAGGAGGCTGAAGTTGATTCTTCAGTCTAACGCGCTCCCAGCTGCGCCATAGTCCCAGGTGTTGAAAATTGTCGGCGCTATACTGGTATCTGTGGCCCATGCTCATGTCGACGGCTACACCACGCCCGCGCTTACGCCTATGCGAGTGAGCAAAGCAAGGGCTATTGATACTGCATCGCGACGCAGGTACGTTATTTGTTGGGTAGGTATAAACTATAGATACTGAAGTATCCAGTAGTATGGGCTTCATTGAAAGACATAATTTTGTAAAGGAGCTATAGAATGAAGATGGGAGAAAGGACGCTTCTGCTGAAAAGTTTTTGGATACTGAAAAGTATTTGAGTATACTGTAAGAGCATTTATCTACCTGCAAGATAACGCGGTGTAAGGTCTGTCGATGCAGAGATACAGGAAAGGCTGAAGAACTCGCGACTAACCACACCAGGCTACCATTGTGACTTCAATCGTATTATTCAAAATGTACAATTCCATTATGCAAAATGGGTGAGAAGTGTAAAAACTAAAGAAATCATCGCGCAGGCGGGAATACGTCTGACCGGGTATCGTCCGGTCATAGAAATAAAGACATGAAAGTAGACATAAGATGCACGGAGGAGGCCGTGGTACCGTGGAAGTAATAATGAAGGGGTTACTTTGCAACCCGTTCGACCAGACTGGTTGAGAAAGAACGTCAGTACACACCCTGGGCTACTTGTATTGAACCGGAGACTTGAACTTACCGAAGGACGCTGATCGAAAATGTCGTTAGCCAAGCGATCAAGGCTACCAAAAGAACACTGGCTAACGCTATTTGCCGGTCGCATATGGCGTCGTTTTTGGGAGCGAGCTCCCTGTTGACCTCGGTGTTAGTGCATGCGCCCTTTGCCGTGGACAAAGACTCGAAGGCCAGGCTCAGGTTGGCGGAATCGAAGACGATGAAGAAGATGTCCAGAAGGATGAGACGGGCTTTGGCCGAGGGGGGCCGGAGCCCAAGTGGTTTCGCAGTGTACTCATCCCACGTGATGTAAATCAAGTAAACCAGGGCAACAGCGTCGACGATGATGGCCATCAGAGCGGAGGGTCCTCGAGGGTGCTGATACTCCCCGGAGAGCTGATGGATTGAGCCCCCCAGGGCGAGAGCAGTGAGGGAGAAACACCATACCGTTAATCGGAAGATCAACGGTACAATGGGGCTCTTCAGGAGGGTTGAATGGAACCGCTTGAACCAGATCTTTCGGCGTCGTTTCATCTTCAAGGGGTCTTCGGTCTCGTCGGACGGCAGCTGTCCCCGCCAGGGCTGCGAGTAGTCGTTGTAATTCTCATCCAGCCACTCCGGTGGCACGGCCTTTTCTTCCACTCCGGGCTCTCTCGGATATGCGATCGTTCGTGAAAATGAAATCCAGCGAGTCTCACGCCTCGGAGGTTGTCCACGTCCCTCGTCGACACTGCCGCCCTGGTGATGTAGATTGGATGTCCGTGTCGCAGACGGAGAGTGATTGTGCTGGGCAACTACAGCCTCGTGTGGTTCTGCAGGAAGGAGTCTGTCCGTCACAGATGACTCTGCTAGTTCTTCTCCGTCGCCTTCTTCTGGGTGATCCACCGATTGAACCCATGCTGCACGGACAACAACATTAGTAGACGCTCACCACCACGCCCCCACAGAAACACCCCCGTTTGGTTTATGTAATTACCTGGTACGCTTCGCAGCCTTTTTGCCCCGGTCGAATGATCCCTCGTCATATAGGTCGCAGCGTCCTCCGATAATCGTGGTACGTTCGACGACTGTTCTGTGGTACTGTTGCGAAGGGCGTCACTGGAGCGGGTGTCGCTGGTCGGTCCGCCGAGCGACTGCTCGGAGTGCTCGGGGGTCCATTCTGGGATGGGAGGGAACTCCAACTGCTGCTTATCCGAGATAACCTCCGATTCAAGGGGCTGGGCGCGCGAATTTTGACCATTTTGAGCCATTTCCTTTCCGATCAAGGGTTGCTCCAAGCGATGTTGGATGGGGCTGATGGACGTTGGGGGTCGATGGGGGATCTAGTCCGCATCGCCTCACTCGCGAATCGCGACCCTCCGGATCAAGAGGGCTGGCGGAATCGCCGGGATTGTAGACAGCTTTTGGCGCCCTTTGCACAGGGCTTGCTTGTCATAAGAGGGTTGAACACCAAATACAGGCAGACATGATCGGAAGGCTGGGGAGAGAAATTGGACGACGAGAGATTGCGACAAGATTGACTGGATCGCTGCTAAACCCGGAAGAGTAAGGAGTCAGGAAAGCAAGTCTGGTTGTCTGTCTGCGCCGGGTGCGGAATGACGTCTCTCCCGCTCCCCTCGAATTATCCTCAGTTTGGAGCGAACAACAAAAAGTAGGACTGAATGTCCTCCCCCTATTTTCCCGCGATCCTCTGTCGTCATTCGAAACCACCTCTCATCCATTTAAAGGAATGCTACTTTTACAGTCTCCCTGGAATCGGGTGTTTTCTCTTGTCAGTCGGTAGTTGACCTCCCTGGCTGCCCACCCATAATCCTATCCTGCGACCCAACATCAATTGCCCTTTCCAATAAAGGAGGGTGTGAAGGAAACGAATCACGAAAGGTGGGAAAACGATAGCAAACAAGAAACGGAAGGAAAAAAAAAAGAAAAAAGGAAAAAAGCAAAGCTCAGCCCCCGCTGATATGCGACTCTTTGTCATTCCGATCTCGACGAGACGCGCCTTGATCTATTCCCGGGCCATCAGCAAGGGTCAGACGCCGAAGGAGCTTTCATGGACCGACCGGGCCACTGGAAAAGTTGCTGAAAAGTGGGCTCAATGGGAGGAGGCCGAGAAAGGCTGGAAGAAACACCTGGTCACCTGGGGGAATCGTGTTCAACAACGGATACCCTTTGAAGAATGGGGTCTCAAAAGTATTCCGTCGCTGAACGCCCAAAGACGAATGGATGAGACCCACGGGACAAAGAAGATCGATGTGCTATTCCCGGGAAATGCCATCAAGCCCGGCAAGCTGCAGGCGATCTTGTTGAAGATCGCCACGGAACGGCAGGAGTTGCATCGCAAGAAGATGTGGTGGAGCTTTATTGCGGCACCCATCACGGCCCCGATCGCCTTGATTCCCATGTATGTGCGCCCACTTCGTCTCGCAAGCCGCCCTGAAGAAGTTGCCTGCAAGGGAGCTCCGCTAACCATGTGTTTCTCTAATGCGACTGCAGAGTACCTAATATCCCATTTTTCTACCTTGTCTACCGAGGCTGGTCGCATTGGCGGGGTGAGTCTTTCCCCGTGCTCCCACCGCCATCGAAGTGACCCGCTGACCAAATTTAGCCTTGAACGGATCCAAGCACCTGCAGTATCTCGTGGAAAACAACCTGTTGAATCCCGTATCGTTCCCCGGACTCGAAGATCTATACGCGAAACGAGTATCGTACGCTATGCAGACCCCCCCGGACCAAATGCCGATTTCCAGCATGGTCGAAGATCTGGCGAAGAAAGAGGACCGGCTCCTGCTCCGTATCAGCGATGCTAAGAAACTGGCTTCTATCCTTGACGCGCCCGAGCTTTCGTTAGAGGCAGAACGGGCGATTGCGCAAGTAGAAGAGCAGCTCAAGCCGAAAGGACCGTCGACCGAGGAGGGCCACAAAAAGGATACATAACGAAATCAGCGCGATGCGTGGGTTTATCCCCGTGTGTGGTTACGACTCGATGGCCGTTTCACAGCGATGGCTGTATAATCATGACTGTTTGGGTGGATGTATACTAGACCGTAGGCATAAAATCAATGCCCCAACTTAACATAGACAAACCTACTTCCAACTTATCCGCATGAGCCATGCATCATATCGTTCCATCTACCGCGAGAGACCCCGTAATATATGGCGGAAATACCATGATCCGACTCCACACGCATGTCCCAATCGGGCCAAGCCGCCAACTGGCTTAAAGTACTATTGACTTTCCCCCCAGTGCTCCGGAGTCTGGACCAAACTACGTACTACGACTACACTACTCCGTGCCCCGTACACCAGCTTCCCATATACTCGACCTAAATCCCCCACAAGGTTCACCGCTAAGACCCTCGCGTGCTCACACCATGGCGACAAAGCGAATCGAGCAGTGGGAAATCGAGCGATACTGGGAGATCTTTGCCTCGCTGTCCAATGGCCAACCGCGCCTAAACAACTCCCAGGCGGCCTCGGTGCTCAGGAATAGCCGTCTCCGCGATGATCAATTGGAGAAGGTCTGGGATCTGTCCGATGTGGACGGCGATGGGGAGCTGGACTTTGAGGAATTCTGCGTCGCCATGCGCTTAGTGTTCGACCTGGTCAACGGGGTAAGTTCGTCTCCTGATTCCGTCGGGCGTATACCCCTCCTTCCCGCTGGCTTTCCCCTTCTCCCCGCCCCTTAAGCCTTCCCCCCTAAGGCCCCATCGCTATATGCTGAGATCGTCTCAAGGAGCTGCAACAAGTCCCGGATGTCTTGCCCGACTGGCTCGTCCCGGAGTCCAAATCCCACCTGGTTCACGCCACCCGGGCACTGAGCGACCGCCCGGAGCAGTTCGAGCGGATAGAGGACGAAGACGAGACGCTGGGGTTGAAAGACGGATTCGACTGGTATATGAAACCGGAGGATAAGTCCAAGTACGAGGAGATCTACTCCGCCAATAGGAGCCATCGCGGCGAAATCACCTGTACGTCAATTCCCCCTTACCTTTCTTCACTGCTTGAAAGCTAACGCAAGTATCATAGTCGAGTCGCTGCAGCCGCTGTACGAATCCCTCGACGTCCCCGACACCGACATCCGCTCCGCTTGGAACCTCGTGAACCCCTCCGCATCCCGCTCCATCAACAAAGACGCCACCCTGGTGTTCCTGCATATCCTCAACTACCGCCACGAGGGCTTCCGCGTGCCCCGCACCATCCCGGCCTCTCTCCGCGCCTCGTTCGAAAACAACCAGATCGACTACCAGGTCGACAATGCGCGCCCCGCGCAGCGATGGGGCGCCAACGGCGACACGGAGACGCCCACAGGCCGCAAGACCCGGTTCGGCGACACCTACCTGAGTCGGCTGGGCGCGGGCGGCAAGACGTCGTACACGCCCAAGGGCACGGACTTCAGCGACACGATCCAGGACGAGGAGTGGGAGAAGGTGCGTCTGCGGCGGGAGCTGGCGGAGATTGAGTCGAAGCTAGAGGCGGCCAAGAAGGCATCGGAGGGCGGGCCGCGCGACCAGCCCCGCAACGACGGCCGTCCGAACTGGACGCTCATCAAGAAGGAGGCGCTCCAGCTGCTGGAGTATAAGGAGCGCGAGCTACGCGAGATGAGAGAGGGCACGGGAAGATCCCAGGAGGGCCAGAACTTGGAACGGCTACGGGAGGATGTGCGGACGGTCGCCGAACAGGTCGATGGACTCCGGAGCCATCTGGCGACTCGGACGGAGGCGCTGGACGATCTGCGGGGACAGATCGAACAGGAGAAGCTGTCCCGATAGGCGGGTTCTTTTTTTCCCTTCTACTTTGGCGTGTTTTATCTTGTTCTCTTTCTTAATTGCCACTGGGAATCGATTAATCGTGATTCCTGTTTTCGTCTCGATGTATAGCCACACACATCCTTGGGCGAGGAGTCTGGGGCGTTTGAATGATTTCCTTCGTTTTATTGTTGCTTTTGACCTTCTGTTCTTGTTTAGATTTTGGATTATTCTGACTAGAGTACTCCTGTTACATTACACCAGGTCACTTCCTCATCTATCTAATCCATGTACAGTACATACACATATTATAAAAAAAAAGGCTCAAAAAAGAAACAGATAACCCTCTAGGTAGACTCCCCCACGTTGTACAGTGAACGCCATGACCTGAAAAATACCACATTGAAAGATGAGAGGGAAAGAGGGAAAAAAGAAAACGGTCACTCCCCCACAATCTGGCTCAAGCCATCTCCCCCCGGCTTCGTCTCAACAGCCATAAACGCCCTACCATCCTGATCAAGCCCCTTCTCCGCACGAGCATAAGCCTCCTCACTCCGATCCGTCAAGATCTCCAGATCCTCACCAGACAGCAGCGAAGCGGGGTCCGCGCCGGCCTCAAAGCGCTCGAAGTCATGCTCGCCGAGCGCGTGGCGCAGCTCGTCGACGTCGTTCTGGCTGATGGCGGAGGAGCCCGACTCGAGGAGACTCTTGAATTTGCCCTTTTGGATAACGAGCCGTTCGAGCCGACGCTTGGAGTCAGCTTTCTCAAGGAGAGTCTGCTCGACTGTGCCCTTCGTCGCGAGCCGGTACACGATAACAGGCTTAGTCTGGCCGATGCGGTGCGCGCGGTCCTGAGCCTGCAGGTCTTGCTGCGGGTTCCAGTCGGAGTCGAAGAGGATGACCGTGTCTGCCGCGACGAGGTTGATGCCCTGGCCTCCGGCGCGCGTGCTCAGCAGGAAGAGCTGGTAGGAGGTGTTTGAATTGAAGGCTTTGATTTGGGCTTGGCGGTCGGCTTGGCTGATTGCGCCGTCGATGCGGCAGCAATTCCAGGAGCGGAGCTGCGTCGCCCAGTCTTGGAGGATGTCGAGCTGGGTTTTGAATTGCGAGAAGATGAGGATTTTGTGCTTTCGCGCGAGGAGGTAGGGGACGAGCCGGTCGAGGAGGAGCATTTTGCCGGAGGCTGTTACGAGCGTGTTGTCGATGGCGCCGGCGTCGTCGCTGCCCCAGGGCCAGTAGAAGTTGTGGGGGGAGTTGCAGGCGAGGCGGGCTTGGAGGACGGGGTTTTGCATTTTCTTTTGGGAGATCTCTTTTTCTGGAAAGCTCTTGTTAGTTGTCTGTCTGGGCCTAATGCTGTGAGGGGATGAGACTTACTAGCCAGCTTTATCGTGTTTGCTCGCTCGATTTCCTCCTGCTCGCTCTCATCAGGCCACTGAGTGTCCTCCGTCTCCTCGATGCCCTGCTCCAGCTTCCGCAGTTTGGCGTTGAACTCGCGGTCACTAATATCCTTGTAGTTCTGCGGTCCTCTCCGTCGACGGGTCGAGCTGGCCACACTGACGGGGGTGGAGACACCGCTGGACTTGAGACTCTTGTTCGGGGTCGAACACCTGCTGTCGGCCGCATTTCGCTTCCGGCTCGTCGAACGCGACAGTCTCTCGTTATTAGCCAGGATGCGCTCCGCGGCCTTGTTCTCGAGGTATTGGCGGCCGGTGCCGCTGAGGATCTCTCGATATAGATCCTTTTGTTCAGGCGTCAACGGCGCGTAGATGATGTATTCGCGTTTCTTGGGCAGCGAGGTCTCGACGTCCGTTTTGACTCGTCTGAGGAGGAAAGGCTTCAAGATTGAGTGCATCGTGGATACCAAGGACCGCTTGCGACGCTCGATCGTGTCGGCCTGCCCATTCCTGTCAAGCATGGACGAGAAGTCAAACCAGCTGGAGAAACTGTCGAGGTCGTTGAAGATCTCAGGGAGTAGGAAGTGGAGGAGCGACCACAGCTCGGTGATGTTGTTTTGCAGCGGCGTGCCCGTGATGAGGAGCCTGTTGGCGGAGTTGTAGGTGAGAAGCTCCTTGACGAGTTTACAGTTCATGTTCTTCAAGCGATGTCCTTCATCCTGGGAGATGTTAGCAACCCGCGTGAGCAGGAGAGAGACATGGAGACTCAATACGCACCACAACGATATACCGCCACTGATACTGCGAGAGGAACTTCCGATCATTCATGCAAATCTCATACGAAGTGCAAACGACCGGAAAATCAGCACCCCTCTGATTCTTCAGCCCCATCTCTTTCCTCCGAATAGCAGCGCGTTCGTCCTTCGACCCATGATACAAGACGGTCTCGATATCAGGCGTCCACCTAGCGAACTCATCCACCCAATTACTCACCGTGCTCAACGGCGCAGCAACCAAGAACGGGCCCGAAACATTCTTCTCCTTCAAGAACGCAATCAACGAGATAACCTGAACAGTCTTCCCCAGACCCATCTCGTCCGCAAGGATCCCACACAACCCATTCATCCACAGCGACTTAAGCCACTCCAGCCCCTCCAGCTGATACTTCCTCATCTTACCCCCCGTCACCAGCTCCGGCTGCTGCGTGGCGACGAGATCCTGGCCCCCAAGCACAGTAGGGTTCGACTCGTACTCGTCCGCAGCGTGCTCCAGCGCCTCCTGCACACTCGGCTTCTCCTCCGCAACAACGCTCTTGACATCCGCCTTCTGAAAGTAGCTCGAGATGGTCCCGTTCTTCCCCGCAGCAGCAGCGGGTTTCCTCCCCCGAGCCCCTTTCTTCGCCCCGTTGGCCTCCTGCTCGGTCGCTTTCGTCATCTCAGCTGCGGCTGACCCGTTCGTCTGGTTCTGTCGGGCGCTCGTGCGCGTCTCTCGCTTTCCAGCGGGCTCTGGTTTTTTCTTCGTCTCCGTGGGGGCCTTCTGTTGCCGTTGTTGCTGCTTCGCGGCCTCTAGTCTAGCCTCTTCCTGCTGCTTCTTCATTTTATCCGCCATGATCGCCACAAAGACCTAATTAGCCCAAGGCATTAGTAACCACCCATGTCACGACAGGAGCCAAAGCGCATCCAGCTCCCACTCCAAAAACAAATGAGATAAACACACCTCACTAGTATTCAAAAGATGCATAAGCGCCTTCGCCTGCGCATCCATCCCCTCCACATCCTGCGGTTCGGGTTCGGGTTCGGCCGCCGCATCGGTCATCTCTCGATCGGCCGCGTCAGTCACCGGAGACGAAGGCTGCGTAGACTCCGACTGCAGGGGATTCTCCCCGTGCGATTCGGTCGGCGTGATCGGTGTGTCTGGGTGAGACATTGTCCTGGCTGCGCGGCCCCGTCCTAGATTCGTTTTGGTGTTCAAACGAGGACAGGTAAATCCTCAGGTGGCGCTTCCCAGGACGTTATTTGTTATTTTTTTCTTCTAGAGCCCAGTTGCTACAAAATATCGCCTGGATACCTCGATACGATACCCAGAGGACATCAGCATGCAATGTGTGGTGGATTGGGAAGTGTTATCAGGGGAGTGGTTGCTGGCATGACGACAGAGAGAGCGGCGCGCCGTCTTGAGCGGCGACGCGGATTTTCGCGTTCGTGCACGGACCAAGTTTTAATGTGATTTTTTGATCTGCAGGGAGTTTGTACCAGGTATAAAACTGGGGTTTGTTGTCTATCCTAAACCTTGTTTTTAATATAGTCATCTCATTGGTAAATGCTAAATTTCTAATATTATTTCTCAAATATGGCTCATTTTGTTTTGCATTTTGATGGATCATGCAGAGTGTTACAATCATCCGGATCCATTCATCCCATCCTATTCCCGAGACCTGCAGCTTAGTACTGAACAAAGAAACAGAAATGAAAGGCCTGTGTCCAACTGATTTAGGGCGATTCTGGATATGTATCTGAACATTGAAAGGATGATTACTGGTTGTTGACCAGCGTCAGCGTTTGGTGTCCAGTAGGGAAATGAAACCCATGATAAATATGAAAGAACAAAAGAAATTGATACCTAACACAGAAACAGGCTGGGGGGAGAGTGATAAATCAAGACGGAACCAACACAGAGAGAATCCACTCGTTGGTATGTGTTATCAAAAATGGAGAATGATATATGACCCACTGTGAGTTGTGGGCTATTGCTTTGCAGTAATTGTACTCCGGATACATGCGGCAATATAGCTTCATGCACATTATCTGAGTATTGGTCCTACCGGGAGCAGGACCATCTCATCCTCTTCCGCGCTGCTCTCCTCTTCTTCCGTTTTGGGGGATTTATCCTCAGTGGACAGTAAGAGCCCGGAAAGGCCGTCTAACGTGCTGGGAGTGACTGACGATGTTGCGGTGTTCCCCTCATCGGACATCTCCGTTGCAACATCACTCGCAGGATCGTCAGAGTCTGAATCATATGCAGAACTGCGCACCCAATCAGAAAAATTGACGCTGATCTGATCATCGTCGGGTTGGATTAGTCCCGGTGATTTCGAGGCCGACCGACTGATGGGGGTTAGGGTTGCGATTAGTCCACTGATATCAGTATCATAGTAGTCATCAGGCTTTTCTCTCCAAGCCTCTACACGGACCTCTTCCGATCTCTGCTGGAGTCTCATCGAGGAGGTTACCAGTGGGACCGCTGGGGCACTGTCAAAGTGGGTTTCACACGTTGATTCCAGCCGATTCTGCGGGTTACCGTCCGTCTTCGGCTCGGGGGTAGGGTTTATATCACTTGCGTCGAGACCTGATGGTGGTGGATCATAGAAGAAGAGATCCAGCGGCGGAAATTCATGCCACAGCTTCGCTGGTTCCCAATGGACCCGCTCTGGTTTCTCGACCTCGGCAGCTCGCTCTGCGTTCACCCGGAGGCGAATCAGCCCATCGTTCTGGGGTGCCGGCCGGAAAGATTCTACTGCAGGTGAGTAATTCTGATGAAGAAAGGTTAGCCACTCCGAAGGCAGGTCCAAGTCATCCGAGCTCTGTAACAGATCCGTGGTCCCCGTCGCAGAGGAGGTCTCGACGGTGTTGACCGGGGAGTGCTGCGTAGTCTTCAAGGAGCCGAGCATGTTACTGCTGGAGAAATTTGGGCTGTTTGTACTGACCGCAGATTCGGGCTCTAGCTCTCCTGAAGGCAGTGCTTCGGGTCCTGTGTAATTTCGTGAGGGCTCCAGTGGGTTGATGCAGTCGGCCCATTCTCCCACGAACCTGTCATCTATTCCCCGTTTCTGCAAGAATATCTTCGCATCCGCGACATCCTTAGCTGGGCATGTGATGTAGTCTGTCTCAGGGATTTCCTTCAAGATGCGACTGGTCTGCCGGGAAATTTTGCGGAAGACAAGCGGAGGGAATGACTGGTCATGCCTGCGATTGCTCTTGCCGATCATGAGAAGCGCCCTCAGTTGCCTTTCCCTCATCTCTGATAGCCCCGTCTCTTCCAGGTCAGTCTGCTCGTTCCGCTCAGCCAGGAGCATTCGAAGGTTTTCGTGGTCTTCTACTGCGAAACCCAGCATCTCGGAGGCATCCCACCATCTGTGGTATTGAAGAAGATTAACAAATATCTCAACTTGCATCTGAGGACAGATGTCTTTCCAAGATGGGTCTGGAACTGGGAGCGTGGTCTTGGGAGTAAACAAAGAAAACAAGGTCAGTAGGTGTCACACTTTATAGGGAGGGTCTGATATTCTCACCCCAGAACATCCTTGCTGCTTATTACTATTCGCCGCCACTTCGAGGTCACTATCTTCCATCTCTTTCTCCAAAGACGATGTTGAGTCCCCCTTCAAAGCCCCGAGGATGGCCATATTCCTCGCATAGACCGGGTTATGCACCCCATTACTCGCCGCGTAGTTCTCGAGGTGATCGAGGGGAACTTCTTGAGAGTCCGCCTGTTCCGCCTCATCACCATCCTGTCCGCCTCGACAACTACTGCCTAACACCCGACTCGAGTCGTTCGATGGTAGACTATCCCGCCCATGGATACCTCTGGCATAGCTCAAGCGACGCTCACGTTGAATATCTAGGGTGGGAAAGGCGGCAGGAGGTAGATTCGGATCAAATTCAACAAGCGGACAAAGAATCCTTCTCTTTCGCAAGGACATGTCTGATGGCGACGTGTAGATGAAACCGGAACCGTATCGTGCTGAGGGTCGAATGCTGTTCCGAAGTCTCATGATGGAGATGAGAGACTCGAGTCTCATACGAAATTAATATAGATAGACGTGTTGAGCCACGCAAACAGACACGTGCTTTTCGAAACATATTGTGATAAACAGAATGAGGATGAGGATGAATTGAAGAGAGAGAGTGATGGAGCAAGAATATTGCTCATTTTTAGGATGAATGAATGAGCTCAATCACCGATTTGATGGCTTAAACGGGAAAGAACTGCAATTTTTGAACTTGGTGGCTGACATGGGGAAAACCCAGGGCCTGAGGCAGTGACGACATAGGCAATGGGATTTACATTCATACTGTCTAGACTGATTATTGGGTATTGAGATTGTAGACTGTATCTACCACAGTAGACCGTATGATACTATTGAGTTGAATCAACATATCTATGTATTTACACAGGATCCCTTGGGTCAAAGAAAACTGACACAAAGATACAAGCGACACAAAAAAATTAAAAAATAACAAGAAAGGGTATTGGTGAACACCGCCACACGCAAGTAAAAAAAAGAACTAGGTTGAACCCATAAATCTCCATCCTCCATCCACGATCATTCCGCTCGATCCTGAAATGGCGCCATGGGCCGTCTATCAGGGACCCAATCCTCCTCCAAATCGATATCCATGCCCCCATCCTCCACTGCGTCGACGTCCTCCCGATCCGCAAAGCTCCTCTTCTTAGCCACCGTCGAGGGAGGTGCCAAACTGGGGGCGGCAAAGCCAGAGCGCGTCGCCTTGCCGACATCACGTTTCGCAGCCAGGATGGACTCAAAGGACACCAGCAGGGGCCTCATAGCCTCGTCAGTATCGATGCAGAAGCGCTGGATGTGAACGGCCTGCAGAGCGTGGGCCAGGTCCAAGTTGAACATGGCCATCAGGTACGCGATGGCCACGAAAGCGGAGAGTCCGTTGCCCGTTTCGCAGAAGAGGAGGACCTTTTTGTCCGGCACGGGGCCGAACCGGGCCACACTGGGAGTGGAGATGTGCTGGTTGATGCAGCGGATGATGCGAGGCAGATCGGATATCAGCTCTTGGCCGTCTAATATGTCGACGGTGTCAGCCTCGATGCCCAGGTCGGCCGCAGCCTTGTCGCCTGAGTATAGTCCCGCATTGGCTAGGCGCTTGTCGCGGATGCCCAGTAGCAAGGTGATGCCTTCGGCTTGGAGCTTCTTTCCGTCCCTGAGACATCCCCAGGGTCCCAGATAGAGGTAGGGGAGGATTGCCTGGCATTCGCGACGCATGTTGTACTGCCAGTCGTTGGAGATCCTCGGTAGGACGAAGATCTCCCGGCTGACATTGTCGAAAAAGCCCGGCGGAACAAACTCCCCCTCTTGATAGTAATGGGTCGCGGGGCTGATGGGTTCCATCTGGGCCACGGTCTGTTCATAGATTTCTATTGAGAAGGACGGCTGTGGGACCGGCGCTGATCCGGGCGTATATTCGTGAGTCCGAACATACTGGGAGTCCGGCTGTTGAGACATGGGAACCTCACTGCAACGCGGTAGAAAAGCCATAGTAGAGCAACGCCACAGGAGACGTGTGGTGGTAAGGCTGAGATGTTTGAGGAATCTTATTGTAATCAAGGAATACAAGAAGAGACGGTGGTGCCAAAGAACAAGATCCAAGAAGACTTCATGGGATCAAGTCAGTACAAATAAATATTCGGTGGAGGTTAAAGAACGTTGAAAAGATGAAAGGGAAATAATGACTAGACGTTTCAATTGACCACCGGTGTAAGTTTCTTTGTGATGAGCATATTTATCACCATACTACCACACAGTGATTGTATACCATAACAAAGCCGTCCAGTGTGGGAGTGAATGTAAGCAGTGAGTGTCTCAGCAATCTACAATTGCGAAAGTACTCCGTACACACCCAATGTGCCAGACCACTTAGACTGGAGGCAGCTAGACTATCAGACTAGAACAGCCTAGTCGTCCACACTGACTAGAACTAGGAATTAAAATTTCTCCCCTGTTCTTATCATTGATCAATCGTGGATGACTCAGCAAGACGTGCATAATCAGACCCACTGCTGAGCACAAAATATCCAGTATCAACATAGATCCATGCTGTTGCTGTATATTAAATTACTATCTCAAGGAGTCAAGAGTTGAGGATCATGATCTATTTGTGGGGTAGGATCTATTCAACTGCTAATACCGAGTATGTAGCCTATGACCATCTTGAACATAGTGGAGACTTTGCAAGGCCTGTCTCTTCCTTTGTCTGTTCATTAAACTTTTAACAATTGATGTCGTGCATACAATGCCTTATTCTTAGAGTGGTAGGTTGCGATCATTGTTAGACAGGCACATTCCACTCAGTGGTTAACATATCTGCTGGTGAGCTTGCACGGGCGGAGTTACCAGTATAGCCCTACTTAAGCATCGGTGATATTATACTCTCTTATCAAGTGGATAGAAGATAGCAAAACAAACAAGATAATAAAAATGATAGAAAGTAACATAAACAAATCAATCACAATAATATTATACAGTTAAAGACAACAAAAACACTCAAATTACCAAATACAAACCACCAGCCTCGATCCTAAAACCTGCCTGAGGCACTAACGACACCATCACCCCACCAGCCTCACCATCACATGACACCAAAACAACCAACAATACACTCAAATCTAGAACCCCAAACAAGTCACGCGCCCTACCTAGGACTCATCCATCCAGAGACCCCAGCAAGGCGGAGTGGAGCAACACTAGTTGAGTCACAGCGTCCCAAGGCTCTAAGTAGAGTCATAACGCGTGTCACAGCCTGTGGAACTAAACTACTATAGAAATAAACTTGTCGGGGGAGAGCTCGGCCCTTCGGAGATACCGCGAAATACTCTATACTATACTATAATATCCGTAGTAGGTAGGTGGGGGGTAAGTAATATGCTGACGCTGCTTACTGGAGGCTAGGCTTCCAGGTGATGATGCGGCACTAACGGAGGCGTGAGGCTTTCACGTGTGATATCGAATAGATATACGAGATATATGAGAGGTTAAGCCTAAGCGCCGGGACTCTGACAGGCGTTCCGCGCGAGGGCAGTAAGGCTGGGTTGACTCGTGATACGGGGTACAGGGGTACAGAATATGGGAAGCAGAAATAATGAAGAATATGTTTGTGACTGCGATAATATTACATTTTTGATGGAATTATTGAATCACGAAAAAAGCAAGCGATATCTGGACTACCGATACACTGGCACATGTTGAAGTCCCTGCCTCCTTGCTATCATCGCGGCTGTTGAACAGTGCTGGCTGCAGCGTCAAAAGCAAGGGAGAGTAAAAAGTGGAGACGAGAGTGAAAAAGCTAGGTAGGTAGGCAGGGAGGGGACAAAGGAGATGAGGGGACAACGCCTGGGTATATGTCAGGAATAGAGAAAGAGGAATAAAACCGTAAAAAAACACCACCGGGTCTGCATTGTCGACCCCTCGTTGCAAACGCCATGTTCTTCAAAGCTGCTTGCTGTAAATCCACGAGTTCTGAAATATAGACCATCCCATAAACCTTCCTCTGTTGTTGTAGACATAGAACACAAACCCCAGGCCCGTAGAACTGCATATAAATGAAACGCCCATGGAATGCAAACACAATAAGAAGCGAAGACGGCATGATAAAAGTTAAAAAGCAAAACAAAGGCAAAAGGCGGGGAGAAAAGAAGGCAGACAAAACAAAATATAGAAAAACAAAAACAACATCATGATAAGAGATACCGAGACATATCATTCGGACTTCACTGGGAAGCCGTTCACGTTGCGTTCATCTGTCCCTGCGACATCGTCGGCTGGGGCATGGCTTGCTGAAGCCCGGAAACAATGCGCTCCAGTTCTTCCAGCCGGCGATCTTTCTCCTCGACCTCGCGTCGCAGACGCTTTAACTCGTTGTGCATGTCAACGTCGGGACCCTCTTCGTCGGGAAGCTCGACAGAGGCGTCGCCGTCCATAGACTCGCGCTTCCGCTTGACCGCCGAGGTGGGGAGGGACACGGCGCCGTCCAGTTCAGGACTGGGCACCATAGGTAGGTCGGACGCGTGTCCATTCTCAGTGTGCATGTGGCGGCGACGAAGATGCTCCTTCAGGTTCTCTTGGCGCGTAAAGCCATTCCCGGTGCTGCGATTGCAGTCCGTATACGGGCACATCAGCGGCTTCTTCGCATTGACGTTCTTCTTGTGCACCTCGCGCTGGTGCCTGAGAAGCCCGCCCGAGTAGGTAAAGCCTTGAATCTTGTCGCAGCCGGGTTCGAGGCATTTGTAGGGGCGATCATGCTTGTCCATGTGTTTGCTATAGTCACGGGTTAGTTTCGCGTCGCGTCCAACATAAAAACACACGAGCGGGAACACCAGAAAATGCACTTACTTCCACTCGCACGGGCGACGAAACGTCGGGGGCGACTGCTGACATTCGGGGTGGTCGCAAAAGATCTGGCCGGTCGAGTTTTTGGGCGGATCCCGCGCACGTCTCACCGACAGTCGCGGACGCGTCCCTTCCATGAAACTGGGGGACATTTGATCGGTCATCTTGGGGGTAGGAGAGATAGACTCTTGGGCGGCAACGAGAATGGAGGTAGGTCCGCTGGGACCTTCGCTTCTTGGACTGGGATAATCAGACCCGTCGCCCATATCGCAGTTGCAAACCCCGCCGGTGAATTGAGATGGCGGCGGGTCGGGTGGTGTTGTGGTCGCTCAGGAGGCGAGACGGTGAGCAAGCCCGGGGGAGCGCGCAAAGGGAAGAGAACAGTTAAATGTCCAATGGAAGAAAGGAGGCGAAAAATAGGGCGAACAACACGCGGCGACGTGTTGCGATGACCACCTCGAGGATGATCGGTGATGGAGTATAGGTTGGAGGTTCCGTACTCGATAAAAAACGGGGGTGCCGATTTTTTCAGGTATTCAAATCAGGTAGCAAGGCAAGAAGGCAAGAAGGCAAGAAGGCAACAAACGGAAGTCGCTTGTGACTAAGCGGTCTTGGCAACGCCACAGAGGGTGGGACTTGACGTCGTCGTAGAGTCGTAAAGTCGTTGGATCGTAGGATCGTAGAAGTGGTCGTAAGTTGTGTAGAGATGAATTACAAACTAATAAAGGTCGCAAGCGTAGAACATTCAAAATATATATAATGTTAGTCTCGCAGAAGTCCAACTCGAATATGCCGGCGGCAAAAGTTGTTGCACGTGGGATATAGATCGAATTTATATACTCCTATCAAAATGACGAGGTCTGACAAGACGGATACACGCTATATTTGTACCTCACCGGTGATTGATACCTTGTGCTCGAAGTAGTAAAGTATGGCTTTGGGCTGCGGCGCAGTGACTCATGCGAGAAGGTTGTCAGGCAACTAGATAATCCACGGAGTTACCGGTATATTTGAGCCTGATTCTCTGCCCGGGCACTATCACTGTGAGCGAAATTTGATAGTTGGTAATCACATAATGACTCTAATCATCTACTAGTCTGTCAAAATTACGGAATCCCAACAAACTGTGCCTCATGAACATGGCCAGGATCATAGGCCAAGAGTTCAGTTAGTCAAAGCGCCTACTTCCGTCTAGGACGAAGCTGTTTTTGGATGCCGCCACAACGGAAGGCACAGCAGCCAATTAGAAATGTCCCACGTGCATAGTGCGCGCCTCAGCCACCAAACAGTCGATCAGGCAGCGTCATCAACCAAATCTGCCTGCGACCTTTACTGGACATGAGATGTTGATGTCTTCCCATCAGCCCTGTACTCATGTACAGCTCACCCAATGCCAGATCAGACCTAAGGAGATCCAACTGTCAGACAGGGATGATTGAAACCCATGCCTAACTGTGTTGCCTGCAGGATCTTGCATATGGCTAGGTCGTTTATTCAACATGATTTAACCACCCTGGGCCACGTCGGAAACCCCGAGCTTCTTTGTGGTTGCCCCATTGATACCTTAGGCTTTCATTATCGCTTTGCAGTTAGCCGCTTTCCGATGTATCAATCATTGTCATCATAATAACAATTATCAAAACACAAAATAAAATAAAAATACAGCACCGACAGTGCTGATGTTTCATGATTCTCCCGTTGGCATTGATAGGTGTCTACGTGTCTGCCTGAAGACACCTCAGGCTGTGCCACCTTAGCGTGTCTAGTACACAGCCAGCACAAGTTTCATCAATTGGACATTATCATTCCAAATACAATGAATGATACTTCGAGTATAATCCTCCCAAAACCAGGCAGCCTAAAAGTAAAATTCCATTATTAGAATCGAAATCCGCGCTAGAACCAGAGCACCAGCCCTGCAGGATGATTTAAAGTGAGCGGATCTTGTGGCGCAGCGCCCTCTGGAATCTACGACCCTGAGGTTGACAGGTCCCCTCCCCAGCCTCATGTACTACTGCATCATTCATGATTCTCGTCTGCATGGTCTAAATAGTAGTATGCTGAGCGATTGGGTCGTTCAATAGGTGCACTAACCTACCTTACAGCCACCTCCCTCCCCACCACCCCATTTCTTTCAATAGGAAAGAAAGGATATGGAGATGCCTGGGGACTACTTATCTGTCGATGGAGTAGACCAGTGTGGCGGAGTCGGATGCGTATATGCGGTCTTTTCCTCATCTGCGATACAATAGGGTTGATCGTCTGCACGACCCCTACGCCCGTCCCGTTCCGAGGACCCCGATCTACATAGTCTAACTGCGGTGTCGAGCGCCATCCCGAAATTGCCAAGGATGTGCATGATTTTCTTTTTTCGTGGATGCCTGGGCCGGAGTCTAGCGGAAAGGGAAGCGCGAATCCTGTGTTCTACGTGGCTTCCCTGGTGTGTATACTCTATTTCCAGTGGCTGGTTTGTTTCTCTTTGCTTGGCAGAGATAGTTTGTATACGAAAGAAGGGGGCGATGCTGTTAAGCGAATGGCTATAGTTGGATTATTATCTTTTTTTTTTCTCTCTTCGCGAGTGAGATGTAAGGAACGCTGGGCTGGGTAGACATTGGCATTGCTGGACCAGAACGGCGCGGAGTTGGAGTTTGGTCCGATGGCAGAGAATAGGGATGGGGGCTGTGACAGCGATGGGTGCGCCCTTGGATCATTGTTTTAGGGGCATCTCATGCGTTGTCAAGAATAGAAATTTGGCAGCCTATTCTTTGCCAGAATAATGCCACACTCAGCACACCCAAGCGTATACAGAACAAGCGGAAGGAAGGAACAGAAGCATGGAAAAAGCAAAAAAGCAGTAATGGCAAGAATCGTCCACGGTATCTAGGGGCAAAGAGCCCACTCACGTCCACCGGTCTGGGAGGAAAAAGCATGGGACTTGCTAGCGAAGAGTGAAAGCAGTCGGGTACGAGTGCAACACTTGTTTGAAAGGTTCCCAGCATGTCCTCCTGATCTTCCTGTGAAGGCTGCTCTTTGCAGGAAATAGATGTTGAACTGGTCGCCGTTACACCCGGGTCGTTTCTTTTAGCTGGAAAATCAAGATCTTCCACTGTAGGTATTAGGGAGATGATGATGTGCCCCGCTAAATACCCCGAACTTTCAACCCAGCTGATGTGAAATGGCAACGGTAACTGATATCGAAGTGCTATGGAAAAAAAGCCTGAGAGCTGCTGCCCTTCAATTCCCACCCCGTGGACGAGGCTCAGCTCTCACCGATGCTACCCTGGAAGGTACAGAAAGGTCTGTCATGCCGACTGAGACGATGGAATCCTGAGCGGACCCCCAGAGCACCGAACCATGCTCGATGTGACCGGGTGGCCACCGAACAACCTTCCCTTGCGTTGTGGGAAAGGGCACAAGCCTGGAAGACCACCCTGAACGGTGTCGTTAGTAAAATTTCTCAATCAGTCATAGTTGCCTCCGATCTGACTGGCAAAAGCAGTGGAAACGCTGCGCGTATCGTCGTCATCGTGAATTTGACCGGGAACCCCACGGGTGACACGGATGCTGGCAGAGCTGCCCCCAAAGATGCTTCCGTTATCAGGAACCCCGGGCTTATACGGCTCCCGTCCGCCGGATTCAACGTAGCGCTTCAGTCGATCGGACTGGCTGAGACTGGGCTGTTTGCTCATGTCGTTGATGCTCAGCCCGGCGAGACTGACACCACCCTGGTCAACGCTCTTTCCATCGACAATGCTTCCAGTCACGTCAGACTCAGTGGCCGCGACAGACTCGCCAGCGATGCTCGGTGTTCCCTTGCCTCGGTTGCCGTTAGCCCGTCGTCCACCAGGAAGAGTAGGCCACGAGTCGCCAAAGTTTTGGAACATAGGCGGGTATCCAGAAGGAATACCGACTCCTCCTAGTGCGGAAGAGTGGACGGACGACACATCATCGGGAATATAACCAACCACCGAGCCAGAATCATTGTATTCGTTACGGTTGCCGTTTCTTCCGTTCATCATTCCGTTGGTGACGTTGGAGGCGTGATTGTATGCCATCTGGAACCGCTGGGGTCCTCTGTAGGCTTGCTTGGGGCGACTGAACTGGATCAGAGATTCCTGGAGATTGGAAAGAGGGCCCTCAACCAGACAGTGTCTCTCCTTGAAATGCTGCAGGAGACAGTTCCACAGAGGATGCTTGGACAGAACCTTGGGGTTTCCGAGAATGGCCAGTCCATACTTGGCACGGGTAAGCGCGACGTTCAGACGGCGGGGGTCGCTCAAGAAACCGATGCCCTGGTGGTCGTTGGAACGAACGCAAGAGAGAATGATAAAGTCCTTCTCACGACCCTGGAAGGCATCGACCGAGGCAACTTCAATTTCCTTGTAGTGCTCTTTCTTGAAAGTTCCGTTGGCCTGCATGGAGCTCACGATGTAGCTGCGCTGACCCTCGTAGGGTGTAATGATACCGATGGAACCTGGTTGGACGCCAGCCTTGAAGAACCGAGTGACGATCTTCTCCACGTTCGTCGCCTCCGTGCGATTGAGATAGGACGTCCCTGACGCAGAGATTTCTTCGTTACCCAGGTTGGACCAGAACATCATGGGGTTGTCACCGATGGGCCAGGGGAAATCGACATCACGGCGGAGACGGTCGATAGATGTAACTCCGTTCTGCAGCGAACCTTCGTAGAACATGTTCGACGGGAACTCTGACAGACAAGGGTGCATACGGTACTGGACATTCAGACGGATGGGAGAGCAACCCAGGATGACCAGCCGCTCGAAAAGTGACTGGTTAAGACCGGCCTTGGCGGCTTTCTTGTTCATGATGACGGGCCCCAGCTGTTGATGGTCACCAACCAAAACAACCTGTTTGCAGCCTAAGACCAACGGGATCATACACTCAGGCTCGGCGGACTGGGTCGACTCATCGATCAAGACAGTACGGAATTTGAGCTTAGAGAGGCGCGGATCGCCAGCGCCAACGCAAGTGCAGCAAATCACATCCGCGTTGTTCAAGATTTCGCGCTCGGCGGACCGAGTAAGCTGTTTCAGTCTCTTTTCATCCTGACTGGACAATTCGCCAAGTTCGGACTTAAGCTGGTTCAACTTGATGAGTTCGATGTTGGTGTCGTTGAGGCGGACTTGTTCATGAAGAGACAAGAAACCGACGGGAGATTCCACGTCCTCACGGGACTTAGCAGTCACACGCACGGTCTTCAAACCGGTCCTGTGGATACGCTCACAAAGCTGATCCACTGCGACATTGGACGGGGCGCAAACTAGGACCTGACCGCCGTTGAGTTTGGCAAGATGGTAGATAATAGTGGCGGAGGTCACTGTTTTGCCCGTACCGGGAGGGCCTTGGATCAAGCTCATCGGCCTCTGCAGCACACTTTTGACGGCGTTGATCTGGCTACCGTTCAGCTCCGGGAGCCCCGGCACACTGAACTTCTTGGGCATCTGGGTCTTCATTGGCGCAGCTGCGACCTCGTGTCCAAGGAGGCGATGGAAGATATAACCCGAGACGCTCATCTCGTCAACGGCGAATGTCTTCATCGCAAGTTGCATGCGATCGAACGAGGTCGACTTCCAAACGTAGTCGGCGGTGAAGTTGTGTGTGCACTCGGTCGGCACTGACTTGTGATCGCCCTTGGCGCGTAACTCGATCGTAACCTCGTCAGACTGATTGTTGGGGATCTTGATAACGTATCCCACTCCCTCCCATTTCGGTCGCAATTCACCAGTGTATTTGAGGCGCATTTCATCACCAACAGCCAGTTTCACGTCACCCAGTTCCAGTTTCGGGAGTATGAAGCTAGCCAAGTGCTTGTTGTTCAGACCCAAGTCCCATCGCACAATAAGTCCATCCTGCGACTGCGATTCTTTCAGCTTGCGATCGTAGTCTGCTTCGATTTTGACCAGGGGTCCAAAGATATTTTGATATTGGTAGGCATCGTCGTAACGCAAGAGGACGGGGGCGGGTTCGTCATCCACTGCGGTGGCTTTCTCGAGATCCGAAAAGGTTGCCTGGGAGTTCTCCTTCCACATTTCCTCCAGCTTCGCAATCAACTGTGGGCTGAGGTGGCGAGCCCGAAGCTGCTCCTGATCCGATGGTTGGGCGACGAGCCACGGCAAGAACGAGCGGTCTTCGATCAACGGCTGCCAACGCGAAGTATCCCAGTTCATGTCTTTCGAAGACGGCATGGCGGCGCAGGGTTGACGACAGAGGAGCACGACGACCGTATCAGACTTCGCGGGGATGAAACCAAGCAGGAACACATTCTTGGTACCGCAGTTGTAGCATTCGAGGATGGTGTCTCCCAAGGACGAGGCCGGGTGCAGCTGAACTTCCTTGTGGCGAGCTCGGACGAGGTGGTTGACGATATGAGATGAAGAGGTATTTCCACGAGCGCTACAAAACCACTTGCTACAGGACAGGCACTTGACGACACTGCTCGCGTTGTGAATGCCGCAGTAGGCACATGCATGTGGAGGGAGCTCTTTCTCCTCCTCGACGTCACCCTGCGCTTTTGAACGTCGGGCAATAGAAGCACTTGCTGTACTTTCCGCATCATCGTCGTCTCCCATATTATCAGACCCTTCATCGTCATCGTCATGTCTCCGCGGCCGGGGACCTCTGTTCATGTTGAAGGTAGCATCATCCAGCTCCGTCCTCTCATCACCGATAGCTGCCATAGTCGAAGCGTAGGCGTCGCTATGTTATCCAGCCGATGCAAATAGAGCGATGGAAAGAAATGTGTGTAGCCGAAACGCTCAGTTCGCAAGCCGACGTCGTGAGATGGTCATCAATGAAACTTCGATTCTATCGTGGATGTGACGTCGAACGCGTGAAAAAGTCAAGGACAAGCCAGTCGCCCGGTTTCGTCGAAAGAGAGAAGATATTGTCCCTGATCACGACCCTCAAAAATCGACGTGCTTGAGGGGCGAAAGGAACAAGGCTAATATGAGTCTCAGTAAATGCAGGTGAGTTGAACCCCAGTCAGGTACACTTGACGCAGAATTTGGGGAATACCAACACTGCTCTAGCCAAGTCCCTCCAGTAAGTTGAGGTCTATCACCGTCACTGTAGATATCTGTAGTGATTATTTGAGGGGAAATGCCAGCTGGTGGATCCAAGATGGCAGGATGTTGTTGTGAGGATTGGATAATGAAGGTGGGAGGAACATTGAATTGCGATCGGCTTAGTTTTATCGGACGGATTGCCGCCAAATCCCACACAGCGTGCGGTGGCCAATGCGGACCACTAGTGCAGCCCAAGAAAAAAAGTTGCCCGCCGCTTTTCCCTCCGTCGATGTTCAGTGAGATTCCCCACCAACAACTAAACCAAAATGCTGGTAAGTCCTTGATCGATACTGGGAAATGACGGTTATAGCGGTGGTGTCACAGCTTACTGATTATCTATTTCACTGTAGCGTCGTCAAGCCCGTGAGCGTCGAGATTATCTCTACCGGAGAGCTTTGCTTCTCCGCGATGCCTCTATCGCCGAAAAAAGAGCCCAGCTGAAGGCTTCGCTGGCCTCCGGAAAACCCCTCGACCCGTCCATCGCCGATGATAAAGCGCTTCGCGAAGACTTCAAGTACGATGAGTCGCTCGAAAAGGACGGCGACGCTGTAGACCTGGACGACGAATACGCTCTCACCTCGGGAATCGTCGACCCGCGTCCGATTGTCACCACGTCTCGAAACCCTTCCGTTCGTCTGGGTGCCTTTGCTAAGGAAATTCGACTGCTCCTCCCTACGTCAATTCGGCTCAACCGCGGTAATACTGTGCTTCCCGATCTGGTGTCGAGCGCAAACGGTGCCGGGATGTCGGATATGATTTTGCTCCACGAGCACCGTGGTACGCCCACCGCCATGACCATCTCCCACCTTCCTCACGGCCCCACGGCTAGCTTCTCGCTGCATAACGTTGTCCTCCGTGCGGATATCCCCAACTCGGCTCGCGGAACAGTGTCAGAGAGCTACCCCCACTTGGTTTTCGAGGGGTTCAACACGAAACTCGGTGCGCGCGTGGTCCAGATCCTAAAGCACCTGTTCCCTCCACGCGAAGGTGGAAAGGTCGGCAACCGGGTTGTCAGCTTCGTGAACAAAGAGGACAGTATCGAGGTGCGACACCACGTTTTCGTCAAGACGGGCTATCGCGACGTTGAACTGGCCGAGGTCGGCCCGCGGATGACCATGCGGCCGTTTGAGATTCGCGGAGGGTCTATTGAGAAGAACTCCAGCGGTGATGTCGAGTGGGCGCTTACGCAGTACACGAGAACGAGCAAGAAGAAGGACTACCTTTAAAGCGGTTTAGCGTGCTGGTGTCGTGTTTGGATTTTTACGAAAGGAAAAGAAAAGTCTGCTTGGCGTACAAGGTGTTTGGATTGGAGTGGGATTATCAAATCTAGCATTTGACGAGACAGGAATTTCTGATAATTATTGTATGTATACCCACAACTGGGGAGAGACGGCGAATATACATTCGACTGCCAATAAAAAATAATAGTTCATCTATCACCTTTTCTTGTGACCATTTGAAACCCGTATTGCTCCGTCCAACTACCTAACCCAGATGTGAAATACTTTATTGAGCCATGCGATGCAGTGCTTCCAATGAGAAGTCACTAGAAACGAAATAAAAAGGGAGAGCGAAAAATGCGAATCAGCAAACCAAAGGAAAGAAACACAAAAAAAAGGGATAGAAACAAGATAACAAATGAAATAAAACCAAACGGCCATATCAAGCCCCCAAAGGACAAGCAAGAACGACAAACCCAACAACCCTACTTGAATTTGCTAGCATCAAAAGCATCCCCACAATCCCTCTTCAGAATACTAGACAGCAGCCCAACACGCTCATCATAATGGAACCATCCCTCATGAAGGGGCAGCGCGTTTCCCTCGTCATCCGATTTCGGCAGTAGAGGAGTGGTGCTCGCTCTCTCTTCCCATTCCAGACCGGTCTTGTCTTTGAAGAACGCATTGAAAGCGGATAGGGCGATGTCGAGAGTGCTATTCAGTGGCGCTAGGAGCTCGATTTTGGACACGCCTGTGCGAGTGTACTTCGTGTAGGTTGTGTATGTGTGTGGCTCTTTCTTGGTCTCGTAGATCTGAGGGAGGGAGACATTCTTGTTAATATAGTGGGTTGTGAAGGATGGATGGGGTCGATAGTGGGTCTGACCTTGAGCTGGAACTTCTCTCTGGAGTTTCTGGAGAGCTGCTGCCGGTAGAGCGTTGCACTGTAGATTGTGTGGTTTTCCTTGCTCATGTAGATCTGATACTCTGAGTTGGCTGGTGAATGTATCAGAGTCGTCAGTTGATTAGGGCTATGCTTCTTTCGCTCACTTGAATTTCCATGCATGATAACTCACAGGCAACAGGTTTGGTTTTGATAGAACGAGAGGAGGCTTTAGCAGAAGCTTTAGCTTTCCCTGTGTGAAACAAAGTATTAGAATGAATTCAGTTGATCCGTGGCTGAACAAAGATAGATATATTGAAATGACATACCTGCACCCTTCATCTTGACCTCCTTGGAGTTCTTCGCCACACCCTTCTTGACCTGCGATTTGCCCTTCTTTTCCTCCTTCACAACATTCTCCAGAAGATACTGCTTCTCCGCTTTGGGCTTCCGAGTTTTCGAAAGCAGCGAGTCACTCAGCCAGTCGTACGACACGATCTTGACAGTTTGGAGTTGCTTGGCCATTCGCACTAGTAGTAGTAACACACATATACCGTTAGTGTCCTGCCCACATCATGTATGAAGATACAGTACTGCCTTACCGGCTTCGACATCTTTCTTGTATGCCTCGACAGTCGAGATGAGATGGGTGACGCCCTCGACGACGCTCTTAGAGTACTGGCCTCCATTGGCTTTGATCCACTGGGGGATCTTGTTGCTGTTGTTGCCGAAGTCCCCGGCGGAGCAGGCGTTGATCTTTTCGAATGTTTTGCCCATTTTGGAGCTTGTCTTGCCGGTGGGGGTGTTTGCGTTGAGAAGTCAATGTGCTGCGGGATGAGAGTTGTGTGGGGTGTATGTAAAGGAGGAATCTGAAATGATGAATAGAGATTGAGAGAAGAGTTTACTTATTGTGAGGTATGGCTAGAGTAAGATAGTAGGCTTAAGTGAGAGATGCAGAGTCTATATGTGAAGTCATTCTTACTGATGATTATATGAGATGTCTGGACCAACGGCTCAAAGAATAGTGAGAGCAGTGCAAGTGAATTGAGTATGAAATAAAGCCGAAAAAAACTCGTAGTAAGATCGTCATCATAGATGCGTGACACAATAAATCCTTATTCTAATAACGAAAAATGACAATATCTATGGGATGCTTTTGACTGCCTGCACAAAAGCTCGGATCTTGTCCAGGTCTTGAGCGCCGTTGGTCTCCACACCGGAGCTCACATCTACCCCGACAACCTTCTGCCCTGATTGACCCAGCTTCTTGACCGTATCGACAACGTTGGTGGGGTTCAAGCCCCCTGCGAGGATCACACGCAGACCATCATCGCCACCAAGGACTTGCTGGACGTGGGTCTGGTCCAACAGTTCACCAGAGCCACCAGCCCCGGAGTCTAGGAGGGGCAGTGTGTGGTAAGCCCGGCGTGAGAGTCCAGGCTCGTCGAGGGCGAACTTGCGAATGACAGGAACCGGAATTAGCCTAGCCCAATCTAGGGGCTCGGAACCATGCAGCTGGACGACATCCAGGCCCAATTGCTGCTGCTTGGCCAGCACGTACTCCAGAGGCTGATTGAGGAATACACCGACAAGCAACGCTCTAGTGGGGTGGCGTAGCAGCTTGGCAGAATGCTCAAAGTAGTCGATGGAAGATGCGTTCGACACTCCTTGGGTTTTGGCGATGGATTGAGAGCCAGGGCGCGGTGTCGATTTGATCAGTTGAGAGATGCGCAGAGCGACATCATCGGGAACACATCGTGACCGCCCCTCAACGAGGATGATCCCGATCAGATCCGCCCCCGCTTCGACCGCAGCTCGTGCTCCCTCCTCAGAACGTGTGCCACAGATTTTAACCAAAGGCGAATTTTGAGACACCTTAGGGAGTTGTTCCGTGGCTCCCCCGAGAAGCTCTGCAACAAAAGCAGATGTGTCCGGAGCCCGCATAAGTGCTTCACCGACCAGAATAGCTCGGACTCCCTCATTCTTGTAAGCCTCTACATCCTTGGGGCCTGATATCCCACTCAACGCACAGACAATAGTGCTGTCGGGGACTTGATCCATCAAACGACTTGTGGTGCCCAGGTCAACCTCGAAGCTAGTCAGGTCCCGATTGTTGACACCAATCACCTTAGACCCCAGTTCTACCGCAATCTTCATTTCCTCGGGTGTGTTGACTTCAACAAGGGGTTCCATGCCTAGACTCTGCGAGTAATGATAGAGTCTGGCGAGGAGTTCGGTGCTAAGCATTTTCACGATAAGCAAGACCGTGTCGGCACCAGCCAGACGGGCTTCCAAGATCTGGTATTCGTCGAAAACGAATTCTTTGCGTAGAATAGCAGGTCTGTTCGTAAAGCCCTCTAGACTTTGACGGACTGCGCGCAGATCATCAATGCTCCCTTTGAACCACTCTGGCTCTGTGAGAACGGAGATGACGCTGGCCCCGGCTTTAGCATATTCCCGTGCTTGTGCGGGAGCACATGCCGTCTCAGCGATCATGCCCTTGGATGGAGACG